ATCTCACGGAGATTTTGATTTTAACATAAATTTGACAACCCAAAACCAAAAAATAATTTATCCAATCCAACATTCGTTTTAAATGAATTGGAAAAAACAGATAAACACTTATTTGGAAAATGGTCAAATCACCCCATCTCAATCCGCATTTGCGGCACCTCTTTTATTTATTAAAAAAGAAAGATGGAGGTTGGAGACTCTGTGTAGACTACAGATCTCTAAATGGTATAACTATCAAAGATACATATCCATTACCAAACATCACTGAAGTTCTTAACAATACAAGAGATGGTGTTCTCTTCTCTAAAATTGATCTACTCCAAGGTTACCACCAGATTAGAGTTCATGAGAATGATCAATCTAAGACAGCATTTCAAACTTCATTCGGTGTATTCCAATATACTGTATTACCATTTGGACTCACAAACGCACCAGCGTGTTTTCAGAGACTCATGGACAGTATATTCCAAAGACATGTAATTGCCAAAAAAATTACTTGTTTACCTCGATGATTTGTTAATCAAAACAAACATTGATGATGAAGACAAACACATTCAAGATGTTTTAGAAATTGTTGATTTATTAAATCAAAACAAATTAAAAATAAAACTAACTAAATGTATTTTTGGTCAATACTCACTTGAATATCTCGGCCATATTATTGGTCATAATAAATTGATTCCTATAAATGATAAAATCTTAGCAATCAAAAATTGGAAACAACCTATCACAAAGAGAAAATTGAGAGGATTCTTAGGTTTGACAAACTACTACCGAAAGTTTATCCCCAAACTCTCTGAAATAGAAGCTCCATTAATTGATATAGCTAGAAAGAATTAATTATTTAAATGGGAAGACATACATACAGAGACATTCATTTTGATTAAAAACCAAATAAGCGATAGTAGTTTTCTTTTTATACCCGATTATAAGTTAACATTTCACATCGATTGTGACGCCTCCAATGATGGAATAGGTCATGTCATTTATCAATACAAAGACAATATTGAACAAGAAGATAATAAACAAATCCAAGAAGTTTAACACAACCGAAAAGGATTACCATGTGTTTGAACAAGAGGTTATGGCAATCAAACATGCTCTCGAATCTAACTATCATATGCTATTAGGTTATAAGTTAGTTATTCATACCGATCACCAAAATATACTTTTTATAAATAATAAACTTAATGACAATACAAAACCTAAATTAATTAGGTGGTTACAATACATTTTCTCTTTTAACCCAACTCTTATTTATAAAAAAGGATCTGATAATGTAATTGCTGATGGTTTAAGTCGTTACACTTACTCCACCACCATTTCCATTGATGATAATGATCTAATTGCAATGATTGAAAATGGATATATTGAAGAAGAAACGCAAATAAAGAATAAAACAATACATCCTTCAAAATATTACAAATCTAAATCTGTGAAAACAGAAGGTAAACTTAAATATTTTGAAGATAAAATAGTAATTCCTCAAGTTCGCTCTATTATTAAACGTATTCTTTTCATATACCATGATTCATTACTGGCAGGTCATCATGGAATAGAACAAACTTTAGAATTAATAAGTAGACATTTCATTTGGGAAGGAATAGCCAAAGATGTCACTAATTATGTCAAAGCTTGTCATACTTGTAACAAAGCAACTGATGCTCGTGGACAATCAATTGGTAAACTTCAACCACTTATTGTTCCAACTAAATGTTTTGAAAGCATCAGTATGGATTTTATTCCATTAATTGATACTGAATACAAAGGTATTAAATATAATAAAGTCTGGGTAATTGTTGATCGTCTATCAAAGATGGTACGACTCATACCAGTTCATTCAACTTACACTTCTAAAGATTTAGCTGAAATCTTTATGAAAGAAATATTCAAACATCATGGCATGCCTGTTGAAATTGTCTCTGATAGAGATTCAAAGTTTACTAGTAAATTTTGGAAAGATCTGATGGATATATTAAATTGTGAAATCAGAACTACCACTGCAGAAAATCAACAGGCCAATGGACAAGTGGAAAGTATAATCAGATACTTAGGTAACTTGTTTCGTAAAGCTATCATTGCAACTTACAATGAAGAAAACCATGATGAATGGATAACTTTAGTTGATACAATTGAATTTTGTGTAAACAATTCCATCCATCACGGATGCGAATACTCTCCTTTTAAAATCTATACAGGTGAAAATCCAATAACACCACTCTCTCTTATTCAATACAAATTGAAAATGAACTCATCAAACGTTGATATCGAAAACATGATCAACTCAAAGAGAAATCAACTCAAAATTGTTAGAAATTGGTTATTCGATAATCAATATAACATGAGAATTCAATATAATAAAAATAAGAAAGAAATGGATATTAAAGTAGGTGATAGTGTTTATCTAAGAAAGTTTAGATCAAACCCTAAAAACAAAATCAAATTAGAAACAAGATTTGATGGTCCATACGAAGTAACGAATGTCAATGGATTAAATGTCACAGTTGCCAACGTTGAATCTGGTACAAAGAGAAAGAGAATCAATCCATCTTTCACTAGACACGCTAAATACTTCAAGAAACACAACTCTTTAGACGATGAGGATGATGATGATATCGAATTTGGCGAAGTTGAAGAAGAAGATGAAATTGAAATCGATTCAATTACTCAAAATGAACAAAACAATCAGAATAACAACAACGACGACACAGATGACACTGAAGCCATGGACATTGATTCAGAATTAGATTTGGTAACAAACAACAATTCAACTACAAACAACAACCCACCTATCAATACACCAGATTCAAACACTTTAATTTTGGATAATATTCCAAACTCAACTACTACTCATCCAATCATTCATAATACATTGACATTCCAAAATGAAAGAGAATTTTCAGAATCTTCTGAAATCACTAATTTCCAGAGAATATCTGCCAAAGAAATCAAAGAAGCATTCGAAAAGAAGAATAAGTTAACTGTCCTTGAAGAATACATCCAATACCACAATTCCTATCCGAACCATCCACCAACCAAACAAAGTGCCAAGATACTCATAGCCTTGATCAACGCCAATATCATTCGTAAAGATACAATGTTCGTCACAAGAAAGAGAACCTTCAATCTCACCAACAAGAGAGATGCCAAGACCGAATACCTTTTCAATATAGGAGGAGTCCAAGGATGGATACTGGATAACGATGTTCACCAATCATATAAGTCTTTAACCGGAGACTATAGAAATTGGTTGAAAACTAATTCAAACTAAAGACAGTGTTCTAAAATTAACATTTTAGAATTATAATAATCAAATCAACTGACACTTCAATAATTTATTAAGAACTCAACTATCACAATTCAAACAGTTCATGGACACGATTTCAAATAACTTAAATTAATAATTCAACTGTTTAGCAATAATCAAATATATTCGAATAATATCAACATTCAGTGAATCAACAAAATATCAATCTACCAAAGTTAACATAAAGAAATAACCAACAAGTTAATCTACAATGAATACCAAACTAGTTAATCAAGAACAGATTTCTGTGATATTAATAAAACTTACTTAGAAATAACAAATTATTATGAATATTGCTTATATTGAAAAGCAAAATTTCGATATTAATAGTATTTACTAGTATATAAATATTTAAATTAGATTTAAAAATAATCAATAATAATAAGAAACCGCCAAATTTTGAAAATAATTAACGTCATTTTATCCGATACTCTCAATTAAATAGAATAATATTTAAATATATAGATGTCTTAATTTAAAAGTTTGGTTGATGTTTTTGATTGGCAAAAAAATAAAAAAAACACACAATCAAGGCAGAACACCCACACTTGACATTGTCATTCAATTCCAATAAATCGTGAATCAAATCAATTAAATTGTATCACTTTTAAATAAATAATTAAAATTAATCTATTTAGATCCTATTGTAATGATATACTTTTTTTTATTTTTAAATATCAACTTGTAAAAATTTTTCTACCTCTATATTATTTAAATATTTTATTCAACGAATACAACAAGTTGATATTTAAAATTAAAAGAAAGTAATTTTTACTTAAAAATTTCAATTTTCTATTTATAATCAATTTATTTGTTAAAAGTATAAAAGATAATTTATTTAATTTTAGTTTAAAAAAATTAAATTATAATGTAATACAGATAAGATAAGAAAAAAGTTTATTCATTCAACTTTATTCAATTGAAGAGTACAAACTATCAATACTTACAATTTTGGAAGTACGAATTATCAATATGACTATGAAAGAGATGTTTATAATGATGAATAAGTTGAACACTTTAATCTAACTATACAATTCAATTTGAAATTTTCTTTTTATAGTAAATCACTTCTATTCTAGTACAATTGTAATTATTGTTTTCACGAATCAATCCATTACTATTACACAATAGAATCATCTTACAATTTAAATAAATAATTATAGTTTTCTACTACAATAATAATATTCTTCAATTATTATATTTAACAAAAAACAACAATATTATTGTATTTTTGCAACAAAAAAAAAAAATATGAACTTGTCAAATAAAAATGGGGTGTTGCAAATTCAATAAATTAATAAAATTGAAAATTATGCTTGTTGTTTCTTCATTGGTAATGATCGCCTGTTTTTTTTATTTTTGAATATTATATTATAATAAAATGAATTATTTAATTAATTTTAATATTTATATTTCAAATTTGAATATTAATTCATACTTTTAATTGGCGCTAAACAGTTACCGCCATTTTTGAGTTCAAACTGTAAGTTAACGAATCAAATTTAAAACTATTTAAACCTATAATTTCATTCACAATGTCATTTTTCATTATTTTTCAAATACAAATAATTTTGTAAGTAATATCTAACAATTATAACTCTAACTTATTTATATTTATGTTTTACTAACTTATCTCTTTTTATCTCTTTCTTCTTTTCCAAGTCCTTGTTACCATGCCTGTTGTTTCCTTACTATGAGTGACGCCTCTTCTATGCCGGGTTGCTCTCGTAGTTATGCCGGTTTCCTCTCATTACTGTGAAGGTTGCCTCTAGTTGTTATGACGGTTTCCTCTAGTTGTTATGCTGGTTTCCTCTCGTCGTTATGCCGGTTTCCTCTCGTAGTTATGCCGGTTTCCTCTCGTAGTTATGCCGGTTTCCTCTCGTAGTTATGCCGGTTGCCTCTCATCACTATGCCGGTTGCCTCTCATCACTATGCCGGTTTCCTCTCGTAGTTATGCCGGTTTCCTCTCGTAGTTATGCTGGTTTCCTCTCGTAGTTATGCCGGTTTCCTCTCGTAGTTATGCCGGTTTCCTCTCGTAGTTATGCCGGTTTCCTCTCGTCGTTCTGCAGGTTTCCTCTCGTAGTTATGCCGGTTTCCTCTCTTAGTTATGCTGGTTTCCTCTTGTCGTGATGCCGGTTTCCTCTCATCGTGATGCCAGTTTCCTCTCATCGTGATGCCAGTTTCCTCTCATCGTGATGCCAGTTTCCTCTCGTCACTATGCCGGTTTCCTCTCGTCACTATGCCGATTGCCTCTCGTCACTATGCTGGTTTCCTCTCGTTACTATACTGGTTGACTCTCGTGTATACAACAACAAATAATAATCAAAGTTAAAGACATAATTTAATAAAATTAAATACTTGATATTATAATTCTTAAATTGTTTTGATTTTTATTTAAATTATTAAAGTTATGATTGTTCTAATTCATATTGAATTGTTGTTAGTTAACAGCACTCAATATTTAGCATTGAATTGATAGAGCTGCTGATGTTGTTAATGTTGATCCTTTGATTAGAGATAAAGGATCAACATTTATTTGTTTGTCTTATTGTAATTGTTATTGTTGAGTATTGCACTATTGTTATTGATGTTGTTGGTTTGAGTGTTGGTAGTTTGGTTATTACTTATTATTGGGTGGTGACGCCAGAATAACATCCAAAATCGATGAATCAAATAAAACTATTCATTCTAGTTTGTTGTTGTTGTTACTGTTGTTGATCTTATTGTTGTGTATCATTAGCGGTACCTGTAGTATTAGAGGTGACAATTGTAAAGTATGGAGCAGTAGATTCGTGCTTGCCTGGTCGAAGTGTACTTGGACATCAATATTCCCAATACACCAAAGCAACCCACTGTGCAGACACCATTCTATGATGGTTGTTGCTTTGGTGTATCTTCTATGAAGAATACTATACTACCTGTAGTCTTCTCAATGCTCTTCGTCAGCTGATCTAATGACTCGAAGTTCATCAATAGATTCATCAGCAGGTAATACTATTAAAGCATAATCTACAATAATAATATAGATAGATATGATAAACCGAGAAGAAATAACATGTAGTACAATGATCTTCTGTATTCAATCATAGGTGTGTTCCTTGTTGAACTGGTAAATCCTATAATATAATTTGTTAGTAATTAATTAATAACAATTATCTCTAAAGAGTTGTTATGTAAATAAATAAAATAAAAACTTACTTTTTCAAGTGTTTGGTATGCTTTCTCTAGAATCGATCTTTGCCAAACTTGACCTTGTAGTGTGACAGCCTTAACCCTCATACCACAAGAAGCAAGAGTACAGTCTTGTACGACTCGGTCGTTCTCATCGTTCTTTGCCAACAAGGCTCTGAAGCAACAACTGACAATGGCAATATCATCGTCTTTTCTTCTTCTCAATTGCTTGTATGCCTAGATATATTCATTCTCACGTGAGTATGGTGCAAAGATAGATGTCAATATTTCATCCAGTTGAATATCTACCACTCTATATAAGATTTGAAAGTTTGACGACCACTTTGAAAAGTATTACAGCCGCAAGAACTAAGAAAGAAATCCAACTTCCGAAGCCAAAGCAAGTCAATGTGTTGTCCATTAGCGGTAAGCATCTGCATTGTTCAGTAGCTATTTTTTAAAATGGTAATCCAATTGTTGAGAAGGTATTACTCTTTAGAATTTATATAAAAATAATAATAATAATAATACAATAAGTAAATAGTGTGTAGTGTTTGATTTAAAAGTGCTGGCACTTGAATTTAAAACTATTTTGTAAAGTTTTAACTCGGGACTCAACTTGAGATGAGATTTTACAAAAAATGATTAGTTTTAAATTCTCATAGTTTAATTATACATTAATTTCACTTTAAAAAAATGAATAGACTTTACAGATTACACAGATCTCAACAACATTTATTATTATCTTTGAACACCTATCAATCAGCAAATTTCACATTCAATCACACTAATAGATTAGGTGGATTATTAAGCTATCATCACAATCATAATTATAATCCTATTGATAGTAAACAAGTACATAATATACATGTTGTTGGTAGTAGATCATTCTCGTCAAAGTCAAAGTCAAAGAAAGAACAAAAACAAAGAGAACAACATCAGCAACAGCAGAATGCAGAGATACAAGAATTGACAGAAGATGAAAAACGATTGGAAGAATTTGAATCAAAGCTAAAGAATGTAACAATCGGATCGATGTTGAAACAAATCGGAATACTATTGGCTTTAGCACTTCGAGGTCATATGTCAATGCACGTCAATCGTTGGAAGTACAGAGAGTTCTACGAGCACGTAATGGAGTTGTTACGATCAAAGAAAGATGTAATAGAGACTGTCACCCAACGAAATTTCGAATTCGACAAGATACAACTAAAGAATTTCGTGGTGTTCACACGTGATTCACCGTTGGCAAGAGCAATGAAATCGAATAACATGTCAATGAATATGAATAATCTCGAATACTTTGACGACGATGACAATGACGATATTAAAGCTGGGGGTGGTGGCGGCGGTTTCGAACCTATCGTTATTTCAATGACTTTGATGAATGCTAATGAATTGGATAGATTCTCGGTCGATGCAGTCATCATTGGCAAAGCGGAAGCCACCCCTATCGATGGTGACTCTGGTCTGTTCGGTAGAATGATGCCTCGAAAACTACCATTACTCGGTAACCTGAACTCGAAAGCAACACTCCAAACACTTAGTCTACTGCTAGAGAATGTAGACACCGGACAACAGCAAGAATTTCCACTCGTACAAGCAGAACAAGACCTCAGACAACAAACCACCACAACATCAACGACATTCCACACCGAACAAGACGAAATGACAATCATTCAAGAGACAAAGCCAACCTCATCATATAAATCATCCAAAGATAGACAACAAACAGAAGCAACAACCATCGAACTAGATGACTATAACGAAAAATCAAATACATACAATAATCATAACCAACAACAAAATACAAATAAAAAATCTAAATATTAAGATACATAAAGTGATTAATCACTTTTTTTTGTCTATTGACTTGTTTGCTGCTAAACTATCATATGATGATTTGCTGTTACTGATGATGATGGATGATTATTATTAGGAAAATGATTAAAATATGATGATAGTTTTTTGTTTAAAAAGTATTTATTTCACCAGTGAGATCGTCAAAACTGTATTTAAGCAGTCTTGGTGAAGATACCAGAACCGTGACCGTAGATGACCTTCTTGATTTGTCCCTTAGCAGCAAAATCTCTGATGACACGACGGGCCAATGAACCGTTGCACTTGTACTTGTCAGAAACTGAGGCGATGGTGATGACCTTAGCACCTGGCAATTCCTTGTTGATCTTGTTGAAAGTTTCCTTATCGAAGAGAATCATGTTGTTCAACTTCTCTCTTGACTTTCCCTTTGACCATTTCTATAATTGTTCATATAGTATCCAAATGTATGTTAATCACTGTTTCCTAACCTGTTTTGTTTTCTCTGTTTTTAAATAGTCTTACCTTACGACCAGCCTTGGATCCTGAGGATTTGGCGGCTGATTTTCCAGCTTGGATTTGTTTGCTCTTTCCACCGGCAGCTTTGGGAGGCTATTGATTGTGTTTGTAGATAATCATAGATGTCATATTAATATCATCATTCTCTGTGTTTCTCTAATCACTAATCACTATAATCTAAAGTATCCTAGAAACATAGTATATAAACGTACCATTGTTATTATCTGATGAAATCGAAAAGGAAGTATTGGATAACTCTCACGAAACTCATAAAGTGAGTCCAGTCGATTGCCCACTGCACGCACACCCACACCACAGACAGCCAGAATTGAATTTTTCAAAAATTATTTTTTTAAAATTAAATTCATTTTTCAACGTTACGCTTTTTTTTGTAAAACTTCAAGTGCCTCTTTGTGAACAAAAAAAAATAAAGTAAGGTTGTTATAATAAAGCTGATGAATATAAACAACCATCATATCATACACTACACTTACTACTAAGTATAGTTAATTTAAAAGTGTATTTTTTGATTTACATTAATAATAAAAATAATTATATATATATATATTTTTTTATAAATATAAAAGACATTTGATATGTATTCACATGATTGTGTTAAATTTAATTTAATTATTATTTTTATTTGTTTAACTTGTTTTTATCACTCTTTTTTTTAAAAAAAATCAAATAATTCCAATTTTCATTTTTGCTTCTAACTTTATTATTCATGTTCTTTGAATTGCTCTTCATTTTTGAGTATCTCCTAAGCTAAACTTGGTCGCTTTAATTTTTGTTTTTATTTTTATTTTTTTTATCATAAAGTTGAGAAAAAGAATAAAATTTATATAAAGTAATAAGAGTAACATTAACATCAATATATATATAAAAAGCATAAAATAAATTAATATTATCATAATGGAGTCACAGAATGTTAGTACTGAAAATGGTACTACGCAACAACAACAAGACGAATTAAACAATCATCAACAAGTAGTTGACAATGAGAGTACTGAAGAAACTCAAGTAACTGCTAATAACAACATAGAAATGAATCATACAGATAATAACAACCATAGACAAACTGAACAACAGGAACAAGAACAACAATCACAGCAACAAGCACACCAACAACAACAGCAACCAGAACAAAGACAAACACAAGATATACCTCAAATTGAAATTGATTCTCCTGTCAATAACAATATTAATAATGTAAATAGTATAAATACAAATAATAGTAATAATAGATATAGAGATAATAATAATAGACAGTCACCTTCGCCACCTTTACAGTCACAACAACAGCAACAATATAATAGTTTAAACATTAATAATAATAATAGTAATAATAGAAGTAGTAATTATAATAGAGTTAATAATAATAATAATAATAATAATGTACAACAGAGTAATAACAGTGGTAAAGATAGAGATATTGCTATTAATGAGAATCAAGATACAATGTTTGATGTAATATTGCAATGGATTTCGTTGGCAGTCAGCAAATTGATGTTCCACCCGATCGAGTTCCCCATTCATGCTTTGACTACTTTTATTCAGGCGAATCCATCGCCACAGCCACAACCAATTGGCATTCCCATCCAGTTGCCACAGCTGTTACAGCAACCAGCCATTCTGACCACAAGCGACAGTCTCTGGAAGCTGTTCAAACAGAAAGGCTACCACATCTACGATGGCGGTCTCATCTATCTCCTACACAACATTGTGGTGATCATCTTTAACTTTACACAGCGATTCGTCAACTCTGCCTACAACACACCGCCACTTGGCAACGCCAGTTTCTCCGCCATCCAAAAGCGACAGAGAGTTGGTGCATTCGTCGACGTCCTCCTTTCACTCGCCAAGAATGCAATGACACTGCCACTCGATGTACTCATGACTCGTCTTATTGTCCACCGATTCTACAAATCCGACAACCTTCATTACATCAACGATTGTACACTCAGTGGAATCTGCAAGAACGAAGGAATTATCAAAGGTTTATATGCTGTAAGTAATAACAATCAAGATCTTTTACAAATGGAAAGCTAACCAACTTTTAATTTAAATCGGAAACAAAAAGGGTTGGGAAGTAGTTGCTTTAAAGTCATTGCTTGAATGGCTCTTTAAGAAGTGCGATAACCATCTTTTACAGAGCGCAAGAAGAGGTCCTTTCTCACCCAACGAGAAGTCACCAGCACAAATTCTATTGCTATGTGTAAAGATTTTATTAGATTATATACTAACTGGTATGTTTCAAGTTTAATAATATTATTAGCAAGTTATTAACAATTAGTTGACTAACTTTCGAATCACTTTCGAATCACCAGTTATAAAAGTTAGATTAAATATTAGAAATATTGGATTTTTCAAGACTCTAAGTACAATTTATCGTAGAGAAGGAATCAGAGGATTGTTTTCGGGATTGAATACCTATTTCGTTTTGTTCCCACTGTGGATGATTGGCATTTTGTTTGCCAATGTCATTTTTATCAAGTTGAAACAGATGTTGGAGAGAAATGCCGATCTTACTCGACGTCGTCGATCTTCATCCAAGTCTGGATTGTACTCTACTGACAACTCACAGCCATCTGGCATGGGTGTCATGGCTCTTTCACCAATGGTCGGATCCGATGACGAACACAGCGAATCAGAAGATGAAACCATCTCTTCAGACACCGACGAAACACCGAATCAAGGTGATGACTCAATCAATGATATCGATAAACGATCATCACCTATCACAACAACTACAACAACATCAACAACAACCACCAATAGAAACATATAAAATTGATTAAAAAAATTTTTTTTACACCATTTTCATCATCATTTAAAAATAAACAAAGAACAATATATCACAGTCAAAAAAAAAGGTAATACTAACAACTAAAATTATTTAATAAATTATTGTTTTTGAAATGTCTGTACAGAATGCATCGAGCAAAATTGAAATTAACCTAAGGAAATATCATAAGGTGTTGTTGATGATGATAAATTCTTTTCGGGAATTTCATCATAGCTATTTCTATGGCACAGTGAACTGAACCACCACTTTATCAATTGTAATAAAGTGATTTCGTCATCGCTATCGATCTTTCCAAGCCAGCTGTTTGCTGTTTTTCGAAGCATTATATTGATCATGAATATCAGTGGGAGGACCTCAAGGAATGAGTAGTAAAAAAAGTCGTAGAATGGTGAATCGATTTGGCCGACCTTCAGCGTTGTAATGTATACCAATATGGATCGAACTAAAAACACACAAAATAGCAAACCAAAGAGGAGATCGACATGATCCTCAAGCAACTTTGATTTATTCTGTTGCTTCAAATTGTTTAGGCTATTCTTTTTTTTCCTTAACAAACCAAACTCTTCCGATGGCTGACCGACGGCTTCCAATTCTGTTTTATTCTTAATTTGATAAATTAAACTACAAAGTTTTAGATTAATATAAAAATAATAAGGTGTGATTTAAATCTTATCGCTACATACAGATAAACAAGAGTGACAATCGCTGAAAATAAATAGATGCCGGCAGCATAGGCTTGAAGTGCAACATCAAATATTGAATTGGTAGGATCCTCGACAAAAGTGGGTCCCTGTGAGTGATCTTCACGGTACTCCAATAGTGATAGAACCAATGCAATGACATACATCAGAACATTTCCAATTGCAACGTAAATTTTGAATTTACGAATGAGCTCTATTTTGAGGTCTGGTGTTCCAACTTTATGTTTCAATAACAATATACTAAAATAAAGTTAATGGTTAGAATAAACAAATTGTATTGAATTCAAGCGAATATACCTACCAAGCAAATAGTGATATTGATAAAGCTGTGAAAAAGAAAAAAGTTGGTAGAATCTTTAGGAATTCAAGTGATTGCTGCTCGGAGTATGATAATTTAAGTGCTCCATCTTTGGCAAGAGTATAAATCATAAACATAAAACTCCTAGTTGCAAAACCGATAATAAGAAAAGTAAAAAATACAATAGTTGACCTACAAAATTTATGCTTGCAAGCTAAATAGGTCAAATGTTAGGATAAGTTAAGTTTTATATTATTTGAATCTCATTCTTTTATTTCTCTTACTTTTAAATATTAATATTAAAAAACAATAGGCAAACAGAAGGAAATAAATTCCTGATAGGATATAATGACTGATGTTGTACTCAGAGTTATATGACATCTTTACATAGTTGTTGAAAAGTAAAGTATTAAATATATTAAACAAATAGCAACTTTACATTAAATTGAATTGTTGTTGTAAACAATGAATGGATGAAATGATATGATCAATTTGCACATCATTTTTAAATTTAGTAATTAATAATTTTTTTAAAGTATAGAAACAGTGGTAAACCCCAGGTTTCGTGCGAAATTCGAAATCTTAAGATCCAGAGAATGTTTTACAGCTTTAAAAAATAATCTATTTCTGCGTTGACTTGAAAAAGAAACAAAATAGAAAGTGCAATTATTGTAAGGTACTGCCCTAATTTGATTCAATCTCCGACTTATTATTAAGTTTTGAACTTGTTTATTCAATTTCATTTTAAAAGAATTTGTTGTTTTGTACCCTTTTCAACTAGATTTAAAAAGGATTTACACCTAAGAAAAGTAAATGGAATATTACTAGGCAAAAGTCGTGTGATCTCTGGTTGTGTGAAACAAAAAATAAAAATAAAAATAAAAGCTACCTTTAATAACTAAATTTTATTACAATATTTTATTGATTTTGGTTGTTGTCTTTGTTGTGCGTTTCTTGTTGATTCTCTTGAATATGTATATATAACTTTATATATATGTGTGTGTATGTATGTTGTATATGTAGGTGTATTCATTTATTATTAAAATGTATGTATTGCAGGTTTGATTCTTGGTATCTTTCACTTTAGTCGAACCAACCAGTGATGGTATCGGCATTGTCTATGATAAGTTGGAACTGTTCTTTTGTTAATGAAATACCTAAAAGTATATTTGTTAATAATGAATGTGTAAGTAAATTGAATTATGTTTTGTTTGAATGATTGATTGGTTGATTGATTGATTGATTGATTGATTGATTGATTGATTGATTATTGATGTGTCGTCATTTCGTTTGTTTTGTTTTATTACCTTTTTTACCAGGAAGTGATTCACCATCTTTTGTGTAGAACTCTCTGATATCGATTCTTGGATCTTTGGTAAAGGTAGAGTATGATACCTTTCTATTGTTTCCCAAGTCTACAATCTTTTCTTTCTTTGAGGAGGAAGGTGATGATTTGGCAGTTGTTTTCTTTTTCTTGTCGGTGGTGGCAGGCTCTTTAGTCTTGGCAGCAGTCTTCTTTGATTTGGTTTCTACTTCTTTTGTCTTCTTTGGTGCAGCAGCAGACTTCTTGGCGGTGCTCTTTGGCTTCTCAGCTTCCTCTTCCTCCGATTCGTTTTCATCTACGGCATCATCACCGTTTTCCTCAGCGGATTGTTCATCACTATTAAACTCGTCGTCGTCTTTTTCTATAAGTGCTTTTCTTTTTGACATCTCTATCTCTATCTATATATAAATATAAATATATCTTTAAACAAACAATTAACAATAATAATTAATTTAAATAAATTTTGGAGGGAACTTTCAAAAAAAAAAATTTTTTTAAACTTATTTCAAAGAAATGAATATTAAAAAAAAAAAGGTGTACAATTACAATAATCTTGGAAATGTCTTTAGTTACTAATAGCTTTGTTTGGTCCAAGCCTTATGAAGTAGAATGATCAAAGAATTCCTTTTCTTTAAAGTTGATTTGGATTATTTCCTATAAAAGAAAGGTGTGAAAGAAATACTCTTGTTTAATATCATAATGACCAAAAAAATCATATAACCATTCTTTTATTTATTCATTATTGAAAATAAACAACTTGTTATAAATCTTGTTAACTCAAAATCATTGTTTTTATTTCTTCAATTTATTTGATATTTAATTTTATTATTCTTTTACCCTGGGCGACTTTTTATTTAACTGAAAATTATTTTTTGTTTGATGCATCACTATTAATACTGATGAAAACTAACTAGTTTTTATATAAACGAAAACAAAGAATGGGTAATAAAGAATCAAAAGCAAACCATGAATCCACAACTCATCATCATCATCATCACCATCATAATCAACAAAGTGTATTGAGTGATCATAATAATAATCATAATGTAAATATAAATGATAATAATAATGTAAATATAAAAGAAAATCAAGCAAAACAACAACAACAACAACAACCAACATCAATAAAGAAACCTATTTTAAATACAGAATCAAGTGTATTGAATGAAGAATCAATTAGTTATCTATCGAAATATCTACCTGGTGACGATTATAGAGGCGAATGGCAATTATTATTTTCATCGACTAGAAATGGACATAGCTATAATAGATTCTGTACACATGTCACTGATAAAGGTTCTACCATTGTCATCATTAAAGACGATGGTGGACACATATTTGGTGGTTTTGCAGATGAAGTTTGGAAAACAAAATTCCCAAAATTCTATGGAAATGGTAAAGCATCACCATCATCATCATTTCAATTGATCTATTACTAAACTAATTACTACTACTACTACTATTACTACTATTTAAAGAGAGATGTTTTGTATTTAGTATAAATCCAAAGTTAGAGGTATACAGACCGACTGGTATAGATAGAAACTTCCAATATCTGAATGAAGGTACCACTACACTCTATAATGGTGTTGGTATGGGTGGTGTTCAATAGTAAGTATATTGCTACTATCTTATCATTCTCATATGTTTGGTTTTCACTTTAATTAACATTTTATTCTGATCCCATTATTACAAACATATTCAGCTTATTTGGATGGTCAATAGACGAAACATTTGATTATGGTGAGAGTAAAGGTTCGGAAGATGGTGAAACTGAGAAGAGTTCTACGTTTGGTAATCCTTCACTGTCACACACCAAGGATTTCAAGTGTGTCTATGTCGAGGTTTGGATGGTCAAGGAAAGAGTGCTGACACAAGAGGAGATAGAAGAGCGTGCCTATCAAGAAGCCAGAAAGAAAAAGAAAGCCGGTAGAAGTGTATTAGAGGCAGAAGGTAAGAAATCTCTTTACTGTTATTGACTAGATCTCACTAGATAACCATCAATCAAATAATCATAAACAGGTGGCAACTAACACTCTTTCTTATTCTTTGATTCCAATTCGGTAGATAATGCAGATAAAATGATTGCAAGATATATGGGACACAACTTTAGTGTTTATAATGAAGATGCCAAGAGGCAAGCAAAAGATCTACAAAATCAACAAAGATAACATTATATCTACACAGCATGGAATTTCACAAAGCGAGCAACACCATTCTCAATGTTTCATATATAACATATAGAAAGCTATTTAATATTGATTGCCTCACATAATCAACGACCAATTAGTTAACATTATTTTCACAACTTTCATCCTATTAGTTTTAATTAAATGGACAGAGACTGTATATTATATATATACATTTTTATAATATCATATGACTAGACTTTGGTGTACACCTTAGATACCAATGAATACTTTAATTTTATTTTATTTTTTACAGCCTACATCTTATTAGTTTTTAAGTAAGAAATAATAGATTCTTCTACCCAGGTAATATTAAGATAAATAAAAAAAAATAACATCACCAGCTTTGTTATAAAAAATTAATTCTCATTAGTTAAATTTGCGATGGTGCCAAACAACCAATTACAAACGTGAACGTTACTGCATTGCTTATCTCGAAAACATGAATTGAACGATTTTTTTTGTTTTTATTTTTAAATTTTTTTAAATATAATTTTTTTATTTAATTTTTTTTTTTTGATTTCACAACGACAACCTTCAAAATTGAAATCCTCTTTTTTTTTCTTTACTTTGTGTGTATTAGTGTAAAAAAGGTAAATTTATTTATATATTTTATATCATCTATGAGAATGCTGTTGCTGTTGCCACCCCAATAAACAAAAACAATAAATCAACTCATTTTTTAGATATCGATAAAATGAAAAGGAAGAAGATAAATAATAATAAAAATAACAATAATAACACAAATTCAATTTGACCGACTTTTTACAGATCGAGTACAGATAAAACAATTCTTATATATATAACAAGAAACATACATGAAACAACTCCGAAAATACAACAACTGTGATAAAAGATTTTAGCACAACAACAACTACAAGCACCCCATACCATAAGAAAAAAACAAGATATCATTTTTTATTTTTATTTTTTGTTTTTTATTTTTCACACAACCAACAACAATCTCCACTTTCAAATTTACACTCTTTCAATTCACTGTCTTTTTTTTTATATTAAATAATCCATTTTATTTATTTCACTGTTTTTTTGAAAGCAAAACTAAATAACAATATTATTTATATTTATTAGTTTTTTTTGTTTGTACTTTGTGTAAGTTTTTCGTTAGAAAAAAAAAAAAAAAAAAAAATAGTGGTAGTTTGTTTTTTATAGCAGCAATCATAGCAGTTCAATTTTGGTGAAATTTGAATTATAACAAAAACGAGAAACGAAATTAGAATCATAATTAACCTTATCTCTTAAAAAATCAAAAAAAAAAAAAAAATAAATCAGTTAATTTAAAATGTCTGACACCGAAAAAGATTTAGAAGTCGAAGAATATCAAGCACAAGGATCCGGTGCCTCCCTCACCTATCCAATGCAATGTTCCGCCTTGAGAAAGAACGGTCACGTCGTCCTCAACGGTCGTCCATGCAAGATTGTCGATATGTCTACCTCCAAGACTGGTAAGCACGGTCACGCCAAAGTCAACTTGACTGGTATCGATATCTTCACCGGAAAGAAATACGAAGATATCTGTCCATCAACTCACAACATGGATGTCCCAAATGTCTCCCGTGCTGAATACTCACTCATTGATATCTCTGACGGTTACTTGACTCTCTTCAAGGAAGACACTGGTGTCACCAAGGAAGATCTCCCAGTTCCAGAAGGTGATATTGGTGAACAAATCACTGCTGCTTTCGCCGCCGGTAAGGATGTCCTCGTCTCAGTCATCTCTGCCATGGGTATCGAAGGTGTCACCTCATTCAAATAAATAATTAATTTTTTATAAGACATCTTTTAAAAACTTTTTTTTAAATCAAAAAATAATTAAAATCGTCTTTTTTTTTTAATTGATCCATTCATTCTATCACTTAGTTTGTTTAAACAATCGAATATTAATTTTTTTTTAGCTGATCAAGAAAAATATAATGTTCTTTGACCAAATTTGGATATTATTGTAATTATCATCGTGCTGTGGTTCACATCATGTTCAAAAAAAGTAATAAACCTATAAAATGATTTATTTAATTTGAAAAACATTAAAAAAAAAGCAAAAATTAAAAAAAAACAATTTAATTTAATTTGGAAGTTGGGTGGTTAAGTGAATGAATTGCAGAGTGTGTGTTGTTTGTGTAGGACAACCAATGAGTCTTCTTATTAATCAATAATAACAATAACATCAAAATGATGATGAAGAAGTGGATAAAGCATTAAACAAAAACGAAAAAGTTACAAAAAAAAAAAAAATGAAATAAATAAATAATAAATTAAATTAAAAAAATAAATTAAAAAAATTATAAATATAAAAACTACACTCTGTAATTCAATTTAAATTTAACAGCAAACATACACCCACTTACATGTTATAATAACCATATCAGTTAAAAATAATAATATTTCGAAATTAACATAACAACCAAACATATCAATAAGTAGTTGTTGTTCATAATATGAATAAATAACAATTACAAAAAACACACAAAAATATAACATCAACAAACAACACAACACAACATAATAATTTAATGGTTAATTTGTTCAATCTTTATTTTTATTTATAATAAATAATCATAGTATAATCAAATTTTTTTAAATTATCTGAATTTTTATTTTTTATTTTGCTTATTTTTATCAAATATAGAATATTTATATAGATTAGTTTTTATTTTATTATTTAGTTTTTTATATATATATTTTAGTTAAAATTTTTAGAGATAGATAGATAGATAGATAGATTTTTTTTGTAGTTGGAAATTTAAATTAAATTTGGAAAAAAATAGTAGTAGATATTTTTTAATGTAATATTGTATTTTCTTTTTTTTTTTAAAAATTAAAATGAAAAGTGGAACAATACAATCAAATACCAATCTTTTGAAAACAACTCTGGAAATGATAAACAATACGAATAACGATTATAAAGATAATATAAAAAATCATGTTATCAATACCAATCATGGAAAAACATTCAATCCACTCGTTCAGGATTCCAATTTGTTTTGCAAGCGTATAATTATTGCTTCCAATTCGTTGCCAGTCAATGTGCAGCGCGAAAAGGAGGAAGATTCCGATCAATTCAAGATCAATGTCACACGTGAACCATTCCCAATAGAATCAGCACTGTTCAATCTTCTCGGAAAGGAGATCGAAGACTATCTCTGGGTGGGCTGGCCACATTGCAATCTGAACGAAGAGGACGATCTCGATGTGGTTCGCGACGCCATCAACAAGGAGGAGCCGCATTTCTATCCGATCTTCTTGGACAACAAGTCCATCACCAACTACTACAAAGGATTCTGTAAAATTGGTCTATGGCAACTGCTTCACTACCAAATGAATCACGTACGTCTAGACATGGAATGGTGGGATTCATACGTACAGGTGAATCAGTTGTTTGCCGACCACATCGGTAAACTCTGGCGTCCAGGTGACTTTGTTTGGGTTCACGATTATCACCTCATGTTACTTCCCGTCTTGCTAAGAGAGAAATATCCAAGTATTCCTATTGGTTTCTTTTTCCATGCTCCATTCCCAAGTTATGAGTTATTTAGAATCTTACCAAGTGTATGTTATAACATAATTATTAGTAATATATATATATATTCGAATACTAATTAATTTAATGATGTTTTAGAGAAAAGAATTATTAAATGGAATACTTGGGTCAAATTTAATTGGTTTCCAATCTTTCGAGTATTTAAGACATTTTAGAAGTAGTTGTGCTAGATTGTTGGATTTGGAAGCTGAGCCAAAGGGTATAGAGGTGGTAACTGATCACCAGTTTCACTTTGTAAAGTTACAGGTATACCCAGTTGGTGTCGACTTTAGTGATTTCGTAAAGAGTTTGGGAACTGCTTCTGTGATTGCTCGTGTCGAGAAGCTAAAGACAATATTCGAAGGTAAAAAGGTGGTGTTTGCCAGAGATCGATTGGATTCAATCGAAGGTGTCCCCAGAAAGTTACAAGTCATCGAAGGATTGCTAAAGAACTACCCAGAGTGGAGAGGTAAACTTGTATTCATTCAAATATACGAACCAACCACTGAATTATGTAATGAATCTGAGGAGCAAAAGAAATTACATAGAACTGTAAATGAGTAAGTTATTTCTATTCCAATAGATTAAGTAGAGTACAGTTTGTTAATTAATGATAATCTATTTGAATAAACAGGACTGTTGGTAGAATCAATGGAGAATATGGAACTTTGGATTTCAATCCAATTGAATATATCAATAGGGTCGTTAGTTTCGAGGAGATATCCGCACTTTACAAGCTGGCAGATGTCGCTCTGGTTACACCTGTTAGAGATGGTATGAATTTGACTTCACACGAGTATGTTGTCTGTCAGAAGGATAGTCATGGTGTGTTGATTCTCAGTGAGTTTACAGGTGCCGCTAGATGTCTGGGTGGTGCAATCATTGTCAATCCATTTTCAAAGAAAGAGATGACCGATGCTATTCTAGAGGCTCTACAGATGACATCAAAGGATAGAAAGCTGAAACATCAGATCAACTACAACTATGTAATGGCAAACACATCTGAGTTCTGGGCAAAGCGATTCCTCTATGATTTACACGAGGTGGTACGTGAGGACATTGAAAACAGTTCAGTTCCGCACCTCAATATACCGGCTATCAAGAAGAGTTTTGCAGAGGCACGTGGAAAGCGTATGTTCTTCTTGGACTACGACGGAACATTGACTCCACTTGTCAAGCATCCAAAGCTGGCCGTCCCTAGCAAGGAGTTGATCAGCACCCTGGAAAGACTAACAAAAGACCCGAGAAATGAAATCTATATTATATCGGGACGTGATCGTGCATCGTTAGAAGGATGGCTTGGCAAACTTCCAGTTGGAATGTCGTGTGAGCACGGTGGATTGTTCAGACCGACGGGCATTGATCAGCAGTGGATCGAAAACTCAAAGATCGATCTCTCCTGGAAGGAGACTGTCGTGAATATCATGCAGGACTTTGAGGATAGAACACCGGGATCGTTTGTAGAACACAAGCAAATCAATCTGACATGGCACTATAGAAATGCCGATCCAGACTTTTCAGAGTTCCAAGCAAAAGAGCTCATGGCACAACTCCATGCAGTGGCCAACAAGTACCCATTGGACATTCTAGTCGGAAAGAAAGCAATAGAGGTAAAGCCGATCGGTATCAACAAAGGAGGAATCATAAAGTTGATTCTCTCGAAATCCGATCATGAAAAACCTGATTTCATATTGTGTATAGGTGACGATAAAACAGGTAACTATTAGAACATAATATTTTGTTTTTTAACTTATTTATTATACTAACACGATAATAACAATTATAATAATTTTTAAATATTATAATAATAAAGATGAAGATATGTTTAAAGAACTAACTTCTGTAGATGCAGGATACACTGTTAAAGTTTTATCGGATGGTGCTAAAGATCAAATGAATACCTATGCAAAATCATATATAGAGAACAGTAACGAAGTTATTCAATTACTCAATGAACTATCAAAAATGTAAAAAAATCAATAAAATAAAATAAATAATTAATTTTTGGAGTGTAAAAAAACACCTTTTATAATTCTTTGAATTTTTATTAAATACCATTTACGAACTAAATCTTCTGCTTTACCAGGGAAGAAGATGTTTATGCAAAACCTCCGAATTCAAGGTGGATGGGTAAAAAAAAAAAATCGAAAATAGAAAGTTTTTTGAAAATCACCCTATCAATTTATTAATAAAAATATATTAATTGTTATTGTTATTGTAGTTAGTTTAAACGATACAAAACAAAGCAAACATAATACAATACCCACTAACCAGCATTGCAAACACTCAACTTTTTATTTGTAATAGCATAACAATCAATAAAATAAAATATATCTAATTAAATTTGTATATATAATGAAATATATTTATTCTTTTTAAAATAAAAACAAACAAAAAATAACAATAAATCTTATTGGTTTATTTACTATATATCTTAATTTATATGGGTAATAAAAATAGTAATCAAATTGTTCAAAAGAGAGCTGGTACTCTCGAACAATTTAAAGAAGATGTATACAATGCAAATCAAATGTATGTTATTTATTATTAATCTTAAAACATTACAAAGATGTTAATTAAATAAAATGTTATTTGTTTATTATTGTAGTTTAAAAACATATAAAGATTCTTCAGGAAAGATAATAAAGTTGACATTGGATATTACTAATTTCGATTTGGTGAAGGAAACTACCTTGTGGAAGTTGTTTGTTAGAGTTTATGTTTCGTTGGTCAATCCGATCGAAGAGAGAGACAAGAATAGCTGTGGAAGTAATAGTGGTTGCAATGCCAACAGTAATGATCATATCATTCATACTGGTGATGAGGGCAATGCCATGGGTAATGTAGATCTAAACGACAGGAATAATAACAACAACAACAACAACAACCAAAGTAATAGTAATAACAACAGTCTGCGTAATAGCATTGACAAATCAAATGTACAGAATATATTGAAATACGGTCAGTTCTATCAGTTTATGATGGCAGTACAGGAAATAATAGAGAGCGGTGAAACATCAATGAAAAATAACAACAAATCAAAGTTAAAAAAACAGGTATCTAAATCTTCGGTGACACCAGGAGGTGATTACGATGAAGACGATGAATTTTCAATACCAATTAATGATATATATAAAAGAGCGTATGTATAGATTAGTTATTTAAACCGCTATGAATATTTAGTATTGACAATAGATAATATATTACCTCCTACAATAGTAAATTAAATAGTTCATGGCAAATTGAAGACTCTAGAGAATGTCCTATTTGCTTTGAAGATGATCAGTTGTCGGTAGTACCGTGTGGACATGCATTCTGCTCGGACTGCATCAACCAATGGCGATCGAGAAATAATACTTGTCCGATGTGTCGAACACTCGGTGATGATCAAGATGAAATGGACTTTGTTTTAGTGGAGGAGGCACAACCCGAGGAGATTTCTACTTATTTTCAAACAATACTTAAAGACACCAGATAGGTGATACTTTAATTTATTTATTCAAATGTATAAAAGAAATCAAATAATTAAACAAAATTATAATTAATTATGTGTATCAATCAGATTTCTCATTTTTATATGATTATTTTTTATAACTTTAATTTGTATAATTTTGCACTTCATTAATTCGAACGTTTTTATCCTGGTGTCGGTCATCAGATTCAATGCGCAGTGATTGACATGAATTAACAAATCATTAATGGTACTATACTCTTAACAACCACCTACAATGGATTATATCAATGCGAAGTATCCATCAAACATTCATTACACAATTCCAATGGATCTTATATTTCACACATACTAGATTCTCTTCAATCATAATATCAAAGATCTTATTCAATCCTATATTTCGATTATAATCCAATTCCAAACATTAGTTGTTCAAATATTAATTTATATAATGATTAAAGTATCTCATTTTAAAAACAAATTATAACTTGTTTTTTCATATTCTCAAAAAAAGAAAAAATAAGAGAAAATGTATCAACACCACCAAAATGATAATCAGTTAAGTTTATAGTATTTTTGAATAATTATATATTTAATTAAATAAACACAACATTTAAATGAACATCTTTATTTTTTTTTTAATATTATTTTTTTTTTTACACACAACTCACACCAACCACTCAATCATAAACCACTTATTTCACCCTTATTATTATTATTATTCTGACTATCCAACACATTAAATCATCATTATCAAAATCATTTTTATATTAATATATAATCTTAAATATAATAGAAAAAAAAATTTACTTATATAAAAAAATATGATGATTTTAACAAGAATGTTCACAATTGTGTTTGATATGATTTCTGCCTTATTATATCTCATTATCACACTTATCAAAAATAAAATTAAATTAAATAAAACTTCTGCTATCAATCTTTTCTACTTCAAAAAGTGTGTATTCAATTCAATATTATCTTTTTCTTCTTTACATTTCCCATACACACCATAAAAATAGAAAGACATCAATAGTTGCCTTTTCAAAAAATAAATAAATAAATAATAAAATTTATCAACTTTTTAATTCTTTTTTTCTTTCTTTATTTTAAATAATATATAATTTAATAATATAACTAAAATTATAAAGTAAAACTAATTTTTTAATAATAATAATAATTATAGTCAGTTTTCATATAGGGAAAATAATTATCTCCATCTCTATCTCATCAAAAATAATTTTTGTTTTTGTTTTTTTATAGATACAAATAATAATTATAATTTTATTTAATAAATTCAAAAAGATAAAAAAAATTCATAATTATAGCTTGTCCGATTTTAATAGCTTTTCTATTCATCTACATAGCATATTAATTATTTTTATAAAGTTTAGTTGATGTTGTTGAAGAATCAAAAATATAGAAAATAGAAACAAAAATTAATCTATTTTTACAGGTAGGTATATCAATCTAGAAATAATAATAATAATACTACATTTTTAGATATTTTTAAATTGTAATTTGAAACTAAGTTTGTTTAATTTGATTTTTTTTTTATTAGTTTATTGGATTTAATTTTATTTCACTCATATTATCTTATAATGATTGTCTTTTGAGAATCGATTAGATTATAAAATATGGAAATCGTATTTATTAACAAGAACAATATTCAATTATTACAAGTAAAGAAGATCAAAATATTTTTTGATATTATAAATTTCAATACAAATTAATTATCGGACTTACTAGTTTTAGTATTCTTAACAAATATGATAATTATATCAATCCCCAATAATATTTCATTCTAAAAAAAAATTTTTTGTATTAATAAAATAATTAATTAATGTTTATTGGTAAGATCAACTATCAACTCCACATATTTTAACTTTTTTATCAATATCAACGACAATGTCAATTTTTAAATAGTAATATGATGATTAACTACTAAACTCATGATAAATATCCCTTTAAAATCCTATCATTTTCAAGTTCCAACTAATACCAAATCACCAACAACCAAATAAAACTGCAGCTGAATATTCAATTTCGATTAACAAATTCAAAATCACTGTAATAAATCAACCAACCCCATTACAGTCAAGTAAACAATACAGTGATAAACACCAATACCAAACACTTAATGTAGCACATGCACATATTAAAAAAATACAAAATTTTATTTCACACTACAATTTTTCATTTTCACCCATATTGATCAAACAAATAAACACATATATATTCATATAATAGATCATTATCTTCCCTTAATTAAAAAAAGAAGTGAGTGGTAGATCATACATCTATAAACTATACAAATCAACTAAACCACCATATACAATTTCATCTTCTACGGTCAGTTACCATGTATCGTAGTGTTTTTAAAAACAAAATAATAACCAACCAAATGAAATAATAATATGAGAATTATTTGTTTTTTATAAAAATTAATTTGTTGTTGTTGTTGTACAAGAGTTTGTTTTTTTCCACTTTTCTCACTTTCTTTCAAACCTATGTGTCCTTCACTTCATTCAATGACCCCAATTACTACTATTTTTTTGTTATTTTATATAAAAGCAATTTTTAACACTTGAAAATCACAAAAATATGATTTTGATTTGATTGGGTGTGTGGTAGATGTCGTGGTATTAGAGCTCATCAAAAATATATACATATGTGTCTTTGAGTGAAGTAATATATCTTGGTTTGATGACGATGGTGTTTTCCATTTAGTTTCTTTTTATTTATTTTTTATAGTTGTTTGTTTGTGTTGTTTCTCCAGTTATGTTAAATCACCAATTGATCAATATTATTGGTGAACAATAACAATAATACTTTATTATAATTATTTATTATTACTTCGATCATCACAAAAAACAATATTATTTATTAAACTTTGAAAAATTGGACAATAAACAATTTATCTATAGTCAAACAATATCCAATCCAATATTAAATATCAACATAATAAATATATTGTAGTTGTTGATTTTAAATAATAATAATAAAATAGATATTGGAATAAATTATTATTTTTGTAAATAGCTAACTAATATTAAATAATTATTTTTTGAAGGAAGTTGTTGATTGACTTCAACCAAGCTAAATCAACGATATTATCCAACATTAGAATATTAGATAATACCAATAGATTTTAGAAATGTCATCTACATTAGATTTCTTAAATCAAAACAACTTCACCTCTAATTCTGTTGGAGAAGCAGGAGCAACATCAAAAGAATCAAAAAAAAATATAAAGATAAATAATTTCAATAAGGTTGAGGAGATAAAGAATGTAGAGAATGTAGATCAAGAGAAAACGAGTCCTAGGAAAGGAACGAGTAAGAATAATTCACCTAGAGATGTAGCAAACAGCAGCACGAATAGTAGTACTGATAGTAGTCCGAGAAAATCTCTTAATTTTATATCGCCACCACACACTTCTCCTAAATATTGTTCCAATTCTTCATCTTCGACTACAGTATCATCGTTGGTGGTTGCTTCCGACCGGAAGTTTTGTGTGTGGGCGTCGCTGGAACCGCAAGCCAAAGGACAGAAGGAGTTGCAACTGAATCAGATAAAATCATCTTTTGGACGTTCAGTTGAAATGGATTTTAAATTCCCAAACGAAAGACTACTCTCTGGAAAACACTGTACTATTATACTAAGAAAGCGATCGATTTACTTTGAAATGCCATCAGCAGCCAACTCACCACAAAACACTCCAACAACAAGCAACAACAGTCAGCAACAACATCAAAGTCATCATCATAGTGGTGCGATGACTCTTCTTGTTCCCTATCTCATAGACTACAGCACCAATGGAACCTATGTAGATAAAATCAAAGTGGAACGAAAGAAGAAAGTTCTTCTAAACGATGGATCTGAGATATCGTTTGGACAGCCAAATAACACAAGCGGTGAGAAGACAACGTTTACATTTAGAAGTCTGTTGACAACGCTCTCCAACGAGAAGAAGGAGGAAATCATCAATGTTCTCGATCTTCAGAATCGAACGCTCGGCAGCAGTACCAGTCTTTCCAGTGTTTCATCGGCTATCACTTGTTTCGACACGGACGAAAGTGACTGTGAGTCTGACACCTCCTCTGTATCAATGTCACCGAGTGAGATGAGTAGTACCAGCAGTAGTAATCTCAGCGGTGGAGGAGTTGGTGGTCGTGGTAGATCGTCTTCAACCGTAAAGAAACCGGAGCAGTATATCCATCTGCTGAAAATTCAACCGACTCTCAAGAATATCCAACAGCTGTGTGAGGAGATCAAATTGGTAGCACTAAGTTCCAACCTAGAGCAAAGCGCCATCAGTCCAAATGCATCGACACCATCGACCACTTCACCGCCACCTATCATCAAACCAAACACTCTGCCAAACGAATGGATCGACCAATTCATACAAATGGGTGGTATTTCATCGCTAATGGATATCATTTCTGTAAATAGTAAAAAAACAAAGTTTCTGGATGCCGATCTAGGAGTTGACAGAGAATGTATTAAAATATTATATATATTAACTCAATATAATGTAATGTATCGTCGACGATAAACAATGTTAAATCTATATTTTTATAATTCTTAATATAAACTAATCTCTAATTATTATTATTATTATAGAATGGAATGAAATCATTATTATCTGAAACACCATCATCATTTGGTGATATGTTTCTTATTCTATTGAATCAACATCATTCTTCATTTATTAAATCATCATTATTTTCCATTTGTACCAATGTTTGTAATTTTTCTGAACAAGGTCACAAGTAAGTTATATTATAATTACTATCAACATGTTGATAATCGAATATATATATCTAATCTAACTAATCATTTTTAATATAATCTAATCTATAGATATGTATTACAAGCAATCGAAAAGATTCAAATTCTAAAGAGAGATAAAAATAGATTTAAATGGATATTGGAATCTATTATATTAGAAAAAGAAGTTCAATATAAGGTATATATATATATATATAAATATTAAATATTTATTGAAAGCAAAGAAGAAAGACAAATACTAATAATAATAATAATACTTACTTAATTATAGATACAATGTCTTATTCTACTTAATACTATAATTGTACGAGCTAAAACAGATAAACTTAAAGATAGTTTAAAGACAGAGTTTCTTATGTTGAGATTCCAACGACTCTTTGAATTACTACAAACTGAAAATTCAACAGAGTTACAGAAACAAATAAATCAATTCTCTCAACATTTCGAAAAGAATGACAATTGGTATAGAACAATTAATTTTGGGTAAGATATTATTAACTAAACTAATAATAGTTTTTTTTTAGATATTTTCTTTTTTAAAAAAATCTAAACTAATAATCTAATTATTATTTATTTATTTAATTTTTACAAAAAAGTGATCCAATTTCACTTTGTATAGCAGTACATAATCAATTGAAAGCAGAGAAGCAAGATGAAAATTTAACATCACTTCTAAGAGAGATATTCTCTATTTCATTCAACGACCACTCACCCAATGTACCTTCCACCAATCTTCAACAAGTTGACCGATCAACTATCTTGAATCTACTGGTGCAATTCACTCAGTCTCTTGCTACTCTGCCTTCTTGTAACAATGATAGTACCAAGTTTAGTAATGCCGTTGTCAAGCTACAAGATTCAATCAAAACACTTCAGGATATAACTAATCCAAAGGGTTTGAGTTCTGTTGCTACACCATCATCAACTACAACGACAACAACAACAATAGAGTCATCTACCTCTACAACTATTACTACTGCTTCTGATAGTTTGGCTGCACCTATTACTAGTGGCGATGCACCTCCACCACCACCTCCACCACCGATGCCAAGTGTTGGTTCTGCTCCACCACCTCCACCTCCACCTCCTCCTCCAGGCGTTGGTGCACCGCCACCTCCACCACCTCCGATGGCTAAAAGTGCAAAGGGTTCTGCCAGTGTCAGTAAGGATGTGATTGCCAAGTCGAATGAGAAGATGCCATCGGTTGCAATGAAACAGTTGTTCTGGAACAAGATACCGTCGTCAAAGATAAAGAAAACCGTCTGGGAAAAGGATGATTGCAAGTCGATCGATTTGAACTATAAGGTGTTGGAAGAGTTGTTCTGTGCAAAGAAACCTGGTGCTGCCAATGATACCACACCAAAGCTTTCGAGAGAACCAGAGAAGGTGTCACTTATTGATATACGTCGATCGAACAACATTGGTATTCTACTGTCAAAGTTCAAGATTACACCGCTCTGGTTAACCGATGCAATGATCTCGATGGACGAGAAGAAACTCACCAAGGAAATGGTATTGGTTCTAATTCAATGTGTTCCGACAGCCGAGGAAGAAGAACAACTTAAAAGTTATACTGGTGATAAAGGTTTATTAGCTCCTGTTGAATTGTTTTTAATAGAGGTAAATATTGACAATGTTTACTAAACATATAGTTTTAATAACTAACATATTATTTTATATATGTATATATTAGACTCTTAAAGTACCAAAGCTAAGAGAAAGATTAAATTGTTTAAAGTTTAAACAACAATATGACTCTGTTATTGATGACATCATGATTGCCGCCAAGTTTGTAGAGTCTTGTTGTAATGCTTTTCTAAAGAATCATAACTTTAAGATGCTACTTCATTTGATCTTGAAGATTGGTAATTACTTGAATGCAGGTTCGGCAAGAGGTAATGCTGAAGGTTTTAAATTAGGTTGTTTGTTAACAGTAAGTTTAAATTCATTTTTTAATCTTTTTTTATTAGTTATTATATATATTAACTATTATTATTCGTTTTTTATTCAATATAGTTATCAAATACAAAGTCAATTGATAATAAGACAACATTATTACATCATATAGCAATGGTAGTTGCTGATAGCTTCCCAAATCTAATGATTACAAATGAGACTGTTGCATCTTTAGAACCTGCCAGTAGAGTACAGTGGCGAGAAATGATTTCACAGATCACAGAGTTGAAGTCAGAGATGACCGTTGTTCAAAAGGAAGTTGAATCTCAATCCAAAGCGAATGGTACTGATGCATTCATAAATAAGATGAAGAGTTTTGTATCCACAAAGCAACAACAATTAGATGGTGTATCAATATACATTAATCAAGTAAGTAATCATCTTTAAAGAATTTAATTTAATTAATATATTTATAAATTAACTATTTAACTAATCATTATTATTATTATTATTATTATTATTATTATTATTATTATTATTATTATAAGGTTGAAGATGTTTTTAAGAATTCAATGAAATATTTCTTGGAGGATTGTCAAACACCTGAGGAGTTCTTTATCATGTTGAATAACTTTATTGGTATGTTTACCAAAGCTCATAGAGACAATGAGAGAGAGAAGGAGAATCTCAAGTTGAAGAACAACAAGACCAAGACTGCTCAACCAAAGAAACATCCAACTGTTTCCACAAACAAGACTGTTGTTGCCAACAACACACCGCCAGCCAAGGAAGATTCTTCCGAGAACATCAATGCCATTGCAACTTCTACTGCTAGGTCAGATGATGAAAAGAAGTCAACCGATAAGAATTCTCTAAAGAGATTCATTGGTAAACTTAAGAAGAAGAACAACAACAGTGGTGGTAATAATAGTGGTAGTGGAAAGAAGGATCTTGATTCTCTGACTGTTAACGATATAAAGGATATGTCGTTGGGCAAGAAGATGATGGCAACCGAACATCCCGGTCAACCTATAGATGTAGACAATAAGAAGGCTTCTACTCTTAGAAATGTAAAGTTAAGGTCTGTCGCCAACAGTGTTGATCCAATCGAGAAGAGCAACAAGCACAAGACACTGCCAGTTTCGCTCAAAGCCAGAGATAGGCTCATGGTTGACAATCAATACTCAACTCTTTCGTCAAAGAAGAAATACGATTTGGCAACTACTTCCAAATTGAATAAGAAAGAAGGTCGTCCAACAAAGAGGCAGAGCGGTACCGCCATTGAGCTGGATCTCGATAATGTTGCAATGCCAACTACTCTGCCAATACTCAATCAATTGAAATCTCCAAAGGTTGAGCCAAAGAGTACAACCACCACCATTACCAACACCAGCACCAGCACCACTCCATCGGCTGTGAAGAAACAAGAAAAGAAGGTTGCAATGGCATTCAAGATGCGTCAACAAAACTCACAGTCTCCAAAGGAAGTCGAAAAGATTGGTGTTTACAACAACGCTAGTAGAGACAGTTCTCGTATCAGTCAACTGAAAGCCAGACTCTTTGACCCCAACAGTATGCCAAGGATATCGCGTTCTCCATCCACTACCAAACTCAACTACAAGGGATTCCCATTGAAGCAGCCCGGTAAGACAAGTAATCTTACACTGAAACGTATCGAAGCCAAGGATCTAAGATCGTCTAGCTCCAACACGCCACTTCAAAAGAAACCAACTACCATTCTCCTCAAATCAAAGAGCAAGGTAAGAAGAGTAAGAATCAACAACGAAGTCAAGTGTATTCCACCCAAGTACGAACAACACACTACCACTGTCAAGAGTCCATTGAACAAGCCTGTTGTTCCTAGTATAAACAACATTGTTAATAATAATAATAATAATAATAAGAGACACTCTACACCAAATCTACAACCACAATTAAAGTCAATCACCAACAATACTCTCAACTCATCCAACAATACCAAGAGAAATTCAATGTCATTTGTCGAAGGTGTCGGTGGTAAGAAGAATCCATTGTGGAATAATCCAGAGTATCCAAACGTCCAAATGCAAAGTACAAGCTATAATAAGAATAACAATAACATTACTAGTACTAGTACAAACATTCCATTGCATCAACGTCAGATTAAACCTACATTCACAATCGATCAACTTCCAAAACCGGCAGCAACTGGTTCCAATTCGATGGCTCACGACAGCACGAGATCGCCTCTACAATCCTCTGTTTCCAATCCAACGTTTGGTTCGAAAGATCAGAAACAACCACAACAGATGTTTGCATTGAAGTCAGTGAATAGAGCTAATCATCCAGCTTCCACTAGCACTTCAACCACTGCCAAGTCTACCACCTCTGATTCTTCAAGCAACGGTTCATCACCACACTCCAACGCCACCAGCGACTCTGTAGCCTCGCCAAACACCCTACAGAAATCATCGAAAGTCGGTAATAAAGCCAAGAAGATATTCAAAGGCATTGGAGATCTCTTCCGTTCAAAGAAATCAAAGAAGTCTGGCATCGCTGGCAGTCCAAACAGTATCGAAGGCAATCACTTTGCAACCGTCGAGTCTGAAACTCAACCGATTCATGATCATCTGTCAACTTCGACATCGTCTTCACCCTCATCGTTCTACGAAGACAAGAAACCAATAACTCCTTCGCAACTCGGTCTTACCATCTCTGATATACCAATGACCATTGCAGTTCCAACCAACATTTCCCATTAATAACCATCTACACTACACACATACTTTGGATTCATTCATTGATAATAATGTAATCTAAAAAAATAAAACACCAACCCAAACCCTTTACTTATTTATTTAAATATATTTTTAAAATAGTTTCTTTCTTTTTGTTTTATTTTCTTCTTATTATAAAGAAAGTTAACTTGTATTTAATAAAGATGATTCCTTTAAATAATTTACAACTTCAGTATGTTTGTTGTTCGTTGCATACTCCAGTGCTTTGAGAGAACATCCTTCTTTACGATTATTATGAAGATAGGTAATGACTGAGATATGACCGTTCTTTGCTGCGAGATCAATCGCTTTGTGAGTACACTTAGCGTCGTGACTGTGAAGTAGTTGTACTAATTGCAAGTGACCATTCTTTGCTGCGTGAATCATAGCATGCTCACTGCATTGGTATCCATTCTCCAAAAGATATTTTGTCGTCTCGTAATGACCACTCTCGGCAGACCAATCAATAGCATAGATACCCGCTCTCTCTTTTCTATTTGCATGGAGGAACTGACAAACTTCCAATCTACCCTTGGAAGCAGCGAAATGCATTGTATCTTCATTGAAATTGTTGGTACTTCTCGGATCGGAATGAAAGAATTTGATGATTTCCAAGTGTCCATTCTTGGCGGCATTACAAGCAGCTGTATGATAGTGACCCGGTTCAATCAAATCAGTTGCTCTTGTATCTCTACTGAACTGATTCATCAAAAACTTGACTATCTCCAATTGGTTACAAGAAGCTGCAGTGATAAATGCCAGTAAGTAGGTCAATCCTGGAGCATCATAGGAATGAAGTGATCGTGTTCCTAGTATAGGTACTATTTCCCTATCGAATGATTGGTAAAATCGATCGATCAATCTATATCTTATTAATTGACTTGGATGATATGATAATTGATCCCAAGTGTATCTCTTTGCTTTGATACTACTACTTTCGAAATTAATATGATTGGTATGAATATAACTAATTAAATTGAATATATTGTTTCTTAACACCACATTGTGGAATATCGTTCTGAAAAGATTATCTAGATACATTTAATATTCAAATGCATTGCAATCTATTCATCTTACCCACATCCCACTCGAGACAAAACAAAACAGGCTCTTGCTTGTAACCATAAATCGAATAAAATAAAAAAAACCACTGTGATCACATTAACCACACTAATTTTTAATTTTACATTTTTTTTTGAAATTAATGCGCAGGCGAAAGTGGTTGGGAGACAGTTTTGTTTTTTTTAACCCAATCTGTGAGTAAACCAAAAAAAAAAAAATTAAAATTTTGTGCATTTGTAAAAAAGTTTTAAGGTAAAATCAATAAAAGACTTCATTGTCACAGATACAATCAATCACCTCATGGATTACAACCGTCTCTTCAATTATGTCTTGATACTCTCGGATGAGAAAAAGAATCATGACTTAATCGTTCAACTCAACATCATAAACGTATCGAAATGTTTCAAAGATAATCTTCAAGACACTTGTAAATTCCTTGGAATTCGACAAGTTGTGAGGATACGATGGACACTGATGAGAATGAAGATGAAGTGGATCGTGATGGGTTCAATAGTAAACCATTCCAATTCTTGTTCCATTTTTGATGAGGTTGGTGAGAATAAAAGATCACCTTGACACTAAGTATTTTTTGAAAATAAAGACAAATTCTGTGATTTGCTTTGATTGCGACTATAAAATTATGCTCCCGAGCAATAGTTGCCAAATAATTATGATTTTTTTTTATTTTTTAAAAAACCAGGTGTAAAAAATGAATTACACATGTAAAAATATTAAAATTTGGGTGGTTGACCAATTATTTTTCTCTCTTAATTAAAAAATTGAACTTTTAAGTTTTTAAGGTTTATTTTCAAGAATTCATCATATTTGGATTTTTTTTATTTAACAAATATATTAAACATTTTACAAGTCTGTTCTTCCAGAATAGAGAATATTAGTATGATGTTACCTTGGTGAAGGAACCTTTACAATTCTTAATTTTTATTTTATTACTAGTAAAATAATATCATTAATAATTATTTATGCTTTGTCTTAGTCTCTATTTATTAAATTATATTTAGTTGTACCTCATCTCTTACAAGAGGTTCTTCGAGGTTGTTTCTTTAAAGAATTAAATTTTGGAGTGGTGTGTTAAATAAAAAATTTGACTATAGGACACATATCTGGGGATTCCTAATTAGGAGTTTCTAAAATGTTAGAACCGATTTCCCTACATTTTATACTCTACAACCCCACCCAATACTAAAAGTATATAAAAGGGTCATCTATTCTTTTTTTTAAAAAATTTTTTTGCAAAGCTTTTTTTCATCCAAGCTTTGGATGAAAAAAATAAAAATGATGTTACACAATTTTTATTAATAAAAACAATATTCAACTACAGATGTTTTGCAAAGATAATAAATTAACATTAATTTTAATTTTTTATAAAGTTTAGATTTAAAAAAATGATTGAAAGTTAGTTCACAAACCTATTTCAATCATACAGATAATTGTAAATATAAATTTTTTATAAAGATAGAATACTCTTAAAGTCATCTAACTTTCTTTTTATTTATTTATTTATTTAGATAATTGGTTAGTTCTTTTTAAAGAGATGGATTTAGATACTCCTGAATCTCTATATTATCTAAGTGAAGATGCTTTAATAAATTTATTTATGGGTACTGTGTTACCGGGAGAATCTTCGTTGGAGACCGAAACGAAAGTTGGTTTGGAGATTCTAAGGAGTTTTGAAAAAGTTATTTCAATTCTTAAATTCAATGAGAAAAAACTGTTGTTTAATAACAATACTATTCTATTTCAAGAGATAGTCAGTGAGATCATATCGAGCATTGAGAATCCACAAGACACAGCAACCGTCAAAAAGAAACTCCAAACAAACAAAGCTGTTTGTTTTTATCTTCCAATCTATAATTGTATCTTGTTTCAAACACCAAAAGATTCAACTCTCTATCTCAACAAGATCTATCCAGAGCTATCGGAATTCTCAACGACCACCACTAAATTACGAATGACCACTCCATTCTCTATTTATAAATCTCTACATTATTCATTTCAAGATATACACATCGATCATCTCATCAATCTTCGTGATCAAAAGGAAATGCCGAACAATATCAAACAGTCTCCAATCATCAAGAATGAAGGTTCAATTGGATTGATCACATCTTGGTTGCTTCCATCGATTGCCACATGTTTACAACTAGGATCAACAATGGAGAATCAAACTTTTTACAAGTCTGTTCATCCAGAACATATTATCATTAAAAACAGCAACAAATCACCACAGAATTCATCAGTAGAAACAACAACACCGATACCACCAAATCCATGGAGAAGATCACCAATGTGGATTGCATTCAAATCTCTCATTCATACACTTTGCCAACAACATTGTAAAGAATCAACTATCTTCTATAAATCAATGATGCTCTCATTCTATAGTTTAATATTAAAGAATAAAGGTTCCAAACAGCTAACGCCAAGACATTCCGAATGGATTCCAAAGATCATTCATCGATGTTATAAACTTGAAGAACTTCTTTCACTCGATCAATTCAAGGATCAACGAGTTATAACAATGCCAATTATTAATGAATGTCGACTGCAAATGGAGTCATTACATGATCGATTGAATCGTCAATGGATCGATTATTGTGAATATCGGAATGCTAAATTAAACATTAAACCATCACTCGATGTAATTGTCAATGGTTTGACTGGTGATTCGATTGTTGATACAATTCATGATTTTAATTCATATTTTGAATTTGAAGATTCAATCACAACGATGGAAGAAGAAAGAATCAACAATAATTCAACATGGAAAGATAGTATAGTGAATAGGGTGGCAGTACCAATGAAACCACTTGGGTCTTTACTTGGAAAAGACAGTTCTTTGGAAAGAAAAGTAAAGATAATAACAAAGTATCTGGCGGATTGTGAAAAGGATATCTCCAATATGAGAATAGCCCTCTATCAAATAGAGGATCTAATATTCGATGGTGGAATTATTTCAAAGCTGGATTCAAGTCAGTTGGTTGACATTATGTTTGCAATGGGCAGTGTTGGCAAGTCGGCAGTCAGTAAATGTCCCATCATGAGCAATCGTTTGACATTGGCGTTCTACATTTTGGTTTATCATATCGATAGAAAAGTGGCTGTCGAATGTGGAGATTCTGAATTGTACAATAGACATCCTCCTATTTTTCAAGAAAAGGAACTCTCTCATCTCTTTGTTACCAGCAAGAAGGCCTATTGTCGTTTCACGATAAGATAAATGTCCCACTCAACAATATGAGAGCTGCATACATACTTCTAAAGAAGAATATTTTGTGGAATGGATGATGACTCTGACGATCCCAAAACTATTTTTGAAAGCGATGAATACAAATCAAAGTATACCGTTATAAGAGGTTTGATCAAATATAGAGTACTGCTATATTGTCTCTCTAAAACTTGGTCAAGGGATTATGGATCGAGATCAAATACAAATCCAATTATTAAAATGAATGGAATGAGAAAATCAATCAATGGTGGATTCTATACATTACTAGCAGTACCATATCTTGCATTAGACACACCTTCACCCACATCATTCTTCAGTCATCCAGATGTCACAATTATCTTGACACTGTTGACCTATTATTATCAAGGACTTTCATACTCCCAGTTTAGAGATGCCTTAATCCGATTGGTTTCAACTTGTAACCAACAAAAGAAGAATGATATTTATAGATCATGGATTAGAATCGATGAAAACATTCCATTTGAATTTCATAGTCTTCAGAGTATCGTACTTTCAAACGATCGTATTGTCAATCAACTCTATCAATACTTTAAGTACAATATCAAAGTAATCAACTTCTGGTTGAATGAGCTTGTATTTCCATTCGAAACCAAACAACATCCAGAGAAACTGTATTCCTCTGCTTGGGATATTGTATCTGGCACTCACACTGTTGGATTCTCTGGAACAAATGACACATCGATTCTCTACCCACTCTCTATCAAACAAGAAGATCTTCCATCGTTGTTATACACCAATACCGAGGTATTTAACTATATTCTCAATCAAGAGGATAATCAAGTGCACTTTATTCCTCAGAATTGCAGTATTCTCGATCGTGTCACAAAGACTGATACATTTGCAAGAGTATTCATTGATTCCGGTGCATTGATGATCGGAATGACCAATTTCCAAGTTGCCAAATCATTCTTGGAGAAAACCGATCCCAGTAAAGCCGATGCAGTTGCTTTACTTTGAGAATGGTAATCTCATTTCAATGGATAGAGATGATAAGAAACTGTTGTTCCATCAATCACCATATGCCAACAGATTGGATCGTGTAATTGTCTATCTTGATGATTATCACACAAGAGGTGTCAACATCAAATTTGAAAAAGAAACACATGCAATCGTTACAGTAGGTCCAAGAATGACCAAAGACAAGTTTATACAAGCATGCATGAGAATGAGAAAACTTGGATTTGGACAAACAGTTTCATTCATGGTTTCAGAACATTTGGGAGTTGGTACTAATGTTCTAGATCTTTTCAAATGGGTAATCAAAAATACAATTAGAGTTAATGAAAAACAACTTATGAGGTGGATGGTTCATGGTTGTCATTTCTATAGAACACACTACGCACTTAAACTCCATGATTTAGAAGGATTGAAATTAAATTTACTTCAATTTTCATCCCTGTCAGAGAACAACTCACTTATCGATATGTATCAACCACAGTTTGTCCAGCAAGATATCAAAGTTGTTGCACATAAACTGATGCTCACTAAAACTCGTGCATTCAAGTCAAACATTGATGGAATTGTTGAACTGACAAGTGATGTATGCACTCAACTAAATCGTGATCACAAACAAAGTATCCAAGATTTGGAGAAAAGAATCAAAGATATTGGTGACAATATTACAATTTTCGCATCAGCAGATCATGATGGTGAAGATGAACGTGAAAACGATTTCGAAGAGGAGAAAGAAGATGTACAAATCCAAGAAACAGTGGTACCAGCAGAACCAAAGACTAGTCAGAAACTATTGAATCTGATTTCGTCCAGAGAACAAGTAAAGAGAATTTTCTATCACCCAACACTTATATTAGAGTATGAAAATCTAATCAAGTGTGAAAAGTACTGTATTCTTCCTATAGAATCAATCTATTATAAAACACCAATTTGGAAACTTCTCACTAAGGATAATACTTTGACAAAGATATTTGATAATAGAATATGGGTTACATCTGATTTCGTATACTCACAAACATCAGTTAAAAACCCCATGGATTACAACCGTCTCTTCAATTATGTCTTGATACTTTGGGATGAGAAAAGAATCATTGTTCTCTCTCAAAACGATGCCAACGCTGCATATATATGTATTCAAGAACTTTGGAAATCCGATGATTCGATAATAAGAGCATCTCTTCACCAAACAAGAGCACATACCGTTCCTAACCAAAGAGAATACTTACAGTCAGTTCACACTAAACTTCCAGATGATGCAGATTTCGATTCGATCCATGAATTAATCGTTCAACTCAACATCATCAATGGATCGAAATGTTTCAATGATAATCTTCAAGACACTTGTAAATTCCTTGGAATTCGACAACGTATTGAATCCAATGAGGATACGATGGACACTGATGAGAATGAAGATGAAGTGGATCGTGATGGATTCATCAAAAGTCAGAAAGCTAGATTCAATGGTAAACCATTCCAATTCTTAGAGTTGAACTATAAACTCAATAGAGTATTCGATTTCTTTGGTAGTGATATTGCTAAAGTTTTACCAAAGATAAATAAATAAACATAGACAGAATTATAATTTATGTATACCTTTTTTTTTTTTTTTTATTTAATAAAATTAGAAGCTAACTTTGTGAATAATGCAGGATCTTCAGCATGAATCCAATGACCTGTGTTTGGAATGATTTCAATCTGAGCATTTGGGAAATATTTTCTGATGAGTGGATAGTCTTTTTCTCTGATAAAATTTGAATTACCGCCACCCAAGAACAGAGTATCACCCAGATATCTGGCACCTGGAGGTGCAGGGAATCGAGACAATTCGTGTAAATTGGCTAACAATGAATCTATATTTACCCTCCATTTATAGTTTTGATTCTCATCTAATGTTAAATTTGTTAATAAGAATCTTCTAATTACAATATTCTAAAATGGTTATAAAAATATATAAAGAGTGTAAGATGATTAATTAATTATAAGATTCTTCTAATATCAATACATACCTGCTCAACTGGTTCAAAGTATTTCTCTACTTGTGTTCTAGATTTGATAGTGGTGAGATCTAATGACTTCATTGCGAGGAGATACCGTCTAAAGTCGTCCATTGTGTCACGTGTGAGATCATGCGGTGAAATATCGACGATCAGCAGTTTATGAATGCTTTCTGGGTAGAACAATGCATAGAGCATGGCAACTTTACCTCCCATACTGTGGCCTATAAGTGATAGATTCTTGACATTCTTACTTTTGATCAAAAGATTGAGATCTTCTACCATTGCCAATAAATTGAATTCATCAACATGTTTTGTTGATCCATGACTATAAATAAAAGATAATAGAAACCCATTAATATCATTACTTTACTTATAATCAATCTATCTATCTATCTATATCTGGTCTATATATTCGATAACTTACTTTCTTTGATCTACTTGAATTACATTACAATTTGATTCGTTTGCAATCTTTGGTGAGATTGATCTCCAGTTTGAACCGGCACCAAACAAACCGTGTAAGATAATGATGTTATCTAGGGAGTTGTCCAGTCCTGTCTTGGCTGCACTTGTTGGATTGATTATATTATATTCTAATTCAATAGGTAATGGCTTAGCAGCTGTACAAAACGATCTTGTTACATTGATACTATTGATTGTGTTTCTGTAACTACCACTACTAATACCACCACACCTAATTATATTTCCAAACTTTGATAGACTAACATTATTATTATTTCTTATTAAAAACATATTGTGTGTTTTTAATTTGATCTATTAAATAAAATGATATGCATATATTTATATTAAATTAACGAATCAGATTTATACATTTCATTTCGTCAGAATCAAAAAAAAAAAAAAAAAAAGTTTATCAAAAATATAAATATATTAAATTAAAATTTATATAAACTTTATACATGTTTATTTTTGATTCTGATTCATGATTAATGAATATACCTAATAAATCAATAAACAGTTTCATTTTGAGCATTTACTAATGTTTAAATTAAATTAAGGGATTATAATAATTCCCTTAAAAATACAAAAATTCCCTCAATAGAATCTGTTCTATTACCATAAAAATTCTTTGATCTCATAGAATAAAACCGCGTTTTTTTCTCATTTTTTTTTGATTTTCAACGAATTTTTCTGAACACCTGTTACCACATCGACACCTATTAATTTTTGTTTTTTTTTTTTTTTTTTTGATGGAGTATTAATTTTAAACAATAAATACAACAGTATCACCTAAAACTAACTTATTGCATTTAAGTTTTTTTTTGAAACAAACAATACTCTTTTTATTTATTTGTTATAAATTTGAACAACAAAGAAATATAAAAAAAATAAACTAAAAACAAGTTCACTGCTTTTTTTTTTTTGAAATATTTTTTACGTTTTTATATTTTTACTTTTTTTTTTTAAAATCTTAATTACTTTATTCTTATTGTTATATTATTTATTATTATTGTTATTGTTATATTTTATTATTAATTAGGTTTATTTCATAGAATTGTTGTTAAGTCATTCAGTTTAACTTTGTATACAATAAATAAGATAGATAATAGTAATCAATCACAAAAACTAATAATAATCAAAAATCAATCAACATATATTAAGAATAATAATAATAATAACCAAAAGTAAAATAGAATAAATAATGTTTGGTGGTGGTGGTAATAATTTATTCTCTGGATTTGGCTCCACTACAGCCAAACCAGCAGCAACTTCACCATTTGGAACATCAACTAGTTTATTTGGTAGTTCTGCTACACCTTCAACCACATCAAGTAAGATCAATCAATCATCACTTAAATATGATGTGTTAAGTAGTTAGTTATAATAATAGTAATAGTAATAGTAGACATACATTTTGGGAATATAATCACAATTGTGTGATGTTCACAAATATAGTTATTAGTCGAAAAACTACAATAGAAAGTGTTTAGTTTAGTTTAATTAGACTTGTTGTTAATGTCATAAATCATATAAAAGGTTGTTCAATTGATCTTAATTGAATGATTGATCCTTATCTAATTATTGATTGAAAAGATGATATCATGCCATATTGTATGCAATATGCCAATAATATTATTTGATTGATTGATAAGTTGATTCGAAGATTCGGTTTGATTGATTGTGAGTTCAAACGACATTTATCGATACATAACAAATCTAAATTAAACTAAAACATACTAAACAGCTATTACTAACTAAACATGATAGTTTACATTTATATTATATTTTGTAAAACAAACATATATAAATTAATTTAACTATACTGGTTACTTAACTTCATATTTTATATTTAGTTTAACCAATGAATAATAAATACTAACATCTCTTCTTTTTTTATTTATTTATTAGCTTTTGGATCACCTTTTGGTGGTGGATTTGGACAGACTGCAGCACCAGCAGCATCAACAACTAGTGGATTCGGTGGATTCGGATCTACTCAACCAACTTCTACATTTGGTGCCTCGACTGCCACCTCTGGTTTCGGTTCATTTGGATCAGGAACATCTGGATTTGGTGGTGCAACACAACCAACATCAACATTCGGTACATCATTAGGTTCAAGTAAGTACTAAAACAATTAACAGTTAACAGCTAACGTATATTTTGATATTAACAACATTAAACTATTAAATTATTATTCAGGTCCATTCGGTTCAAATACTTCTGCACCATTCGGATCAACTGCATCTAGTAATCCATTTGGTTCTGGTACAACTGCGACCGCTTCCACACCTTTCGGTATGTCTACACAGACTGCTGCTGCCCCGGCATCGACAAGCTTCTTTGGTGGCGGACAAAACTCTTTGTTGGCAGGTGCCAACACTGCTACGAGTTCCAGTCCTTTCGGTACCAGCTTTGGTGGTACTACCATGGGCGGTTCATCACCGTTCGGTTCGAGCTCGATGACTTCTTTCGGTGCTACCACCGCCGAGAAGCCAACTGGAACAGGCAATCCTCCCTATCAAATGACCAATGCCGAACAAGGTTTGCGATTGATTTCCATCTGTGGTATGGACGCGTATAAGGATAAGTCACCGGAGGAGTTGCGTGTAGAAGACTACCGTAAGAAAGAACAAGGTCAACTCAATCCAACCGCTCAACCAACTGGATTCGGTGCCAATGTCAGCAACCCATCGCCATTCGGCAGCAGCTCGTTGACCACTGGTAGCTCACCGTTTGGAAGCAGCGCAACCGGTTCCTCGCCATTCGGACAGAGCGCTACTGCCACTACTGGAAGCTCACCATTTGGAACATCGTTGGGATCCACACTCGGCACAACCACATCGCCATTCGGTCAGACAGCAACACAAACCACTCCATTCGGTACCACTTCAAGCACTGCTACATCCTCGCCATTTGGTCAGGCAGCACCAGCCACCTCCACTCCATTTGGTTCGTCAAGTTTGACCACTGGAAGCAGCATCTTTGGTAACTCTGGATTTGGTTCCACTCAGCAACAGACTCAACAAGCACAACCCTCAAGTATATTCGGATCGTCCGCAACAACCACACAATCGCCATTTGGATTGGGATCGGGAACTTCCGCCCAGCCATCACTCTTGGGACAAAATACATCTCAACCAACTACAAACTTGTTTGGAAACATGGGAACTCCACAAACTCAACAACCGGCCTCGCCATTTGCACAACAAACCAACTCACTCTTTGGCGCAACTACAACCCCTGCCACCACTTCACCAATGGGAGGTGGCACCGGTCTCAACCTCTTTGGAAACACACAAAATCAACAACAACAAACCTCCTCAACACCATCGCTATTTGGACAGGGTAGCCAAACTCCAACACTAAGTCTCACAGGAAATACAGGTACCACCGGATCATTGTTTGGTAACACACTGGGATCTGGCAACACCGCTACACCAAGCTTATTCGGTACATCAAGCAGCCTCGGATCGGCTACACCAACTCTTAACTTGGGTGGCACCAGCTCATTGCTCGGCAACACTTCACAACCATCTTCATTTTTTGGACAATCCGCACAACCAGCCACTGGAACCAATTTATTCGGAAATAGTTCGATCGGTTCACTCGGACAACAGCCAGCACAATCGTCATTCCTCAGTTTCAACCAACCGAATAACCAAACCAGTTCACTCGGTTCACTCGCACAACCTCAAACCAGCTCACTCGGCTCACCATTTGGTCTTAGCTTGGGTGCCAATACATTGACCGCCAACACTGCTCAACAACCAGCAGCCGTTGCAGTCACTCAACAACCACAGGTCAACTTGAACAATTCGATTGCCAGTTCTACACCCTATTTCCCAGTGCCACCACCTCCACCCATTCCAGAGCTAATGAAGTCGTTGCCAAAGGCACCTCTTGCCGCTTCGGCATCGGCTCTCTCCACCAAATCCTATCATACCTACGCACCACGTTCAACAACCAAATTGGTTCCCAAGCGTTTCAATGCATCTACTTATGGTGGTGTTGAGTTTGACGCAGGTTATGCCAGCCAATATTCACAGGTTCCACTTCAAACACAATTCCCAACACCCCAATTTACTTTTGACCGTTTCGTTTCGAAATACTCGAAATCTCTCAAGATCAACACTGCCAATGAAACTGAAGAATCACTCACTGGCAGTTTGAATCTTGGCTCGAGTGGACTAGGTGAATCGTCAACCTCCTACACCTCATCAATGTATCCAAATCTTTCAGAGGCATCATCTTCATCTTCGACAACCTCCTACACTTCACCACCAATTCCAAAGTCCTCTTCAACAACCAATTTTGGATCACCACCAAAGAACAATACCTCCACTCAATCACTCTACGAATCAAACAACATCAACAACAGTCAATCGAATAGCAACAGCAGTAACAACATTAACAATAACCAAGAATCCAATACAAGTGTAACTTCACCAGCTTCTGCAGCGTCATCTTCCAACACTAACAGCAACAACTCATCATCATCGACCGCTCAACTAAAGACCAACCCACACGCACCAAAACTCACCAAACCATCATACTTTTGTCGTCCTTCTATTGAGGAGCTCCAAAAGATGTCGGACTACGAGTTGGCAAACGTCAGAGATTTCATCATTGAACGTACAGGCTATGGTTCGGTTATGTTCATTGGTGATGTAGATGTTCGTGATATCAACCTCGATGATATTGTAACCATCAAGACACGTGAGATCTCCATCTATCCCGATGACTCTACCAAGCCAGAGGTTGGTGAAGGTCTCAACCGTCGTGCACTTGTCACTCTCCAACAATGTTGGCCATTGAACCCCGAGGGTGGATATCGTCGTTCCGAGGAGGATCTCACTCGTTACGAATCACTACTCAAGCGCAAATCAAAGAACGACGGAATTCAATTCCTCGAGTACGACGGTGATGCAGGTCTCTGGAGATTCAAGGTCGAGCACTTTAGCAAATACTCTGCACCGGACACTCTTGAGGATGCTCCCATCGAAGTGGAATCAACTCCAGCTGCCACCGTACCAAAACCAAAGTTTTCTGCAACCATCACACTCGATGAAATCACTGACGACTATGAAGAAACTGAGCAGTCACCACATAGAAAACTCTTAAAGACCCCATTCAACAAGAGAACCTTAAAATCAAATAACCCAACTCAAAGAAATGAAGTAAGTACTAATATCATAATAATGTTTAAATAAGAACATATTTAACTAACATATTTTAATTATTTATTTATTCATCTTAGGATATGTTTAAAGTTGAAAATACAAATGTCTCTCCATTATCATCTTTTTACGAGAACTCTTTGTCATCTCCATCTTCAAACAAAGGTTTGTATATGTAAAAAAACAAAAAAAAAAGATAAGAGAAGAGAGTTAATATACAGAAATCAACAACCAACATTTAGTTAACTATATATTTATATAATAAATAAATAAATAAATTACACAAATAATAATAATAATTATAAATAAATAAAAAGACACTTAAATATTTATATATTTAAATCAAAACCATTGTTGTTAATAAATTTATTTTCTTTTTATTCTACATTATATCAATATTTTTATTTTAATTAATTTTAGTTCAAAGAAGATTGTCTCCTCCAATGATCCCAATTGAAAGACAGCAACAAGCTTCGACTTCAAGATTCAATCCAATGACCACACCACACCCAACCAAATCTATGTCAATTAATTTCACACCATCTGTTACTTCACCATTGAAATCATCGATTTATCAACAAACATCGGTTGCTCCGCAATCAAGAATCCCACAATCATTGATTCCAATTCAACAACAATCGAATGAATCAATTCAAGTGGTTCCAGTTGCTCCAGAACCAGTTGAAGATCCATTCTCAAAAATTGTGATCAATCCAAAGATTTTGGATTTGAAAGTACCAGCCAAGGATTATGCTTTCAAGTTGAACACAAAACCTCAGGCCATGGATTCATCTCAAATGAGAAGATCATTCCGTGTTGGATGGGGACCAAACGGCCAATTGGTAGTTCCACATAAATCATCGAACCAAACAGTTGTACTTCAAAAGTTGCCAACTAAAACCAGTGGATCTAATCTTGTTGTTGAGTTCCTAAAGAGTCATCTCAATCATTCCAGTGTATCGACCAAGGAGAATGTAGATGGTTGGTTCAATCTCACCAAAGTACAAGAGCAATTGGCAATTCACACCTCAAAGGAGAGCAATGAAGTTGCCAGTAGAATTTGGAAGTTGGTCACTGCTCTTTGGGGTGCAAACAACCAATTCACCCAATTGTCATACAGTGAGGAGGTAAAGAGAAGATTGAGTTTGAATCAATGGTTGAAGGATGTAGTTGGACCGATCGTCGACCAAGAGATCAAAGAGTTGAAGAAGAAACCATCGAACTATTTGGATACCGTCTTTTCTCATCTCTCTGCCAAGCAAATCAATGAATCCACAAGTCTTGCATCGACAAACAAAGACTTTCGTTTGGCATTGATGATGACCCAGGCTTGGGGAGATTCCAACGGAAAGGACATGCTTCTTGCTCAAATAAAGCAATGGGATGAAGAAGGACTGCTTGCAAACTTTGAAACAAAGAGAGTTGAGATTATCAAGCTTATCTCTGGTGACATTGACCTCGTCTACAAGAATGTTAATGATTGGTATCGTTGTTTTGCCATCAATTTCTGGTATAAATACACATTCAATTCACCATTGCCAAGTATCATTCACTCCTATGAAGAATCGTTCCAAAAGCGAATCTCTACTGCGCCAATGCCTCATTACATTCCAAAGAACATCAGTCAATCATTACATGGCCGTATGGAATACTATGATACTTGCTATCTCTTGTTAAAGTTATTTGGTATCAATCGCTTCGATAAATTCGATAATATTTTCTATCCTGAGAATGTTACCACCGATATCATCGACTATAGTTTGTCGTGGTGTTTGTTCTCCATTCTTCAAGCACTTCCTCAACTAAACAAACAACCAGATATCAATAACCAACCACTCCTTCATTGTTCATTTGCAGCTCAACTTGAAAGATTAGGATTATGGCAATGGTCTGTCTATGTTTTATCACATATTCCAGATAAACATTGTTTGTAAGTTAATAATAATAATAATATTATTGTTTTAAATTGATGAATTCATTTTATTAATCATTTTTATTATCTTTGCAAATTTAGCTTAAGAGAAGATGCAATGAAATCATTAATTTCAAGACATATCTATGGTCTTAGGCCTGAAGATAGAAAGTTTTTAACCAACAGCCTATTGGTTCCTGACATTTGGATTGATGAGTGCTACTCTTGGTGTCTTGGTTACGAACACAGACCAAAGGATCAATTTTTATATATGTTAAAGTCTGGACAATATTCATTAGCTCATAATTTAATTCTTGAAGATTTCGGTCCAAACTATATTATTACAGGTAATTATAAATATAATTTGAAAAAAATAATATAGTTTAAATTACTAATAATAATTATTTAACATAATATAGCTCAATATAATAATTTGAAAGAATTATTAAGAAAGTTCCAAGGTCATGCAGATGTCATTGCTTCATGGAATTTTGGTGGTGCAGTCTATGTTGAATTTATTTATATCTCTACTCACTTTAGAGAGTGCCTCGAGGATATCACTTCGAAATCGAACGCAATGAACTACTTTAATAATAAGAACAAGTTGAAGGATTTGGCAACCAGAGCCGCTTCGTTGTGCTTATCGATTAGCCAACTTTCACAGACCACCTATTACAAGAAGAGTGCCACCGATCTCTATCGTGTCTCGCTCTCTGAGATCTCCAGAAGACTATTGGACTACTGTCAAAGTGCATACGAGATACTCTCAATTGACACCAACAAGTCAGAGCTTTTACAACCAAACGATTATGGTTCATTCTTAAAGACTCTTCCATTGACCGAAAACTACAGAATCAGTCAACTCAATGTTATTACACAACAATGTCAAGATGATTTATTAGAATCGATATATGCACAACATTCTGTTTAAGAAATGTAAAAAAAAAGAACTAAACTTTTAAAACAAATATTTTTAGTTTACAATGTGGATGTTTTATTTTTATTTTATTGTTGTAATTATTAATTTGTTACTGTTTTATTTATTATTGTTGATATTATTAAATATTTATATATATTATTAAATTATAATTCTAATGGACAATTGTAATAACTATAAAAGTTAAAAAGGCTAGACCTATATGAGAATATTGAAGTTCTAAGTTGAAAAAAAGAAAAGTTAATTTAAAAATTATTCTGATCATATTTTTTTGTTTTTTATCACTATCAACTTACTTCCTGAATTATTTGATGCACCAGCGGCAGTCGAATTAAATCTTGGAGGGAATGTAGATCCAGCTGCAGTTGTAACTGGAGCAGAGTCTGTTGTTATTTGTTGTCCTATGAAATAAAAAAAATAACAAAATCTGTTAGTATATCAATTAAAAATAAAACTTACAAAGTTAACCTTGATGTATATAAGTATAATTATAATAATATCATATTATAATAAAGAATCTTATAGGTGTATATTATAATAATATAATATAAAGAGTCTTATAGGTATCTTGACTCGTAGGATAATTAAGTAGATGAGATAATTCTAGACTTTAAAAAGAAAAAAGATAAACTAAATTTTGTTGCTTGGTTTACCATTAGGAACACATATCCAAGTGCACTCTTGTTGACCACCTAATATTATTAGTAGTAGAAATTTAAAAGTTAGAAAAAATGATATAAATACGATAATTGTTGTTGATATGCACATTATAAATAACTATATATATAAATATATCTATATAACTATATAACTAAAAGTATCTAATTAATTGTAAATTTTCCCGATCCTGTGGATGTATATTCAGTTAGTTGTCCACAAGTAGAGGAAGCAGTGTTAATAGGGCTGGATGAAGTAGATCCAATTTTAAATTTCATAGATTTTAAAGAATGAATACCTGTTGTACTAGATGGATTAGATGGTGTTGGAGTGGTTGGAGCTGGAGTAGTTGGAGTTGGAGTAGTTGGAGTTGGAGTAGTAGGCGCTGCAGTTGGAGCTGGTCCTGTGATTGCAGCGCATGCCAAGTCTACATTGATATCGAAAACATCTGATGGATCTTGAATAACAGTTCCATTGGGTAAAATTACAGAATAGTCGAGCCATACAGAGCATCCATAGTTTGAATTCTTTCCATTGGCACCCTTACCGACTTGCATTGGCATCATCTTTTGACCGGTGATCTTGATTGTCATATCCTTTGATTTACAAAGAGAGGCAACAACATCGATATCATAGTAAGTCCAGAGCGATGGATCGATTGTTCCAATTGGTACATAGACCGAAGATGGTTGTTCGAGTTTTGGATGATTGTTTGGATCCATATTTTGTTTCCAGTGGAAGTTACATGTTAACAATGGTTCTGATTTTCCAAGAGGTGCCAATCTACCAGAGAAGAACAATTCGGTCTTGTTGGTATAGAAACTAAAGAGTGAACTGTGGTCTACGAAATCGAATCTGCTGTTTCCACCGAATGGACTGAGGTCACTCGCAGAAACAAAGATGGCTTGACCTCCCAATGGATATCCTTGAGCGGCAGTTGGTTCAAAGTTACCAGAGTCACACGATGGTTCTTGTTGACAAGTGATGTCGACATTGATATCTACAACCATGTCAGAGGTATAGTTCAAAACACCGTTCTTCATGAATTTGAAATTGAACCAACCGGATGCACCGTTATTTACATTCTTTCCAGAGGCACCGATACCAACTTGCATTGGCATATCCATATGTGTATTTAACAAGACAACCATACCATCAGCAACTCCACCATGAACTTTGAATTGTGATACCGAGGAATCCAGTTCATAGTATTGCCATTTGCTAGTATCGACGGGACCAACTGGTACGTAGGCATTGGCAGTAAGTTCTTTCTTTGGTGTACCACTTTGGAGCTTGTGGAAGACCATCATTACATCCATAGTTGGAACGGCAGCACCATTCGATGGAATCAAAGTACCGGTGATAGTCAAAGTGATACCGGCATTATCCATTTTACCACTAGCTGATGAGAAATTAAAACTGGTGACACCACCCGGAATATTTGTATCATTGAAAGTAATGGCACTACCACCCAGTGGAATTGGACCATATTTATCTAATTGTGCACCATTTAATTCTATTTAATTAAAATAATTTTAAAAATTAATAATCAAAAATTCAAATTAACTAATATTGAATACCGAATTCAATAAATACATACTATAGACTTGACATGTTGGATCAATTTGTGCAGCTATTGATCCAATCAATAGTGAGAATATTAGAAGTGTTGATTGTATTTTCATTATAAATATTTTATTTTAATTAATTTAAATGAAAAGAAGAAATGGAAATAGATTTTAAAAGATAAAAGTTATAATATATTTTAATTTGTTTTTGTTAAAAATTGAAGTATGAAAATAAATATTATTTTAAAAGTACAGATAATTTAATTTAAAGTATAAATTTTGTTTGTTTGTTTTTTTTAATACTTGTGTTTTTAATTTTAGAACCTATGGGAAACAAAAATTATAGTCTATTTATAAAAAATTGTAAAATCCTAAAAAAATTCTAAACTCTATTATCAACACACACAAACATTATACAAATTTCACTTGGATTCCCAAAATGGAAAATTTATACATATTCAACTTCACCCACATGTTGATTTTATTAATTTTTATTTAACTTTTAAAAATAACCGAACCTTATAAGTTATTATTTTAGTAATAAGTATACATGTTTGCGACATTTGACATTTATATTAATTCTAAAGAGGATTTGTAAAAAAGTTAGGTTACACAAAGTTGTAAAACCTTGATGACCCTTTCCAAAATGAGAAAGAACTTACAATAATTTTTTTTTCACTTAACTAATTATTTATTTTTTAATTATTTTTATTTATTTTATTTTATTGAACTTCAACTTTTTAGCTAGTGTATAACAAAAAAGTTTTAATCTCATATGGGTCCATAGTAACGGTATAATAGGAAATTCTGTTCGTTTTTGTTGGTGTATTATTAATAGCTTGACCATTAATTATATTTTTCGATGTTTTAGGGAAGTTTGGTGGAGATGGTATAATATTATCGATATCTAATTTTTTAAAATTTTTTAGTAAATGTTAGAACTATTTTAAAATATTATTATAATTTTAAACTTACATTCTAATCCAGTTAAATCCGTCTCAACCACTTGATAATTAAAGAAATCAGCAATAAAGATATTTAAATCTAACGAAACTGTATTTGTATCATCGATATTCATGAGTCTTACTAAATAATTCTTTCCTTTCTTTTCGAATGATAATAAATGAACATTTTTTGGTAATTCTATATTATATTATTTGTTTGTTTGTTAATAAATAATCACTGAATATAATATAAAAATAATCTATTTGTAAATAAAACATACGTTCTGATATCATTTTTGAAGATATTGAAAATTGGTTCAAGTTTGATAGTTCAATTTGACCATTGATTGAGAATGCATGTAAACGGTTCTCAAAGATTAATTGATTCTTTCTGAGATTGGCAGCAGAGCTACCATCACCATGAGTAAAATAACATTGATCCTTTGCATTTAACCAAGTTACATCACGATTGATTTCAACTAAACCTTTGTTGTCATCTTGAAGCAATGCTCTATGAATGTAGAATTCGAATTCACCTTTCTTTGGACTTGATGTTCCTCTTGTTCTATCGTTATAGCACTATATTATAAATCATTATTATTAATATTAATGTGCATTGTTATTATTATTGCACTGTTGTACTTACAACAAAAGTCTTTTTAGTATCATTTAAAACAGTCATTGCAATGGTTGGGAATGTATATTCAGCTATTTCACCGTTGAACGGTAGTGATTCACGTTTCATTAAGAACATTCCATTGTCTGTGTAGTATTGGCTGCTTGGCATGTCGGTGATGAATCTGCTGACGATATCTTCGTTGTTCTCACCATGAATATGATAGTCAACTGTAAACTTGCCATCCTGTATGTTATCACCAGAGTTCTTGATGGTGTAGGCAATTGTTAAATCTTGGAAACTAGATTTACTCGTCGATGTAGTTGTCATGTACACTTGTTTGAACTTTCCTGGTATGATACTAGAGTGAACGATTGGTTTTGGAAGAGCTGCCTCGGTGTTTTTAGGCACGAAAGAATAAGCACCTCCAATATCATAGTAATACTTCATAGTATGTTGACAATCCTCGACTGTATGAGCACGATATCCAGCAGCACCATTCATTTCCACTTTGGAAAGCAATCTTGTGATGGGATCGAATATTAGTTTCAACTCTGGACGCACTTGGATATCGAGTTGAGTAGTCTCAACGATCGGTCTAATGATTTTCACTTTGGAGCTTGGTTCGTTGTTGATGAATACCGTTGTCATTCCGAGTGGTTCGACCTGTGTTCTGAACGAGAGCTCTACGATAACCGATGAGTTACTCGAGAGTACAACACAGTCGTAGTCGGTCTCTCTTTCACTGTCCAACATGAGCTTGACTGGACATTGTGTAGCTGTAGGTGAAACCTGCTGATAGTTGATTTGTATCGATTGAACATCGACCTTGTTCCAACCAAGTGAGTTTACCAACACGATCGGTGTCAATTTAAATTGTAAATCAATTGGTTGATTTTGAATTGAAGATATCTTGTAGGTATCACTTATCTTTGCCAACGATCTAATAGAACCACTTGATGCTATACCTATCTTTTTAATAGCATCGTGTAATCTAAATGTATAATCTTCAATTACCTCTTGTTTAGAAGTACCTGTAATACCATCATGATGTTGTACAACTGATATATTCTAAAAATAATTTAGAAAAGAAATCATAATATTAATAAACTAGTTTGTGATTATAATCACTAATAATAACTAACATACTCTATTTGCATCTCTTAATAATTCACTTAATTCATTATTATTATTATAAACTGAAAGCATTTGAGCAACTCTATAGTCAGTTTGTGCAGATCTAGCTAAACCTTTAACACCTGGTCTAGTAGTGAAGTATCCCTAAAATAAAAACAATAGTTATTATAATAATAATAGTTAGAATCATTATTAAAATATATAGATAAAAAGTAATTTACTTACAGTCCACCAATCACCTTTTCTACCGTATGGATAAAAGTCACCAACATATTGATTGAATTGATGGTTGGTTGATGATACATGATCCTGTAACTCTGCGAAATAGTCTCTGAGAGTACTGTATTTAATGATGACTTTGGAGTTCTCTTTAAGTTGTAGAATCTTACTGAATGCAATGGCAGAGTCGATTTGATTGAACTGTGCGATTGCATCTTTGAATTGGAAGTCGTCACCCATTGGAATCATGACAATTGGCGATCCATATATTTTTCGTTTATAATCACCTTCACGCAAGAGAATATCGAATGAGGATCTTGGATCGACATAGTACGATTGGAATGAGTTGGGGAATGAATAGTGATCATCGAGAACATGTGCCAGAATATCAGAGTTGATTCCGGTCTTTGGATTTCCACGCCATACAAACTGAAGATCGGCATTGCTCGATCTCATGGAAGCCTTCACTTCGTTACCGATACGATTCAAAACAAGATGTTTGTAACCCATGGCAGAGAGAAGAGCTGGCGTTACAGTGTTGTGTCCGAATGGATCGATTTGCCATCCATTGACAGGACGTGCCAATTTAGTGGAATTGAATGTGTCAGCAAGGAATTGGTGACCCTCTGCTATTTGATTGATGATAGAGTTTATATCTGGACAGGCTTCATCATTCATTACCCATCCACCTCCAACGAATTCAAGCTGTCCATTTTCAACCAAATTCACAATTTGAGATCTTTTATTTGGTGTTGTTTGTTGCCACCACTTTTCAAGAAATCCACTATTGTTTTTTTATTTGTAAATTATTTTAATAAAAATAGTGAATCTACCTTCAATTTCTACTTACACTTCAGACCAAATAAACTTCTTTGAACGGTCGGATACTAAATTCTCTACGATACCATCTAAAATATATTTAACATCATCATGAAAATAATCCTTAAAGTAAATAAAATAGAATTGTTTATATAGTCAGGATTAATATTTTATAAATAAAATGAAAAATAACTAAATATTTACATTGAATGTTTTTAACCAACCACTATCACAATGAGAGTGACATATGAGATGGATTGTTAACGGTGATGTTATGTTGACATTAGGATCATAAGAATTTTGATATTTATTTGGCACAGGTGATTTGTAATTGAATCCTTGAGAGTATACCAATGATATGAAAATAGTAAAAATTAAAATCAATGGTATCTTCATTATTTTTAAAGTTTTTATTAATTGTTTTAGTTACTAAAACTATAAATAAAACTTTAATTTATTGTATTATGAATATAAATATTTAATAACTATATTTATATAATAAAATAAAAACTAAAATCTTGTTACTGTTAGATAAAATTAATTTTTAATATTATTCCGGTTGTGTAAAAATGAATTATAATTGTTGGAGATTAATGTAATTAATGATATTTTCTTGTAGTAGTTAAGTAACGAATGAGAAATGGTAAAATTTTGATAGAATATGATCAACCTAACATAACAAATAGGGATAAGATTATAGATAAATTCAAAACTAGAAATTACAACATTAACCAGAGTGAGGAAAGTTAAAACTCATACTAATACTGATAGTATTAGTAAGAAGTGAAAGGTGGTGGTACAAGTAATAATTAATAAATGGAGCCAAAAAAAAATAATTCTATTTAAATTAAAAAAAAAAAAAAACTATTGTTTTGTTTATGATTGAAATGAATACAAATATGAAAATGAATTAAAAATAAAATCTTTTCATTTTCATTTTCTAATTTAAAAATATTATATGTTGTGCTATCCTAAACAGTTGATATAATATAAAGTACACTCCGCTCACCACCTCACAACAACACCAGAGAATTTCAATTGGAAATTAACAAATTTCCAGAGTGATGAATGAAAGTTTTTGCTCTTCCTCCTATGAAATGTCATAAAATCGAGTGCTATATAATATTATCTATATCATAATACATATAATGGAACTAAAAAATTATATTGAGATATTATCAATATTAACACCAACTACAAAAACTCCAATCCACTCAACACCTCTATATATCCAATCTTTCTTTCTTTCATTCTTACTCACATACGAAAAGTGAGAGAATTAATTTTGATAGCTGAAGCAACAAATACAAAAAATGAAAATAAATTTGAATACCAACAATACGATAAACCACTACAATTATTCAAACAGAATAAGAATTAAAAAACAAATGGTAAATCATACTGTACCCCCATTTAAAATTATAATTTTAAATGGTGTATATTCTGATGAAACATGATAATTGTTTTTATAATTGTTACTATCTAACATTTAAAAGACACTTGAATCAGTCTCACTAGCAGCTGAGCTGATTAACTTTAAAATAGAATTGACAGGTCAAAGTAAAACGGCATTAATATCTTTTTATATATATAGAAAAAAAAAAAGATAGAGATTGAATAATTTAAACTAGTTTAACAACATAATATACTTATTTGTAATATGTAATAATCTACTTTTTAATTACTCATTTCTATTCTTTGTGTTCTATTATAGAATTTGCACTCTTTATATTTAGTTCTTAATTTGACCGATCACAATTAGATTGCATATCACCATTTTAGTCATGTACGAATTTTATTTAACTTCTCTACTAATCAACTTCTTGATACATATATTTATATAACCAATTTTAATCTATAAATAAAATTTTAATAACAGATGATGTTGTTGTTTTTTGATCATGATCTTGTCTTGATTTGGGCGCGATCAAAATTTTAGAAAAAGTTTAATTTTTTATTTTATTTTATTATATTATTTTTATTCATTTATTATGCTTACTATAAAATGAAAGATTTTAAAGTTGTTTTATTATTATTAAATTATATTTAAATTAATGATCTGGAGTTACTACTTTAGGATGATTCTCTGGGATGTCGGTACCTTTAAGATGATCAAAGTCAGTGTTGGTTGACTCTGGCTCCCATTCGTCCAACTCTGTAAGATATCGCTTAACTTGTGTTCTAGCCATATGAACAGAGTCTGGACCGATAAAAACATGTGTTGGAGTCTTATCGCCCTTGTAGTTAACGATCTTTACAAGTACCTCTCCCAACTTCTTTGGATCACCACGTTGTTGATGATGCACTTCATCTCTATGCTTATTGTAGTGGTCATGCGATGCTTTGTAGGCATCCAACGATGTCTTTGCCAACTTCATTGATTTCTCATCAAGCATTTCACTTCTGAAATATCCTATTAATTTTAATTGTTAATTGTTAATTGTTAAAATTGCTACTAAAGTAAGGTATAACAACAAAATATATATTAAATTACCTGGATGAATTGCAGTTGCTTTTATTCCGAATGGTTCCATCTCGGTTTGGAATGACTCGGTTAGACCGGATATGGCGAATTTACTGGCACAGTAAGCACCGATTCCAGCAACATGTCCCCAGATACCAACGAGAGAACTCATGTTGATGACGTATCCCGATTTCTGTTGACGGAGGATCGGTGCTGACAAACGCATGACACGTGCCGCGGCAAATACATTGATTTCAAACTGCTCCTTGAGTTCGGCATCGGAGAGTTCTTCGATGGTTCCACACATAGCAAAACCAGCGTTATTAACAACGACATCTAGACGACCGAATCTCTCTACGGTTGCAGTCAGTGCTTGTTTAACACTTTCGTCGGAGGTCAAATCGACTTTCAATGGCAGATAGTTGGCAGTTGTAGCGTTGGCGATAATTCCTTCCTTCACATTGTGCAAGAGGGCATCGGTATCTAGTCTAGAAGTACTGGCTACAGAGTGACCCAACTCCACGAGTCTTTGTACAATACCCAAACCGATACCACTAGAAGAACCGGCAATGAACCATACTTTTTTGTTATCTTCTGTAGATGACATTGTTGTAATAGTGATAATAATAATAATAATAATAGCAAAGTTGTTTTGTTTTTTAATAATAAAAATGAATGTTTTAGTTTCAATTTAAAGGTTTCAGTTTGAACAATCGTTGTCAGTTGACATAATGATGATGATAGAGAAATGAAATTGCTAAAACTAAAGAATTGATGAATCAGGTGGGTTGTCGATTTCAAAAAGAATCGAACACTCTTGTTCTGTTGCCCAATAAAATAATAAATTTACAATAAATATTTATATTTAATAAAATATGAGTTGAAGTTTCTATTAAGAATTTAAAAAATAAAAAAAAAGAGGCGATTAAAATATCTTTTATCTAAAGTCTTGACCTCCGAATTCGTAGGTTCCAGAAATTTTTGACTTTCGGATTGTGTCATGATGTATGACGATGAGTTGCTGTTATATCATTTTACTAAAATTAATGAACTGAAAGTGTTGTTTTATAAATCTTTACAAATAAATAATATTTTGATTGATAAATAAAATGATAATAATAATAATTATATAATTACAATATAAAAAGATACAATATATTTGAATTCATATGATTTAACTAAAAATTTTTGAACTGTGATTTAATAATATACATATATATATATATATATATATAACTGGCAATGATATAAGATTATTCAAATAATTATGTTTTTTTTTTTCTTTTTTCGTTTTGGTCGACTGATCGTTTCGTTTAATTTATTTTTTTAATTTATTTTGAGAAATAACACTCCAAAGTAGAATTAGAATAGATAGAGTTGAAATGTTTAATTTATTGACAACTAAATCATGTGTAGTTGTTAATAAATGTCATGGTAGTTTAGTCAATCCACTAACGACTCTATTAAAATCTACAACATCAACTACATCAGTATTCACTAGTAACAATATATATTCATTATCTTTATTTAACAATAGTTTTGCAACTACATCAACAAACTATGGTAATAACAAAAATAAAAATAGCAATAATAAATCAAAGATATCATCTATTGGTGTAAGAAAGTCAGATAGATATGAAAAATCAACAAAAGCAAGACAATCCGGTGACAGAAGTAGAGATAAATATTCATCGTCATCATCATCATCATCATCATCGTCATCACCTATAAAGAATAAGAAAAAGATGTTACTTCCGATTTCAAATTCAAAGGATTTTAAGAGTGTTAATAGATTTACACAAAATGCCGCTGGATCTTCATCTATATCACCATCATCATCATCAGCTTCAAAGTTGGTAAAACAAAAGGCAAATAAAGTAATTGTTGAACATCCAGATGAAGATGTCACTGTTATACAATCAAAGTCAACTTTTGTCGATGGTCTGAATCCTGAGCATTCTGGAAGTGGTGCAGCGTTCGCCCGACTCGGTCTAGTGCCAACGCTGGTGCAATCGCTTCGCGAGATGAACATTACTATTCCCTCGACCATTCAGCAACTTGCGATACCAGAGATATTGTCAAAGAAATCCGATGTCCTCTTTGTTTCACAAACCGGTACCGGTAAAACACTTAGCTATCTACTGCCTGTCTTTCAGAATCTAAAGCAATCGGAGCAACGCGAACAAACCGAACTGGAAGCACAACAAGCTGACAAACAGAAGCAACTAGAACAACAACTCAGAGACAAAGGTATCGATGATCCAAGTCGATTTGGCATCGATATAGAAGCGAGCTTATCACAGGCCAAAGAGAGAATGCCTGCCAGACCCAGAGCTATCATTCTCGTGCCAACAAGAGAGTTGGTAAAACAAGTATCTCAAGTCACCAAACAGATTGCACATCATCATAAACTATCATGTACCGGAATAGCACGTGGTGGCGGTGAAAACGCTAAACATCTAAAAGATTTCAAAGAGAGACCGATCGATATCGTTGTTTCTACACCCGGTGTATTAATACAATTAATAGAGAATAGTAAGCAGTATATATATATATATATATAATTAGATATAACATATATATATAAACTAATTACTTACTTTTTTTTAAGAACAAATATTCTTTGGTTATTTAGAGTATTTGGTTGTAGATGAAGCAGATTCAATGTTTACAGATGGTAAAGGATTTGATGAAGATATGAAAAAGATATTGACACCTATAGAGTATCGTTTGATGAATAAGAACATACCCGACTACAAGAATATCTATTCTGTCATTTGTAGTGCAACTTTAACACAGCAGTTGATGAGCACTATCAAATCATTATTCCCAAGTATCTCAAAGATCTCTACACCCTACATACACAAGTCACTCAACACATTAGAGCAACAATTCATAACAGTTAAAGGTGGTGATAAACATGGTAAGTTTTAAACTATCCTATACTCATTATTAAAAGCGCTAAAAAACAAAACAATTATCTAATTAACTATTTATTTTTAAAGAGGCATTATTAAGATCAGTTACACCATCAAAGAGTAAGAAAATATTGATTTTTTGTAATTCACCAGATTCATGTAGATCTACAGAGCACTTTTTGAATGAGAATGGATTCTCTGTGACTTCATTGCACGGCGATATACCCTCGAGGTTGAGACAGAGCAACTGGAAGGAGTTTTCAATGGGTGAGAAACAAATTCTGGTTTGTACAGACATTGCATCGCGTGGTATAGATATCAAGTCAGTGGAACATGTCATTCTCTTTGACTTTCCTTCTAATCCTATAGACTATCTTCATCGTATCGGTAGAACTGCACGTGCAGGTCAACGTGGTGTTGTAACATCTATCATCGGTAAGAAAGATCTAGTATTATCAAACGCAATTCAAGAAGCACTTAAAAGAGGTGATAGTTTAGAATCACTTTCATCAAATAAAAGATTAAATAAATATTAAATAATTTATTTATTAATAATAACACTACATTTGATCAAGTTATCTTTTTACGTTTATTTCCTTCTTTTAATATCTTTACTGGTTTAAGATTAATTGTTGTATTACTATTACTATTACTATTATTATTATTATTATTATCATTTGTAGTTGGAAGAAGAGATAGAGGTCTACCTATAAGTGGGAATTGTAGTTTCTTTGTAGCGTTGAATGCATCGTTTGTGAGTTGTAATAGTTTCTGTAGTGATTGTGGAGTTTCTGTTGAAGATGGTGTTCTAATTGCAATTGCCATCAGTGAATGTATTCCCAAAGCACTTCTCAATGAATTGTAACAGCTATTAGGTAGTATGAGATATGGAATATTACGCATCGTAGCCATCATCGGTATATGTTCTATCATAACATTACCACCTTGACTAGCCAATTGTGAACATATTATTATTATCTTTATATCATATAATTGTTGTTGCTGCTGCTGTTCTTGTTGTTTAAATGTAATAGGTAGCTTTTCGAGTGATTTTGTTATTTCATTTATACCTTTAACTATATATGGTTGAATCGATGGTGTTTGCCTCTCTTTGTTTAGTTGTTCTTCGAGTTGTTTGATCGCTGACTTCTTCTGTTTGGTAAGTGTAGTCACACGCTCTTTGATAGGTTTCATATCGTTTCTAATCTGTTGTAATTCATTCTCCTTCTCTTTCAAGACGGTATCACTAGTGACAGGCTCTTCTTTCGACGACTGTGTATCTCTCTTTCGTTTCTTAATGTTTGCAACACACTTTTTATTCTTGACGTAGAGTGTGTTCAGTTTATGTTGAAATTCCAATATATCTTTATGTAGAGTCGCTGCCATCGATTTCTTTTTCATCTTTATATTCAAGTCATCCCTATAAACAGATTGCAATTCCTCTACTATTTGATTTGCTACATTTTCATCTAAAACATTACTAGTGATGAAACCATTATCAGTAATTAATGATAAATATATAATAATGATGAAATTTTACACTGTAAAAAAACAGGAATGTACATTATTACTTACAATTGATCTCCAGTGTCATAAGGAGATGATATTGTATCTCTAAATACCAAAGGTTTAGGTTTATTTCCTGCTATATTCTTTACCATTGTAACAAACTGTTAAGTTTAAAAACAAATAACCTTTTTTTTAAAAAGTTTTTGTGATCATGCACAAAAAATTTGGTTTGTTAGCGATGTCATCTTAAATCGGAATCTGGAAGGAAATTAACAACATGCAATATCATTTCATTTGTTTTTGTAAAAGAAAGCTAACTTGAGGTTTAGTACAATCATTCAATAAAATAATAGAGAATTTATAGATATTTACTTTGATAATAGTGTGTTTTTTTTTCTTATATATTTAAGATATTTTCTCAAGACAACTAACAATGGATTGGATTTTTCATTTTGATTAATATCCGAATATTTATCAATCAGATATCTCCAGATATTAATTACTATCAAGCTAAATTGAAAGTATCTATTAAAAAATCAAATAAATTTTTAAAACAAAATCCAGATTTATTCTATTTTAATTATTTTATTTTTTTGGTAATCAAGATATATAAATAGTCTGATTATGTTGGTTTGTGTTTTATTGATGATTAAGATAGATAAATAAATAAAGAATATGGATAATCAAGTATTTAGTAGTGTATTTAGTAATGTGGTGTTAAGAAATCATATATTTAAGATGATGAAACACATTCATTCCGATGTTTACAAGTCAGTAGGATACAAATGGGATAGCGTAAAGGAAACACCGACACTGCTTGCAACACACAACTACTTTGAAATGCTAAAAGATCTACTCTATCAAATGATCAATGCTAAAAAGAAATGGTTTCATTTTGCTATCGGCGGTCAATTGGAAAAGAAAGATGTAGAGCTACTGAATTCGACGCTTGCTGCCACCATTGTAGCGGACCGCTTCGAAATCTTTCAATACATACTCGAGCAGTATAACAATTTCGCTCTAAAGTCATCGTCGACCAACCTCATGGAGTTGGCTGTGAAACACGGTCGTTTGGAAATGGCGAAATACATCGATCATTGGTACGACCCAAAGAGTCACAACACATTCTTTAAATACAATCAGCTCGTTGTCTTGGCAGCGGACAGTCAGAACGTCGAACTTTTGAAATGGATTATCACTGTAAAGATCTTTTCTATCTACTACTCCAAACCCGAGATTAAAGATGTGATATGGGCAGCATTGAGAAAGTCATTGATGAATGCGCGCTTCGATATGGTAAAATACCTGATGGGATTGGCTGGCAATTTCGATATCGACTTCCAGGAGATTCACGACAAGCTGTTGGTGGCTGCCGCTGCCAGTGGTAACATCCCTATCATAGAATGGTTACAAACTAAAGGATTTCTAATGGATGACCAAACAGAGTATAGTATGACCGCTGCCTATCACGGACATCTAGAACTTGTAAAGTATCTCATTAAGCACCGATTGACTAAACTGACAACTCGTACCATGGATTACTCTACTGCCTCTGGCAATTTGGAGCTAGTCAAGTGGCTCCACAATAATTGTACTCAAGGTTGTACTACTGTTGCTCTCGACACCGCGATGGCATTCAACCAACAAGAGATTGTTCAATGGTTGAAAAACAATAGAACAGAAGGAAGTTCTCCAATTGAATCAGGTGTATCAGCTTTACAAATACATCATACTAATTAGTTTGTATTTATATGTAACTAAGAGAATAAATGAATATTGTACAAATATAATGGTTTTAAAAGAGTAGTAGACTAATGTTACATAATTTTTATTATTACATCTTTTTGTATATATTAATATAATCGATTATTAATATTTTTACTATTATTTGATTTATAGTACACGCATTATATGAACATTTATTTGAAATCTACGAGATGTAACACGCATGGTTGTAGAATTATCGGATTGTTCTATGTTCAATGTATTAATATTATGCAAGTCTGTACTGGTTTGAAATAGATTGGATTGATTTGATTTTAATTGGAATGAACAAAGTCCTTTAAGATTATCTAAAAGTAAAGAATATTAGTAACTAGAGTTACAATTGATTTATTAAAGTAATAGATACATACTAATTAAAGTCATTTTTATAAATATATTGTTTTAATGTAATCGTTAGTTTGAATGTAGAAGATATCTAATCTTATTAGTTTTTGTTTATTTTGAATGTTATGTTATCTCTTAGTTCATTCATTCTCTATTTATATATGTTTGTTTTTAAAGGATCAAATGTTTAAAGTACACTCTAACATTCAGTTGATCAGTGATGTTTAAACATGTTAAATTACACTAATCAACCTGATTATCCAATTATAATAATATTTGTAATATAGATTATAATTTAATTGTAATCTCTTTCGAGTTCATACCGCTGTACAATATTGTTGCCAATCATATCAAGATGTAGAGTAGAGAATTGGCAAACGGCTATTACAACAGATAGCCAAGTTGCAACCAGATTAAAAACAAAAACAACTGACAACCTAAATCATTCTATTCAATGATTAAAATTTAATTATAATAATATAAATAAAATTAAATCATCATTTAAATGAAGAACAATCAATTCAAACACCTATCACCTATAATAATCATATTATTATTCATATTAATATTAAGCAATGTTAGTTATGACCTATTAGGTAATTACCATTTACTCCTATTGCAATTGCAATTGAATCATCTTTGATATCAATGATTGGTTTGAATTGCATGTGTTGTTGCTTTTGATGACGAGGTGTTGTGTTGTCATTTTATTTTTTAACACCTCACAACTTACCTCATCTTTCACCAAAAGTGTGTGTTTTTGATAACACAACTACAAAAACAATACAGATTTACAATTTTATTTATAGATAACAAATATATCTATCTCAAAATAGTATTCAAATTATAGATTCAGTTGAAGTTATAATAAAAATTAAAAAAAAAACTTTTAATACTGGTTTTTTGAAAAATAAGTTAAAATACTCACTGGTGAGTTAATTTTTCGTTCCCACGAATTCTCAGCCAAACTGCACGTTAGTTAGTTTTGGTTACTTTTTCAGTTAGTTCATATTAAAATTTAAATTAAAAAAAATTATATTTGAAGCACAATGACTAGTTTATTTGTTAATATCATTTGTAAATAATTTATTTGTTGTTATTATTGTTGTTGGCATTTGTAAATAAAGATTTGTTGCAATACAATAAGACACAATCTCTTAATGTACTACTTAGCATTGATTGTCTTCTTTCGGAAAATATATAATTAGCTTTAGAGAATACAGATTCAGAAGGCACAGAAGAAGCAGGAACACACATATATTTGCGAGCAAGTTGAGCAACATATGGAAATAGGTGATTATTTTGCGACCAGAAAATTGCAGGATTAGAATATTTGCCTAGTCTCTCTTCTTCTTCAGTTACATACTGATAATTGTGGAAATCCATTAATTGCTTCTTGAGTATATCTACATTAAGCTCTATTGGTTGTGGATCTTTACTATATCTATAAAATGGATTAAATGACACTGGTGATAAATCTATTTGAGGTGTGACTTTAGCGGGTGATGTTGTTGTAGTAGGTGTTGTATTTGGTAATGTTTCATTGACTGTTACTTTAGACTTGATATCATTGATAAATATGTTCAATTGTTTATCGGTTAATGTTAGTTCAATCTTGTTATCATCGGTAGCTTTGATCGGTACAGTAGATATAGATGGTGTTTTTGTTGGTCGGCCAGCACGGCGTTTGGTCTCTGGATTTTGAACATCTGGGGCAACTGTTACGGTATTGTCCCATATGATCTTTAAATGGGACTTGTATAATGGAGAGAATAATAACGGCAAGACAATTGCAATTTAGATAAATCAGGTGAGGATTTGAAGCAAAACACACTTTATAGTGATTTAAACAGTTTTTTACAAAAAAGAGCGAAAAAAAACAAAAATAGGTACTTTATCTTTATCTTTTATACTATTTAATTTAGATAATAGTAATAAATTATCCATATTTATTAAATAATTTTATTAATTAACTCAATTTTTTTCTAAAATCTCAATAAAATGAAAATATTTGCAATTATTTGCATTTTTTTGCTCACTGAAAAGTAACGAACTCACTGAAGGGGTAAGTTAGTAAACGTGCCACTAACTAACTTGAACTCACCCAAATTTGAAAAAACCAGGATGATTTTAATTTTATAATAAATAATAAATTTTTATAACTTAAGTTTTTTATGAATTTTTATTTTAAATTATTTTTAAAAATGAGTTATTAATATGAATTATTATTTTTATTAATAACTACCGAGAATGGATTTAAATCAAATAGAGGATTAAAAGAAAGCTCTTTGATATGGTGATTGGAAATGATTGAGGTGAATCCAGTTCTAGTATGTGTGAAATATAAGATCCATTGGAATTGTGGGTATAGAATGGTTGATTGATATTTCATTTCACTTAAATCTACTTCGCATTGATATGATCCATTGTAAGCAGTTACTGAGAGAATAGTACCATTAATGATTTGTTGGTTCATATCGATTACTCCACATTGAATCTGATGTCCTGAATTTGGATAGAAAGGATCCAATGATGTTATCAACTTCGGTCTAGAGTTGTCAAGTATCTTGGCATTGAAAGTATTGATTTGAGTAACATAGTTGGTAAAATGATCAGATGTATATCCCTTGACCTCAAATTTTCCTTGAAAAATCGTACCATCTAGTGTTATACTGAGACCAATAATATTCGCAATAAAGTAATGATCACCTATATAAATCTCTTGTATCCTCTATAAATGCTATTATATCGGTTATATTTTCAGCCAAAAGGTATATTGAACTTTAATTGACCTAATAATCTAAGGATTTCTTTTCTACAATTGCTTCTACCAATCATAAATAGGATTTTTTTCATTATTTAATGATATTTCGCTCACAACCTTTACTCATCCAAACAAAGAGATGACTATTATCTGTAGAGATATTTTGTTATAATTTTATTATATCATCAATACCAAGTCATTATCTTCTTCTGGGTAAGATACCTTCCTCTTGGTGAGAAGATCGATCTCGATTTCTATTTACTGTCTCACTTTCTTTTTCTGGAAAATTGATACTTTTTTGACATTCATTAGATAGAACATTTAGTCTCTCTGATCTAGCAATGTGCTCGGCTATATAATCTGTTAATCATCATATTTATTAATACTATCTAAATCAACCTTTAAAACTATTGTTTTAAAATCTTATTATCGAATATAACTGAGATATAAACAAAATATCTTACTATTTTGGATAAAATTATATGTTAACATAATTTATTTATACATGATATAATAAAAATATATGTTAACATAATTTATTTATACATAACTTAAACTAAAAAATTTAAAAAAAATCTTACCTGGTGTTGTCCGTCTAAGGACAATAGAGTAGCCGCTTAGGCAATGCTAGTACCTATCAAACAATATCAATAGTATACACCAGCCAACATATGACAACAATAATAATAAAAATAATAAAAGTCAACCAACTACTACTCTATTCCCAGAGGTCACTCCTATCAATGTTCGCCAATATCCGCTTCCAACTGAACTCTTCCAGTCTAGCCTAGCGTCATCTAAGCTCCCGATCTCCTCTACCATCGTGCCTGGCCAACCGGATGGAAAACACTTGGCAATCATATGTAAGAATTTCCACGATCGGGACAGGGTGTGATAGGAATTATTTTTTATTTAATCTCTTGATTTTTTAAGTAGCTGTCTCCTTGTCATTTGCTCACCATCTGGTAGTGTAATTTCTTGTTTGTTGTTCGAAAGTGTTAATCCAATTTCTCGGTAAACCAATGTTTGTGGATGACCTAATCTTAATGATTCCAATAATAGTTGTTGTTTAATCATTCTCAAACCATTATTGAGAGTGATAGCTTCATATTGAAATAGTGTCATTCCAAGGTTATAATAGGGTTTATAATTCTTTGGACCACATTCTATTGATTTCAAGTATAGTTGTTGTTGTGTCATTGATTGTCCATTAGGAAGAGTGATTGATTCACCTCTTGAAAGTGTATACGCGAGGTCATTATATGATGGGGAATCGGTTGGATAACATTCTATTGATTTCAAGTATAGTTGTTGTTGTGTCATTGATTTACCATCATTAAGTGTGATTGATTCGCCAACTGAAATTGTATTTGCCAGACTATAATATGATCGGGTTTTGTTTGGACGACATTCTATTGATTTCAAGTATAGTTGTTGTTGTGTCATTGATTGACCATTAGGAAATGTGATTGATTCACCACTTGAAAGTGTCAATGCGAAGCAATAATATGATCTGTAATAGTTTGGATCACATTCTATTGCTTTCATGTATAGTTGTTGCTGTGTCATTGATTGACCGTTATGAAGTGCGATTGATTCACTTAAAAGTCTCTTTGCAAGGTTAAAATATGAATGTGAAAGGTTTGGATCACATTCTATTGATTTTAAGAAAAAATTTTGTTCTGTCATTCTTTGTTCACCATTAGGAAGTGTGATTGATTCACCAGGTGAAAGTTTCACTGCAATGTTATTGTATGAATAGGAATTGTTTGGATCACATTCTATTGATTTCAAGTATAGTTGTTGTTTTGTCATTGATTGACCGTTATGAAGTGTGATTGATTCACCGCTTGAAAGTGTTATTGCAAGGTTATAGTATGAATAGGAATTGGTTGGATCACATTCTATTGATTTCAAGAATAATTGTTGTTGTGTCATTGATTGTCCGTTATGAAGTGTGATTGATTCACCAATTGAAAGTTTCGCTGCAATGTTATGTATGAGTTGGAATTGTTTGGATCATATTCTATTGATTTCAAGTAAAGTTGTGTTGTGTCATTGATTGACCGTTATGAAGTGTGATTGATTCACCACTTGAAAGTGTGTTTGCAAGGTTATTATATGAACTTGAATCGGTTGGATCGCATTCTATTGATTTCAAGTATAGTTGTTGTTGAGACATTGACTGACCATTATGAAGTGTGATTGATTCACCACTTGAAAGTGTAGCTGCAAGGTTATTATATGAATTTGAATAGGTTGGATCACATTCTATTGATTTCAAGTAAAGTTGTTGTTGTGTCATTGATTGGCCGTTATGAAGTGTGATTGATTCACCACTTGAAAGTGTGTTTGCAAGTTTATAATATGAACTTGAATAGGTTGGATCACATTCTATTGATTTCAAGTATAGTTGTTGCTGTGTCATTGATTGACCATTATGAAGTGTGATTGATTCACCACTTGGAAGTGTATTTGCAAGTCTATAATATGAATTTGAATAGGTTGGATCACATTCTATTGATTTCAAGTATAGTTGTTGCTGTGTCATTGATTGACCATTATGAAGTGTGATTGATTCACCACTTGGAAGTGTAGCTGCAAGGTTATGGTATAATAGGGAATCGGTTGGATCACATTCTATTGATTTCAAGTATAGTTGTTGTTTTGTCATTGATTGACCGTTATGAAGTGTGATTGATTCACCAATTGAAAGTGTTAATGCAAGGTTATTATATGATTTGGAATTGGTTGGATCACATTCTATTGATTTCAAGTATAGTTGTTGTTCTGTCATTGATTGACCGTTATGAAGTGTGATTGATTCACCACTTGGAAGTGTATTTGCAAGGTTATGGTATAATAGGGAATTGGTTGGACGACATTCTATTGATTTCAAGTATAGTTGTTGTTGTGTCATTGATTGACCGTTATGAAGTGTGATTGATTCACCGCTTGAAAGTATTGTTGCAAGGTTATTGTATGAGTTGGAATCGGTTGGATCATATTCTATTGATTTCAAGTATAGTTGTTGTTTTGTCATTGATTGACCGTTATGAAGTGTGATTGATTTCACCGCTTGAAAGTCTTCCTGCAAGGTTATAGTATGAGTTGGAATCGGTTGGATCACATTCTATTGATTTCAAGTATAGTTGTTGTTTTGTCATTGATTGACCGTTATGAAGTGTGATTGATTCACCAATTGAAAGTGTTATTGCAAGGTTATTGTATGAGTTGGAATCGGTTGGATCACATTCTATTGATTTCAAGTATAGTTGTTGTTGTGTCATTGATTGACCGTTATGAAGTGTGATTGATTCACCGCTTGAAAGTATTGTTGCAAGGTTATAGTATGAGTTGGAATCGGTTGGATCACATTCTATTGATTTCAAGTATAGTTGTTGTTTTGTCATTGATTGACCGTTATGAAGTGTGATTGATTCACCAATTGAAAGTGTTATTGCAAGGTTAAAGTATAAGTTGGAATTGGTTGGATCATTTTTTATTAAAATCAAGTAATATTTCAAGTATAGTTGTTGTTTTGTCATTGATATCGACTATCTATAACTTCAGGTATTTTTGATCTGAACTATTGGTTTTTATCTAAATATGATTCAAGAGTTTATCTATTTTTTTGGGATTTCAAAAAAAAAAACATTGAGCAGGCACAATAAACAATTTTTCTTCATTTGAAAAAAGACTTTTCTTAGATTAAATTTGTGTTAAAACCACATGAAACCCCTGAATACCCAAAATAGTTTGTGGTGACCACAAAAAAATGATCAGTTAAAGTGGGAGATAGCCCAAAAAATTAGTTAAGAGCTATCGAGAAAAAGAACCCACTTTAAGAACTATTTTGAAAGATTCCGGACCTGTCTTTGCAATCTATTGATGAGCTTTTCCAAAGTGGTATGAAGTTCGGGTGGGAGACAAATGTTAGACTCTAAATTGTTGGTTGACAACAATGCAACAATCGAGTTAAATAATGGTTTGGTAGAGAAAATAATGTTGATCACCAAGAGGAGCAATAACCAAAATATTAGAATCAGATACCACACAGTTCAACTGTTTTTTTAAAGTGTAAATCAACAATTTAGCAGTTGAAGTTTTTAAGAAAAAAAAATAATTTGCTCTGGTGCGAAATATTCTAGTTTTTTAAATGACTAATGAAAGTTAGTTATGGACAGGAATAAGAATATTGTGCATGTTGTGTGGACAACCTCTAATCAATTGGTCGGTTGTAGTGAGATAAAGAATGCATTGAAGTGTTTGTTGATGTTGGTGGGTGGTTCTCCATCTACTCTGACCAACCTATCAGTTTCTACAACAACAAATAATAACAATAATAGTGACAGCAGTGTTGTTGATTCTACTACTTTCAATAACAATAATAATCTCACAGTTCAAAGTAATAATAGTAGAACTGGTGGTGAATTGAAAAGAATAGAAATGAATAATATAGATGAGGCAATCACTAGAATTAGAATAGCAGAGTTACTTCTACAGTATACCTTCAATCACGATGAAGCTAGATATCATCTCGAGAAATCTGTATTCCTTCTCGATTCTGACTCTACCGATCACTCAATGGAATTACTCTGTAAGATTAGTTCTTATCTGATCGATTACTTTCACACCAACAATGCATTCAATCTCGCAAAACAATGGTTAAAGAAAGCTATTAAATATTCTATATCGTAAGTTAAAATAAAAATCTAGAACATTACTGACTTAACTTTATTAACTTTATCATGATAAACAATATTTAGACTAAAGAATAATCAATGGTTACTTTACTTTTTAATAAAAGAATCACATATTCTATTTAGAGAGAATCAACCAAAGCCTGTATTCAACTCAATAGATCAAGCAATTAAATTAGCCATCAATATGAAAGATACATTTTGTCATGTAACTATGTTAGGATTTTAAAAGAGTTAGTTATTCTTATTAACTTTATTTGAATCTTTCTTACTTTAGTCACTTTTAAATATAACAAAATCACACTTTCTTTTGATATACTGGGATTACAATAATATCGATGTATTACTGAATGAATCAATGGCAATGATAACAATAATGAATCAACAATTCGAACACTATAAAACACAAACAACACAACAAACTATACAGTATCCAGATTTCTTTGTATCTATATTCAACTCCTCCAAGCTGAATCAAACAAAGCGTATGGATCTACAAATAAGAGATGCTATTGTATCATTTGAATATGTAAGATATTACTTTATTATTATTATTATAATATTGTGGATAATTAATTAATCAACTCTATCAAAAATAGTTAAGAATCTATTATTGTTTTGTAAATATAAACTATTTGTTTAGAATAGGTGAATATAAGAGGGTTGGTGAAGTTCTTCACAATCTGGAGTGTTATATAAAGAATATGATTGATATGATTAATGTAGATGTTACACCGGTGAATGCTCTGTTTAGTTTCAGTGGTAGTTCTGCGCCTGGTCAGTATGGTGTAACGTACTTGCTGGTGTTGTCCTACCTGATGTTTGGTGTTTATAATCGAACGATTGGCGAACTAATGAAATCACGATACTACTTGGTCAACGCATTGCAACTGATCGATAAATATATTACGACGGTCTACAACAGTTCGAACAATGGTGATGTCGCCAATGAACAGATGACAGAGGTGCGCTCTCTTATCCGTTTGAAATTCATGATTCACGAGAATCTCTTTTATATTAGAGCGACAAGACTAGAGTTGGATGAAGCGTTCAACGAGATTCAAAATTGTAACTACCTACACAACCAATACCCATTGCTATTCTCTGACTTTGGTGACACCGTTGTACATACACTATCTTCAATCTACCAACAAACATTGGGTAATCACATACAATCAAAACAACATATTACAATTGCATTAAATGTAACTAGATCTAACAAAACAACTCTACAAACTAAACATAAACACATTACTAATATCATATTACTGCCATATAGAAATCAACAAGATTTGATATGCAAATTCTATCAATTATAAGAATGGTAATAAATACATTACATATGAATGAAATTGATACTGTAAGTGGAATCAAGCTAGATCATACAAAGTTGATTAATTAAAACTAACTTTATTATTATTATTATAGGCAAAGAAGTTAATAAATGATTACTTATTACAACTTGAGAATCATCCACAATTGGTGTTTAAAGTGGCAACATTGTTTCTGGATGGTATGACCAATCTAGGCAGTGATCCAAATGCATCGAAAGAAAAGTTCAAAGCATGCCTAAAGATGCTGCATAAGAATTTCACTCATAGTCAAATGGCAACCAATGTCCTGGTCTCTTTAATCAAGTTGATGTCACACTACCCCTCTATAGGCGATAGTAATAATCCACTGGAGAATAGCAACAATCTAAAAACAATGTTAGAGTCTGCGATCACTCTATCTACGGTTTCCTCTGATTTTGTATCACTTTGTTGTTGCTACGATAGTTCGTCTCAACCCGATTCAACTCAAAAGCAAGCATCTCTAATGATTAAAAGACATAATATAATAACCAATACAGTATCAAAAGAAGATCAACAATTATTCTTTCAATCATTAATATCAAATTCAGCAGCAGCAGCTAACTCAACGAAATCACCTAACAACAAATAATAACAAATAAAAACAACAACAAAAAAAGAAATATAGTTATATAATAATAACTATTTTATCCACACATTTTGTTTACAAATATAAAGTTAATACTACAATATGATCATATGTTTTTCTTTATTTCTTTGTAAGTTCGTTAATTCTCTTCTCTAATGCTTCGACATTCAATTGAATAGTTTGCATGTTTGATTTGAATGATTCATCCATCTATAATAATAATAAGTATAATTAATTGAGATTAGTTTGGTTAATAATCATATATGATTAAAATAGTAATAGGAATAGATCTATAATTATTACCTTATTCATTACTGTACTGTTAGTCTTTAATAAAGATGTAATGTTTGACTGTTCTTTGTCAAGCTGTGTGATGTGATTGGAAAATGATAGTCCTTCTTCGTGTAGTGATCGCAATGTATAAAGTCTGTTGATAACCGTTGGTAGTTGTTGTCCGATTACATCCCATCTGTTCATGAGTTCATAGATTGAATTGATCTTTGACTCGTTGGTAGTCAACGACTTGGTAACCGACTCATCCTGTACCTTGACCGACTCCATCTGCTTGGTGACAAGCTTCATCTTTTGTTGTAGAACATCCAATTTACTAGAATCCAACAATGCCAACTTCTCTTTGATCTCTACCAACGATTGAGTCAATGGAATTGATAACTCCTATATTAATTATCAAACATATCCATTAATATATATAATACTATCCTATCGATGTTATATAAACAATTTAAACTTACAGTTTTATTTCCTAAAAGAGTCTCTAATTGAGCTAATCTCTTATCTAAATCGGTTAAACGTTGAAGTTGTTGATATTTAGCTTGATCTCCGGTATAATAGAGTTCATATTTTACATGATTTGCTGATGTTGCTGAAGTCGCTGCCGCTGAATCTGATTTATCTTTATTGTTGTCAGCTGTTTCTCCACTGCTCTCTGTGAATGATTTAATACCATTGATCAATGTTTTAGATGTATCTCCCTGTTATATAATATAATATTAATAACTTTACTTATATATATAACCAAAAGATATGTATCTTAAATATATATGTATAGATCTTACACCTAATTGTGAATAATGTAATATTTGTCTATTCTCATCCAAGATTGGTCTTAACTTGTCATTGTCAAGCAATAACGATAATTGATTCTGTAACTCTGCCAATTGATGTGCCATCTCGACACCTTTAATACCTTGTTCAACTTCACCATTTGACTGTAGTTTATTTTTAATAAATGGTATTAAAATTAGTTATAAATATATCACTTCTTAATAAATAGATATTTAATACACTTACATCAGCAATGATTTGTACTTCATCACGTAATGATTGTACTTCGAATTGTAAACGTTGATACTTTTGAAGCGGTGTCTCTGTCTTTTTGTCGGCGTCGGTTGCATCTGATGGAATGATATCAAAGACAGTCTGTGATTTAAAGTGTCGCTTTGTTGGTTTCTTATAGATTGAATCCGAGAAGTCTTCACCGTCATTTGTTAACTTTTTATTGGCAAACTTTGCAAATGCTTTCGATGGTACCAACGATACTCTTTCAATATTTTCATTTACCAACTCTGGTTCGTCCTAAATAAATCATAATCATCAACATCAAAATTAATAACTATAATCATGAAATCTAAATAAATACTAATTAAAGACACCTACAACTACAATAGTAGCAGCTTCAGGTACATCTGGTGTTTCAAAACTATCTGGTTGTGTTGGATCCTAATTTGATCACATAACATATTTAATTAATAATCAAAATACAATAACTAACTAAAATGGTTGATTTATATTTTTACATACTATATCAGGTAAATTTAATATTCTCTTTGATTCTTTTGACATGTTTTGTTTATAAACTAAGTAAATATATATTTAACAATGAATATCTATAATATGTTTCAGTAATGTAAAAAAATAGTGTGCTTGTTGTGATCATCAAAATTGCAAAAATTAAAAAAAATTAGAAAAAAAAAAGTGTTCATTTTATTATTAAAGAATACACTTTCAAAGATCTGATTTGATTTACATGTTGGCTTGTTATATATATTAGATATAGCATATGTGTTTTATTTTAGTTTTAAAGTTTATTTGTTTTTTGATTTTTACTTTTTTGATTTTGTTTAATTAATTTATCTGGTGTATTTACCCCAGATGTGTAAAAGGATAACAAAACCGATGAATGATAAACTTGCAATGAGAACAGCTTGTGGTCCGCTATAAAACATATTGAATGTTCAAAAATTAGTTTAACCGATTCATAATGTCTATGTTTTGTTGAATGAAAATACTTACACCTTCAAACCGATAGCATCTTCAGAGTAATAACGGAGCATATTGTTTCCATTTCCACCTTTGGCGACGGTGGCTGGTGCTCTGTTGGTTGGGGCTACATTAACACGCCTATTTTGAAAATGATTAGATCTATTAGTTTCTATTTTATAAAAAAATAAAGTTATATATATATATATATATTCATTGTCCAATCAGGTTCTGTCATTTACTTCAAACACTTAAAACATTCCAATCTTTTTTTTTTTCCTATTAATGATCACAACAACATCAGCTGACTTTAACTGATTCATTGATTTTTCATTCTATCAATCCTCCTTATTTGTTGTAATTATATTTCCGATGTCTATTTATATCGAAATGATTTGACTTGACTTTCAAAATGTTTAACTTTCTTATGAATGATTGCTTTTGACCTGACTGACATTGAATGATTTATATAACCCATTCACCTAATAATAGTTATGAAAGAATAAAAAACTTACTTCATTTTATATTATATATTATATTATGTTAAAAATATAGAGAAATTTATATACACAAATCAATCTGAGATGGAAAAAAAAAAAAAAACAAATTTTAAATAAGTACACTTGTTTTTTAAAAAATTGCAATTTATTGACGACTTGTGATGTGCCATTTTGATGATTCTGCATGCCTGCCCACACACACCAGTGACAAAAAAAAATATAGTCAACACATTTTTTAAGGGTTTGAAAAAAAGTTTGACTTGGAACTTCTGTTTTTTTGAAATTTTACAACACTATTATTCAAACCAAAAGTTATAACAAACCAAATGAACAGATTATATGTATATTATATCAATAACCTTAAAAATAATTTTCTTTATTGAACCTTTCATTTAAGTCTAAAGTAAAAATAAAAAAAATAAAAAAAATAAAAATAGAATGAAAGAAATATAAAAAAGATAATTTTTTTTTATCATAAAAATATACGCCTCATCCAGATATCTAGATGAACATATCAACTTTTTAGGTTTTGTATTTGTATATTAAAATTGAAAAGTTGAACAAATACGAATAGATGGATATTAAAAGGTATGAAGTTCGAGCTTTCTAACTTTCTCAATCACATTAATATAAAAAAAGTTTTTATTGATAAAATTTGTTTATTGCACATGGGTTTTTTCAATGGGTTATCATTGATGCCAAAAATCAAACTTTTTTTGAAAATTTTTAAAAAATAAATTTCATTAATTCCACTTTTTAGAATCAGATTGCTTGTGAGGAGCCAACATAGTTGACCCACTGATTATTATCAAAATAAATTAAAAAAAAATTAGAAAAAAAAATAAAACAAAAAACCACACACATTGACTTCTGAACAAAAAATATCACAAAACTTCTACTTCACTGTTACAACATTCATCTCATTCCTAACTCTTAGTAATAAATAAATATAAAATTAAATATTTTAATAGTTAGAAGGAAATAGTGATCAATTTCAATTTCTAGGGTATGTCTTACATGATACCACTTTGTGTGTTTTTATCACAATCAATCAAATAAGCGGTGATTGATCCATGATGATCACCACACAATCAATCAGTCCAAACCAAAAAAGTCAATAAACAACAACAAATATCAATCAATCGAATTCAGCTTCAAATTCAGTGTCAATAATGCGAACTTCAACAACGACCGCTTTGTTTTAAAATTATATTATAAAAAATACTTAGTTATTAACTTTTATCTTTATATTTTTTTTTTAGGTTTGATATTTTCACTTTTTCATATTTTTGTATAAATAATAAAAAAAAAACATCAACACACCAACCAACCAAACAACCATCACCAAAACCAATTGTATAATATAAATAGATAGAATAAAGTCATGTCTGCTTTTGAAGTCGAACATTTAGCTACATGCATTACCGCTCACGCATGGAATGCTGACAGATCAAGAGTTGCTCTCTGTCCAAACAACAACGAGATTCATATCTTTGCCAAACAAGGTACCTCATGGGTTGTCGAACATGTTTTGGTTGAGGTAAGTTCATCATCATAATCATAATCAGTCACAAAACAAAACAAAACAATCAATCAAATGAACAGCATATTCCATTTTAGTCCAACAACCATAATTACACAGTTTGACTTTGGAATAAAACAAGTTTAACTCATTGGAATGTGTCTACTAGATTATTGGAGTTGATTCAAAGATAAATAGATAGTCTAGAGCAGATGATAATATTGTTCAATAATTTCAATTGAATTTGGTTAGTTTTGTTGGTTGGATAGATTAGTTGATTCATTTGATTGATTGATTGATTGATTGATTGGTTTGTTTATTTATATATTTTAACAATATACTTATTTCTTCTTTTGTTTTATTTAGCACGACCAAGTTGTAACATCAATTGATTGGGCACCAAAGACCAACCGTATTGTATCATCATCACAAGATCGTAATGCTTACGTATGGACATTCAAAGATGGACAATGGAAGCCAGTTTTGGTATTGTTGCGTATCAACAGAGCTGCCACTCACGTCAAGTGGTCACCAAACGAAAACAAGTTTGCCGTTGCCTCTGGTGCCAAATTGGTTTGTATCTGTTTCTTTGAGGAGGAGCACGACTGGTGGGCATCACACCACATCAAGAAGCACAAATCCACTGTGCTCAAGGTCGACTGGCATCCAAACAACTTGCTTCTCGCCACATCGTCATCCGACTACAAAGTTCGTGTCTTTGACGCCTACGTCAAGGTTGCCGACGGTCGTAACGTCCAACGTCCATACGGAGAGATCCCATTCGGTCAACCAATTTTCGAGTTTGACCAATGCGCATCGTGGGTACACGCTTTGAAGTGGTCTGCCAGTGGATCGCGTCTCGGTTTCTCGTCGCACGACTCCACCTTGGCTGTCGCCGACTTCTCCGGTGGCGACCAACCACAAGTCCAAAAGTTGCGTCTTCGTAACTTGCCATTGCGTGATCTTCTCTTTGTCACTGAGAACTCTATTGTCGGTGTCGGACACGATTGCACACCAATCTTGATTACATGTGCCGGTGGACAGTGGAAGCTCGACGGTGAGCTCGACAAGGAGTCTGGACCAGCTGCCGGTGCCGGATCTACCTCTGCACGTAACGTCTTCCAAAACAAGGTCGACCTCGGTGAGTCCAAGGTTGACATCAAGTTGCCATACGTACACCAAAATTGTATCACCACCATCCTTCCATTCAAAGCCACCGGTGGAGTCGTCTCTGATTTCAGTACTTCAGGTCTAGACGGAAACATCGTCATCTGGCACGTCAAGCCACTCGAAACCAAGAGTAAATTAAAGTTTGTCTAAATCATTCTTTCATAATCAAAAAAAAAAAAAAAAAAAATCAACAATCTATAACATAACATCAAAACAATGTTAATCATTAAATATATTAAAACAACAAGAAACATAAAGCTTTAACAACTTTAAAAAAAACATTAAAAAAAAAAACATTATTTAATTAATAATTTGTGTATCTTCTTTTAAAATAATAACAACAATTTATTTGAAATCTAAAAGTAGTTTAATGGAGAACAACTAAGAATATAACAATATGTTTTCTCTTTGGTTTGTTTATGTTTGTTTATAGAGTTTTCTTTGATTGACAAATGTAACGGTTACATAATTTTTACAATTACTTAATTTTCTTTGATTGACAAATATAAACTTAGTTTAAAGTTTTGTTGATGATTACTTTAAGTCTTTATAATGATTGTTGTTTAGTTTATTTGTTAATTTCAAAATGATAATAGATAACAACAACAATCAAACAACAACAAATAAGTTGGTAGGCTTTTCACATTATTTATTAAACTATATTGTTAGAAATATAGAAGAGAACATCGATAGAATATGTTTTAGTTTGGTTTGTAAGAGATTGTATAACGAAAGAGATAAATATCTATCTTTCAATACAGATTCTATTAATATTGGAGGTTGTGATAATGTCTTTATTCAATACAACCATCCGCATTTCAAACTACCATCGTATGACTCTACCCTAAGAAGATCAATACAATCAAAGAATGATTGTAATCTCTATATATCATCGGATATCGATATATCATTGAATGATTTTTCTTTTAGATATAGTAAGTAGTTATAAATATATTCATAAAACAAATTATTATTATTATATTAATTATATCATTAACCAATCTTTTTTCTTTATCTACTACTTCTTTAGAAAATATCAAAACATTAGAAAGTATTCCAACATTTATAACAAATTTGATTATATCTGTTAAAGTACATCGTGAGGATGAATCTGAGCATATATACAAATTGCTGAGCAAGTCAGAGTCGGTAAGACAGTTGATTGGTTGTCATACGCTGAAGTATGGATTACCAAAGTCATTGGAATCTCTTGTTTTCACTCATGATTTCAATGAACCTCTTGTAAGGGGATCTCTTCCCAATGGTTTGAAATCGCTTCATTTCGGAGTGCGTTTCAACCAACCTCTACAAAAAGGTATACTACCAGAGAGTCTATCATCCTTGGCATTCTGTGGAGGAGCATTCCAACATGTTTTCGAGCCTGGTATGCTTCCCTCATCGCTAAAAACATTGTTCCTAACTGAATACACACAGACTTTCAAAATGGGTGCACTCCCTCACCACCTGGAGTTTCTCAGCTATTCTGGCGCGAGAACTGTACTTGCCAAAGGTATTTTACCTACCACTATCCACACTCTACGTATGGCGCCTGACATATGGATTCAAGGCGACTTGGACCTACCAAATCTCAAAGATCTAAGTATCTATCTTCATGAAACCAATGATATTTCGCTTCCTGTTATCAACCTTGATCTGTTGCCATCAAAGCGATTGAATACTTTCAGGGTTGACCTTCCGTGCAAACTCACTGGCAAGATGCCTACCACCATTACAGATTTGAATCTCGATAACTGTGAATTTAATATCGACTCTCTATTCCCGAAACCGTTGGAGTATCACTTGGAGAGTTTGAGAATCGATAGAAACTATTTGGCACCGATTCCATCGAACGTGAAAATCAACCGGCTATTCATTGAAGGTGAGAAATCGCCAGCCGCATCTGACCCTTTTGATTATCTTGGTGAACTTCTACCGCTGGAGATAAGTGCACCGTTCGACCTTTTATATCAAACCTCGGAGGTTCCCTTACCAAACTCTATCAAGACTATACATTTTGCCGAGAGTGGTGTAAGAGCACTGGTTAATGTTCCACCATTACTGAATACTGTAACTTTTTCAAGACAAACAACACTCCAAAAGCTACCGAATTATATTACGAAAATCACTAATATCATTTTTAGAGACGATTGGAATGATAGTAATATCATTATAAGAAAGTTGGACAATCATTGCTATTTATTGTTTGGTTATTATTGTAGTAAATTAGTTTCTAAACTATTCCACCAATCAAAATTGTTAAATTATTTAAAACCATATAGAGAGTGGGGAAAGAACAAAACTCAATTAAAATTAAATTAATAATTACAATAAACTTATAGATAATAATTATTATCAAAACAACTATCCTTTTTTTTTTTTATCTTATTTGGAATTGAATCATTAATTTGAGCTATGAATATTTTGAAGATCCAATCTATGTTACTATCTTTACAAAAACAAAAAAAGATAAATTAATAATTTCCTTTCTCTGTTTTTTTTTTTCAGATTTACACTTTTCATTATTTTATTTTTTGAACAGATAATGTGGAGTTAAAAATTAAATTTACCCCCTATAATTTATTTAAAATAAATCTACCACACCCTAATTATATTAAAATTATAAAATATATCCAACTATCTTAAAAGATGGTTTCTATTTTATTTTAATTTTGTTAATAGTATTTATTCTTAATGTGAAAACTAAAACAAGTTTAGATTGTTACAATTTTATAGATATACAAAGAAATATTTTACAATGAAATAATAGAAATAAAAGATTTTCGAAAAAAAAATAATAACAATAATAAGATAATAATTATTTCATATGACAATAATAAATGGAAGAAGACGAGGAAGCTAATGTTGGAACAGGTTTATTCCATTTTCAGAATCCATACTCGGTGGACGATGAAGATTTTACCATTTGTACATTCTACGAGGTAATGCATTATATAATTACCATGGTATTCTTTATAAGTAAGAAATTTCATTATTCCATTTCAATTACAATCTATCAAGTTAAAATAGTTTAATAATTATTTATTTATATATTTCCACTACAAAATAGTTGCTTCATTTTATTTTTTCTTTTTATCATCCTTATTAGTTCAACATATGATTAAAGATAAAATTCAAGCAGAAATACCATTTAGTACGAAATATCATCAGAGTCTATCGAATGAACAAGTTATTTCACTTTGTAATGTTCAATTTAATGATACAATTGTAAGAAAATTAATTATCCTTGTAAAGAATTTTTAAATATTAACTGATTTTAAATATTTTTAAAAGGATATAAACATTTGTAGAGAATTTAGTAGTTCAAATATTTTGGATGGTATTATAATTCCAGAAAATAATAGTGGTGGAAGTGATTCAAATTTAATGTGTAATAATATACAGTTAAGAGGTACAAATATATTAAATGTTATTCCATGTATTACTCTTAATAAAAACGAACATTCATTAAAGATTATAAAGAGTTTCGATATAGAGGTATTGTCAAAACCAATCATTAAATCAAATGTAGTTATATTAGGTGGTAAGTATTATCATTTATTTGAATCAATAAATAATATATTAGGTTCTAATTTTATTATATATATTTGCTATTTATATTTGCTATTTATATAAACAAGTAATTCCACATCGAGAAAAAGATATAGTTGATTCAAATATTTTAGTAAGAAATTTATTTGTTTTCAATATTACAAAAGATTTAGAGATCGATATGAAGGTGTCAGATAATAATTGGGATTTTTCATATTTAGGAAATCAAATTAATTACGATGGTCTAATTTCTTATTGGCAAATATTAACTTTTCCATAAGATATTGGATTATTTATTATAAATAAACTATTATAATATTTTGTATATACATATAAATATTTTCTATTATAAAATTAGTAAATTGAATCTATATTCATTCCACTATTATTAAATTTTAGGAAGTAAGTAAGTTTTTTGTTGACCAAAAGTCAATTATTAATTTAAACAAATAAGATAAAATTAGTAATCTTTATTGGGGGACGACAAACTTGTTTTGTTTTTCACTATGAATTCATTTGTGGGTTTGTTTTTTTTTAATCATATTACAAAGGTGACGAAGCTACCCTTTTTTTTTTTATTAATTTTTTTTAAAAAAAAACAATTTTAAATCTGGAAGTGGTTACTGAGTCACCTAATAATTTGTGATTTTCAATTTAAATGATTAAATTTTTCATTGTTTAATTTTGTTTTGTTTGTTCAAATATATATATCTTTTTATATATAATTATTTATTTATTATTAAATTATGAAATTCAATAAATTTGTATTATTGGCAACAATTATGTTGTTTGCCGTTGCAATCCGTGCGCATGGAGATCACGGACATCATCACGACGATGAGGAGGAAGATGGACCATCCGATGACAATGTCATCAACATGAACGAAGTAAACTTCAACGAGGTCATCACTGAACACGATCTCGCCCTTGTTATGTTCTTTGCCCCATGGTGTGGTCACTGCAAGAACTTGAAGCCACACTGGTCTGAGGCTTCCAAGTCACTTGCCACCAACAAGAAGGTTGCCCTCGGTAAAGTCGATTGTACTGTCGAAGCTACTCTCTGTCAATTGAACAAGGTTGAATACTACCCAACTTTGGTCCTTTTCAGGTAAATATATATCATATATTAAAATCAAATCGCTTTTTCAAGAGAATTTATAAATTAACATCTGCTTTCCTTTTCCTCTATATCTTTCTCTTCTTCAACTCTCTTACAATAGAAACGGTGTACCAGAGCCATTCGAATTGAATGAAAGAACTGCTTCCGGTATTGTCAACGCCCTCACATCGTATGTACAACAATATGGTGCATTTTAAACAACTGTTGAAATTGAGAATGGTTTCCAAATTTCTTTTTTCTTCTTGTTTGATATGTCCATGTTGATATCAACTTTGTTTAAAAGTTTTTAATAAACAAATATGAACAGCTCTCTAACATAATAATATAAAAAAAAAAAATACACAAATTACAGAGAGCTTTTACCACCAATCACCAGTGTTGAAACTGAGGAAGATTTGGAAAAGTTGAAGGCTGAAGGAAAGGATGTTATTGTCGGTTTCTTTGATAACGATCACGACGACCGTTACACCACCTTCAAGAAGTTGGTTACTCCAATGAAGAAGTTCATCAAGTTTGGTGCCGTCATCAACAAGGAGTTCTCTGCCAAGCACGTCAAATCTACTCCATCCGCCAACATCTACACCAAGTTTGAGGACTCTCCAGTTGTCCCATTCACCGGTAACTTTGAACCAGAGGAATTGACTCAATTCATCCGTTCCAGCATTTTGCCAACTTTGGGTGAGATCAACGAACACACCTACAAGAAGTACGACGGTTGCGGTCTCCCAATTGCCTACCTCTTCATCAATCCAAAGGAGAAGGAAGCCACTGAAACCACAGTTGCCGAAGTCACCAAGATTGCCGCTGCCCACAAGGGTAAGATCGTCTTCTGTTCGGTCAACAACGTCAAGTACCCACAACAAGCCAAATACCTCGGATTGTCTGGTTCCAAGGTTCCAGCTCTCGCCATCGAGATCTCTGCCAAGGGACAAAAGTTCTTGTTCCCAGAGGACAGCGAGTGGAGTCAAACCGCCGTTTCCGAATTCGTTCAACAATATTTGGACAACAAGTTGGTCCCATTCATGAAATCCGAGCCAATTCCAGCCGACAACAGCCAATCTGTCAAGGTCATCGTTGGTAAGACCTACGAACAAATCGTCCTCGACGAGACCAAGGATGTCTTGGTTGAATTCTACGCTCCATGGTGCGGTCACTGCAAGAGTTTGGAACCAATCTACAAGCAACTCGGAGACTACATGGCCGAAAACCCACATGTCGTTATTGCCAAGGTCGATGCTACCGCCAACGACGTTCCACCAGAACTCGCCATCCGTGGTTTCCCAACCATCAAGTACTTCAAGGCCACCGACAAGAAGAACCCAGTAGAGTACAACGGTCAACGTGATCTCGCATCATTGGTCGAATTCATCCAAGAGCACTCCACCCAAACTTTGAAGTTCTCAAAGACCGTCGAGGAATTCTCCGGAGTTGAAGCCGAAAGCGATATTGATGAGGAACCAGAAGTTGCCGTCAAGAAGAACAAGCTCCCACATGACGAACTCTAAATTAAATAATAAATAATAGTTATAATAATAAAAATAATACTCGTAAAAAAAAAAGATTTAATTTATAGGAAAAAAACTAAATAAATTATTTTCTTTTATTTTTGTATAAATAAATTTCTATAAACTTAAGAGTCACTAAATATTACTACTATTTATTTGTTTGGTATACAACATACTATAATATACATATTTATTATTTTTTATAAAGAATAACTTAGTTAATTAACTGCCTATTCTTGATAGTTTGGATTTCAATTTTTGAGATTCATAATTGATAATTCTTCTCTTTTTGATGTAAATGATTGCACCAACAGCAGCAGCAATAGTAAATATGCCGACAACAGTGACAATGGTAGCGATTTCCCATGCTTTCAAACCTTTGGTCTTACATCCTCCATCAACGTTGATTAGTACGTTGAAACTTGGATCGATCAAACAGTATGCACATTGCGGTAAAGAAACACCAATCCACATTTGGTCATCAGTTTGATTGACAATTTCATTCTTTGAATAGGCAGGTCTACCGTTTGAAAGAACAACAGGTAAGAAGTTTCCATAGAAAGCAACACCATTCTTAATAATCTTTAGGTACTGTACAGAGTTATCAAGTTGATTTACACCAATGGTTTCTTTTGACTCAGCACAATCCGATGGTACATTACTTTGTTCAGTGGAGAATACAACTCTTAGAGTATTTAAGGTTGATAGATACTCCCATCCATCTATTTGAACGGTTACTTTAAGTGAATTGGGTGGTAAGTTTGATGTTACACCTGCAAACTCAACGGTTCTTGGATCTGGCGAGTATTGAATGGTTACAATTACAAAAAGATCTGGTCTTGTATTGTTTAGATAATAGTAGAGGCTTGTTAATGTTTGGTTTTCTTCTTTTCTATAGTTCCAACTATTAGTTAGCAATTCAAAGGCAACAGACGCGTCTGGACCTAGCTCTTGAATCGATACCATATTGAAATCGAATTGATGGTCATCAGCAATAAAAGAAGCGGATGGAGTAGTTGAGTTTGGATTAATAGTTCCACCAGATGTCTTTGAGTCGCAATAGAATCCACTGAATCCACCAGCACAACTGCAATATCCATTTACACAACTACCATGATTATTGCATATCACAGGATTGGAATCAGTTGGATCGATACAATATGTTAAGTTTAATGGAACTATTTAGTTTGATAACAAATAATTAGTAAAAATATAAACAGTTATTCTAACAATTTACTTACCAATTACCATATTTGAATAATGTACAAAATTGTCGATGGTTACTGTTAAATTGGTTTGTCCCTTTGGTAAGGATGAAACACCACAGGTTATATTGTAGATACCCCAGAATGAGACTTTACAGCTTTGTTGACCGATTGTAACTACTGGTTTACTATTCTTTCTACCAAAGAAACCATAGATTTGTACATCACCACCCTGAGTAGTTACTGTGGAGGTTGAGGTAACTACAGGATACATCATCACAAAAGTTCCATTCCCATTGAATGAGAGATATGGACTTGACATGTTAACACTTAGAAGCTCTGACGTAAAGTCAATGATTGGTTTGGTTATAGTACAATTCAAAGTATCGGCAACCAACGATGTAACAACACAAAGTTGATTATTTACATTTGTACTGTAAATCCAAGTACTATTGAAAGTACCTTTAATAGAAACATATAACGCAAACTCTGTTTGTTGTCCAGAGATAGATTGAATATTTGTAACTTTTAAAAAAATAAAAAAAAAAGTTAGAAAATAAATATAAAAAAAAGAAATAAAATAAAATACATACCATCAGTGACCCAATCTAATTGATAATAAAGTTGGAATATTGATGAAAACATAACATTTTGACTACCAAAAGATGGAAGATTTGAAAGTTCAAAGAGTGAATTTGGTACAATTACTTTCAAGTTTGGTGAGGTATCTTCATTGAAACCATATCCAAGATTTTTACCACTAATAGTGATTTTACCTTGTGATGAAGGTGTCATTACATATGTTATTGAATTAATTTGATAGGCTTTTGAAATTTTAGTAAATGGTTGAGATGGTTTTAATATTTGAAAACTTACGACAAGTAAAATTTGGGTCGATTTGAATAGTTGATGGCATTCCATTCGAAAGTAAATCCCAGCAACAATAAATGCAATCTGGAACTGAGGTAATATTAGTTCCTGTCAGTGAGAGTTTACTGGTGGCACAGAATTTTTCTGAAACACTTCCATTAACCAGCTCCATATTGTTGATACTCAAACTAAAGAACTTAATAGCTGAATATTCATCTGGAATTGTACCGGTCATGCTATTATTGTATAAATATCTATATTATTCTTTTAATTAATATTAAATTTAAGTTTTTAAATTTTTAATTTTTACTTACAGAGTAATATTCTTATCTGCAAACCATTTAGCCTGGGGCCAAGAATTATAAGTTGGACTTTCAATGATATAACTAGTTATAAATTTTTAATAAATATTAAAGCTAAATATAATTTAATAAAATTGTTATTTTCTTACAGTTCTGATAAATTCTTTGCATCTATAATTGGAGAGCTTATACCGGAGAATTGACTTTAATTGGGGTTTGTTAGTATTACAGAATTTTTTATTTTAAAAGTCTAATACTTACACTCTTTTTAATGAAGGTAGCATTGTCAAGTTCATTGGTGAAAAAGATCCATCAAAAAAGAAAAGAGATTTAATGTTTGGTGCATCCGTTACAGTACAATCTACATTTTGCAATACCCTAATAAAGTAGAAATTAATAAATAATTATTTTAATATTTTTATATATTGTAATATCTTACAACAAATTTAGTGTTTTAGAACTAAGAATAAGAGAAGCTGACGAAGCTGCATTTAAATTCCTATATTATATGAATATCAAAAAAAGTCAAAATTAAATATAGGTTTTTTTAATTTCAATTTTGCTATAACTTACAATCCTTCTAATATTGGAAAATTATCACCAATGATGAGATTAAGATTAGGAATATAAAAGACTGTTAAAAATCTAATTTTGTATTGCTCGTTGGGATTAATTATGATCTTCATAGAAGGATCGATTTGACCATATAAAGATACTTTATAAATATTTAATAAACTACTTGGGATATCTGAGGAAAGCGTAGAGAGGGGTCCATTTTCACTAATAAAAATGGTGTTAGAAATATTAACTTTTAAAGGTATTTAATACTATTTAAGACTTACAATAATACTAATTTTGGTAAATTCTGAGGGAAATTTGAAGGAATAGTAAAGTTTTCTGAATTTAAACTTTATAAAGAAAGAATAAATATTAAATCTTAAAAAAAATTAAAAAATTTAATATTCAAGACTTACCAAATAGAATTTAAAGCAATTTGATTTGGATTGTCTAATTTATCCAAAATACTAATACTTAAATTTTTAACTGGATACCTTGGCGAAGAGGAAAATTCTACTAGGTAAGGTAGATTTATCTCTAATAGTGGATCTGGAAAACCATTATCGTATGGAATCTCATTAGCAATTACTCTAAAAATTTAAAGTTAAAATTAGATTTAAATAACGTTAATATTTATCGAAATATACTTACACTATTGTGACATGTTCTATATCATCCAGATCTGTAATACATGTGATTGACTCGAATACAATATTGTTATTAATAGATTTACAATCAGTTTTAGTAATATTCCACGGTAAAGAATATTGTTGAGCTATCCATATTAAAGATTGAACTATTTATTAATAAATAAAAAAACAAAAATAAATGTTGTTAATATTTGTTAATTTTAATTAATAAAATTTAAAAATTACCTTCTGTTTCAGGTAATTTTTGACTATTAGTTAAAATAGTTGAAAGAACTAATATTATAAAAATATATAATATTTTGACCATATTTATTTATTATTTACAAATAATATTAAACTTTAAAAAAGTTTGATAAGATTAAACTTGTTAATAATAAATAATAGTTAGTCACTCTTCCCTCAATCAGATCCTGTTAAGAAAGGTTTGCTTTCCAAAATTAATACCAAAAATAAAATATTATAGTATCGTTCTGGTGTATACCAAATTGTGTCAACAATAACAACTTCACTGGTTTATTCGCAACACCAGCAAAAGCATCATTTAATCCATTTTTAATAGATCCCAAAACTGATTAAATATCGGTGTTTGTTTGAAAATAGCAAGTTCTCATTAGGTGGAGGGGTAGAGTGCTATTTTTCTTTTCCCAAATCTTATAAAAAAGTGTGTTTATTATTTTTTAAAACAAGTGATGACGAGATGTTTTTGCTGGAGGCAGGTCTAAAAAGAATATAAAGATGTGTTTTTTCAAAAATAAAAAAATTGATGATGTTGTGTTAGCAACTAACAAAAACCGTGATCACCACAGATCTCACACAAAATATCTATCAAAAAAAAATAGAGAAGTTTTTAGGGATTAAAAAATCTATACTAAAATCTAGATTTCTAAATCTTTAAGAAAAAACAATATTAATAATAGCTGTTTAACATTTTTTTTTTTTAATGCAGATTTTTTAATCCCTAAAATCTTCTTCTTTTAATGATATTCAAAGTATTCTTATTCTTTTTGTGCTTAGTGATTGAAATTAGAATAGATTTTTGTAACTATTGGAGAACAAACATAAATAAATCATAATTTTTTGTTCGTGTATTCAATAGATTTTTATTATTATCAGCTTGTTCTTAATACTTTAATAAATCATGATACCTTTATAATCAATAAGGTTTACAACAGGCTAAACACTAGCTAATATTGTAATGTCACATGAGAGAATATCTTAATTTAATTTCAAATAAGATAAAAGATCCCCGAATGAATACTTCACAGTCACTGATTCATTTGATTAGTTTCATTCCACATTCTCATTTATAAAAAATAGTAACAAACAAGAGAAATATAATAATAAAAAAAGGATTGTATTTTCAAATGAGTGATTGTGTATGATTTGAAATCATGTCAATTTCTCATCAAAAGTCAACCAATATTTTAATCATGTTTTTTTGTTTTTTTTTTCTTTAATTATATTTATGAAGTGTTAACAATACTAATAGTCCGAAGTCAATATAGACGATTGTATTCGGGTGGAGAGTGTTCATTTTATCTGTCATTACGATCGATATGTTCATACCAAAGTCCTTGGCATAACATTAAGGATTGTATTATCGAATGAGTGATTGTATGATTTGTTAGAAATCATGCCAATTTTATATCAAAAGTCGAATCGTCAACTGAAATTATGGTTGCTTAATCAAAAAAAAAAGCTAAAACCAACAATATTTTTTATCCGTAAAAAAAAAACGAAACATCTGAAGACACCTGAACTACCAAGACAAAATAAAAATAAAATAATAATAAAAAAAAATAATCAATATCTGGTGATATGTGGGCAAATAGATAAAATTAGCTAAATTGAGTGATTAAATCAATATTAAATTTCTTAGTATGAATTGATTACCAAAAGTACTAGTTAGAAAAAAAAAAAACAAAAACAAATAGCAGTATCTTGGTTATCTTGATCTTTAATATCCATATATTAAATAAAGATAATAAAAACATTTTTATTTTAATATTATTATTATTATTATTATTATATTGTCTTTGGCATATATCTTGCAAAAGTGAGATATCCTGTGTGTCCTCTCTCGATGGTCACAGGTTTCGCTTGTAATTTATGATAGTTTTCACCGCTGATACCACCAATGCTAAACGGTTCAATCTTTCCATTCTCCCACTTCTTTCTTTTGTATGTTTTCTTTTCGTTACTGCTTGTTTCACCATCTTTATCTTTCAATTTACTTTCAATCTTTTGGAATGGATTATTTAAGAATAATTCTTGATCTTCTTGAATTCTAATATCTATATTTCTAAGTAATACTTCAATTGTTTTAATCTCTATAATATTATATTGATCAAACATAAGTTAATAAGTAATTATTTTATCTTTTTTTTTTTCTATTCTTTATAATTGTTGAATGCGATGTAACATACCTTCGAAATCTGATTCATCTAACTTTAAACAAACAGTCTGTACTTGTTCTATACATGGTGAGAATGAGCAGAGCATTCCACCTTCACGCATCACTGCAACGGCGTGGTCAATTGCTTCCCATGGCGATGGCAAGTCGAGGAAGACGGCATCGATGTTTCCGATCATTCCTTCGATCTCTGGCAGTTTGAATCCGTCCTTACAGACGTTACGATGTGTCACTGTGATGTACTGGTCGATTCCATTGTCGGTAAAGTCACGAACAGCATGCTTAGCACGCTCCTCGTGGAATTCAAATGTATATAAATGACCCTCTGGTGCAATGGTACGTGCGAACGAGGTGGACAACGATCCACTGCCAGTTCCCGACTCCACCACTTTCGATCCGTTCTTCACCTCAAGATTAAACAAAACCGTACTGATATCCAAATTAAAGAGAATCTGAGTACGATGATCCAGTGTAATACTCCACAACTCTGGTGTCATATGTAAGATATGCATGAAACCACTACCATCTTCTGAAGCAACCTGTTTGTTTTTGTTTTAACAACAATGTTTTATAAGTTATTAACTAATTATTTATCTATCTATACCATTTAAGCTCTTAATGATAAGCATACCTTTGCACCATATTCACAACCAATTAAACGTTTATGTAAGAATGATCCAAATTTACTGTTATATGTACTACCTGTTTTGATGGTGACGAGTGCCATCTTCTCACGGTTGAAGTAGACAACCACTCTATCACCTTCTTCAATCAATTTTTTTGCTTTAAACATCTTTTTTTCTTATTTAATCTATTCAATCTATAAACAAACAAACAAATTCATAGATCTATAAATCACTCTTTATTTATTTTTAAAATCGATAAAATTTAACGAATAATTTTTTTGAAAAATACAAGATTTTTTTTTTACATCCATCAGTCATTAAAGTTATTCTGGACTTTATCTTTAATGATTCAAAAAAAAGGTTACAATTTCAATATAACAATAAATCAAAACATATAACTTTGTTTGAAGTATTATAATCAAACTATCATTTATTGGTGGAAAAAAAAAAAATAATAATATGATAAAATATAAAACAAATATTATCTTTTATAAACATTATTGTACCTGATGTGTCTATATACATATAAACATATCAATATATCTATGTTGTATTAACGATGAAATATCTTTTTTTGTTTTTAAAAATTTAGAGTGTGGTGGGTTGGTGGTTTGTAAAGATTAAGATTGGGTTATTTGTTTTTTCCTTTATCATTTAAATGTTATTTTAACAATGAAAACAATGTTATTTTTATTTTTAAATGTTGGTTAGTTAATATATCATACAACATTGTTACATTATTGTTATTTATTTATTTTATAAAAAAAAAATAATATCTTTTCAGATTCGAAATTCATAGCAAACTTTGCAATTTTTTTCAATTGATGATGTATGATTGGGTTTTGTTGAAAAAAAAATTCAAATAATATCAAAAAAAAAAAAAAAAAATCTATTATGTAAATTTTATTTTTCATCACTCAAGATCAAAGTAGTTTATCACATTCCAATAGTCATATTCATAGTTAATAGTCACATTATAAATTAATTATCAACATTCTTTAAAAAAAAAAAATAATCATTTTTATTTTCATTGGAGTATAAATAGTTAGTTCATTAGTTCATTTATTTATATATAAAGTTTGTTTTTTTTTTTATGATCGAGAATAGATAGAATAACAGCAACACATCAAGTTATTAGTATTCTAATATTCGAATAGTAAGATGATAAACAGTAGTAGTCATCATATTCATAGTCAAAATCTTGAATCATCGGTCAGAGACATCCTCGATAGGAATTCAAATCCTGATTTGTCTTATGAGGAGTGGAGCCACTCGAAACAACAGATAAAGAATCTATGTGGTAACTTTGAATCTATTCCAACTAATTTGCGATTTCTTATTTGGAAAGTAATGTATCAATTAAAAACAAACAACCATAAAACAAACAACCACAAAAACAAAACAAAACTAACACTTTATCAAATGAATGAATACTACTGCAGCATATAGTATGTCATAATAATTTGAATAGCAATGAATTGGTTATACCATCACTCAATGGAAGTAATGGACAGATTCAAACATCGATTCAATTGAATCAGTCGGTCGATGTCAAGCTGAATCTGTCAATGTCCAACAACAGCTATCATCCTACACCGATATTCCACAATGAAATGCTCAACAGAGACTGCACACATCTAGCAACCGAATACAAACTATTCGATCAAATCAGAATGTTTGTACGTCAAGATATACAAGGAAGTCAAAAGTTAAATGAACAACATAACAATAATAGCAGCAGTAACAATGGTAATGGTAATGGTAATGGTAATGGTGATAGTGATTTCGTACCATCTTCAGAATTACTAGATTCATTGGATATCGATATGATATCGGAGCGGCTACAGCGATTCGTTAGAAACTTTTGTTTGACAACCTCCAGAGAGTATAGCATCAATGTGGCACAGCTGATATCACCATTCGTTGTATTATCGTTTGCCGATGAGATCGTATCGAATCTCCGTGATCCCAATTTACCACAAAACTCTGAAGAAGACTGGATGAATCTAAGTATTAAAATAGTTGAGAATCTATCATTAAGTGGATTGTTACCTTATCCTTCTGCACATCCAATTCTATTGTAAGTTTTTTACAGAATATCTATATTATTATTTTTGACAAAGCAGACAGACAGACAGACAGACAGACATTTTACTAACACAACTCAATCAATAACACAGATGTGATAGTGAAATGTTTAGAATATTATTATTATATCACGATCCAATCTTATCATACTTTTTTGAACAAAGAAGTGTATTTACACAACTTTATTTCTATGAATGGGTAGGTTATCTTTTGATTCTATTCATTCATTCTCATAAATATTAACCTCTAGTCAATCAATATATTATTAGATTAATCATATGTTTTGTGGATGTACTGATTTAATGTTTTTAGTACAGTTGTGGGATATTCTGCTATTCCATGAGAATCAAGACTTCTATTTATATTTCTCAATGGCATTATTGAAATCAAAACGGTAATATCGTGCTATGATATATGTAAAGATGATTTTCTATTGATTATTAATATTAATTACTATTGAATAGTGAACAAATTCTAGCGATAAAAGGTACAGCAAAAGATATTCTAGCGGTATTGGATGAGAAGTCCATTGCAACGAGTGTATCGAATCAGTCTAGACTACCAGGATTAATTAAACATGCAGAGATATTCAGAAAGTCAACACCGATTTCATTCTTGAGAAATTGGAATAGATTCTATACCAGTTGCAAGCATCCAAGCGGACCAAGACTTGACACTATCAATCAGATCTACAATGAATATAAATATTCAATATGCATGGGTATCGATGTTGAAGAAATGATTTTAAAGTCACCACTTGGAAAAGATCCTGTAAGTAAATAGAATACATAATAATACTATACAAAACAAATACTAACTCATTTAATTTCATTAATTTAGAAAATAAGAGAGAAATTACAATATTATATACAAGATGATGAACCTATTGAATGTAATTTGGTTGTATTTGATTGTAGACCATACAAGTATTTCAAGAGTGGAAGATTCCCAAATGCAAATCATCTACCACCTGGCTTGCTAATTAGCCAGCCCGAAGAGTTTGACGGTGTCAAAAAGTCATTCCAAGATATCAAAGGTATTTCACATCTGGCATTCTATGATAATTGGTTCCAATTTAATACTCTACTTGAAAAGAATGATGCTGATACCAATGACAATGGTGACATGAACATGAACATATTAAGATTCTTAAAAGAAGGTTTTCCATACATAAGTAAAGTTCCATCTGGTTTTAAAAGTATGTAAATTAATTCGTCAAATGATAATAATGTTTAAAAAGGATATTGAATAATAATAATAACATCTTATTTATTTTTTAGAAATACATGATATTTTCTTGGCAAAAGGATTGGAATTAAATGTACATGAATTCAATAGATGTCCAGTTTGTAATCCCGATGCTTTAAATAACCCATTGCCACCAAAATCTCAACCTAATTCACCTGTTGTTGTACAGCCAAAGAAGGAGAATTGGTTGATGAATAAATTCAAGATTGGACAAAGCAGAGATAAACAACCATCGACTCCAAACAAGTCTTCGCCCATCAATGTAACTCCACAGTCTTCACCACAGCAATTTATTCACACATCGGCCAACAGCAACAACAATTCACCAGATACCAAAGATAGAAGTTTTACAATGGGAAGTTCACCACTAAATAAAAGTGGTGTTCGATCTATTATGTTGTCACCGACCAGACTGCTGGCTAGCAGTGGAGACAATCATCACAACGGAATGCCACACATCGGTGGCACCAACACCGTTCACGACGAACGTTTCCATGCAGAGTACCAGCAGTTTGATAAAGAATTCCAAAAGACTGGAATGCAATTCCAAGTTGATTCCGACGACGATCAAGAACCCGATGATTTCAAGAACAACCCGAGATTCTATTACTTTGGATCGTTGGCGGATATCGATGATGAAGGTGGTCACTATTATCGCGATTACAATACACTGTTGATTCCCAACCCAGTGTTTGACGCCGACCGCGAAGTCAAGGTGCGCAAGCAGATCGAGGAGAGTCTCAAGGAGTATCGTGGAATCGATGAATGGCTGGAAGGCGATCACTTTATTTACGAGTGTGCCGAGTACACCACTGAGTCGATCAACACCAAGTGCTATGCCATCGTGACAGAGGATACATTTATGGTGCTAAAGGAGCATCCGTCGTGTGGTGGCTACGTAAAAGAAGATTGTAAATATAGTTTAGCACAAATCCAATTCAATCCAAGCAACCCAGCAATATTAGAATTCGATTTACATTTTGACAACAACAGCAACAACAAAATCAATGAGAGCCAACCAACAGAGCAAAGAAAACAATTTTTATTCGGGGATGTAGAAACTATAAATTCAATTCAAAAACGATCAACTAAATTAAAACTGAAATCACCACCTACAATAACTCAACATTAAATCAAATAAATTATGTATAAAAATTTTTAATAACCAAAGTAATTTTTGATTATTGAAATACATTCATTGGTGATTCAATTTAAGTGAACTTCGTATTATTGTTAAAATTGTGATCTAATTTTTCTGTATATTTTAATCTTTGATTTATTTGATGTTTTACTAATTTCTTTACTCAAAGCTGTTAAAATTGAAATTTCTATAATTGGATTTTAAGATTTAATAATAAATTTATTTATTTATAAAAGAAATATAAGTTGTCTCATGACTGTTTACAGATTTTTTTTTTTGTTTTATATTTTAAAATACATCTTTCGATATCATTTAAAATATTCATATTAATTTAGAATTGTAACGTTACAAATTAATTAATTGGTCATCTTTATTGTTAAATAGAGGATTATAAACTTTTTTTAAATCAAAAAATATATTTTCCTCAAATAATAATTAGCTAATTTTAAATCAAAACAAATTATCTTTTAAAGAATAAGTTTATTAATAAATTATTAATATTAAATAAAGTTTAAAGAAATTTTAATTTTAAGGATATTGATATGTGTTAAAAGCAATGAATGGTAACGTTATTGTGTATCGTTCACAAATTTTAAACAAATTTTAAAATAGAAAACAATTAATTGTTATTTTTTGAATAAAAAAAAGATAATTTGTTTAAAAATACGAAATCTTAATTATAACTATTGAGATAATATATTTTAATTAAAATATCAAAATTTATATTCATTACAGTTAATTATTAAAGAAAAGTTTAGTTTTTGGATTTTTTTCTAAAAAATATTTATTTTGGAAATAAATAATTAATCGTGTATCCACCAATAATTTTAATTATAAGTATAAAAACTATTTATTTTATAGTTTCTGTTATATTTTATAGTTTATTTGTAAAAGTTTTATATAATTTGGATAAAGTTATGGAAAGATATATTTGATTTTATGATTTTGTAGAAATAATATTATTTTTTGTACCATTAATTTTTTTGAAAAAAATTTATCCTCATAGCCCAAAATATTTATAGAAATAAAAAAAAAAGATAAATCGATGTTACAGGTAGAAAGTTTTGAGTGAAATGAATGGAATATTCATTATTTCCAGAGTGTCGTTGGATCGGAAATTTAGATTGATCAATATATTTGCTCATCTTTGCATTTGCTGATTATTGTTTTTGCTATTATTATTTTGTTTTTTGGGGTTTAAAAGATAGGCTTGGTGATTACCATTTTGTATGATTAAATTTGAATTGTGGCGCGATATCATTTGTTGTATTGCGATTGGGATTTTGAAAGAAACCAAATATTATTCCAATTATTCTGTATTTAATTTGAAATCATTCTTTATATTTTCTTGTGAATTCCACTATAAATACTGGTTATTTGTTGTTGATTTTTCATTTCACAAACAATTATACAAATAAAATTTGTTATATAAATAAATAATACTTATCTTTTCAAATCCAACATATTTAATTTAATAAATATTGAAAATGGCAAGAACCAAGAACACTGCACGTAAAACAACTGGAGGTAAAGTTCCAAGAAGAATGATCTCACAAAAGACTGGGCCAATGGAGCACCTTAAGAATGCCAATCTAAATATCAGTGGTAACGTTTCATCAAATTATTTTAATCTAATTAAATTTTATTTTATTAATATAACTTTAATTTTTTTTATTTTTATTAAATAATTTTACATACAATTACTTTAGGAGGTATAAAGAAAACACATAGATATAAACCAGGAACAGTTGCACTTAGAGAGATCAGAAAGTACCAAAAGACAAGTGAATTGTTGATTCGTAAACTACCATTCCAACGTTTGGTGAGAGAGATTGCTCAAGAATTCAAAACTGATTTGAGATTCCAATCATCTGCAATTGCTGTATGTTAATTATTTATTTATATTATAAGCTGTTATTATTATTTAATTTTTAGTTTTATTATTTTGCCAATTAAGTAACGTTACTAATATTTTGTTTTTGTTTTTTTATCTTTTTCACATATAGGCATTACAAGAAGCATCTGAAGCATATCTTGTTGGTTTATTTGAAGGTAAATATTACTATTACTATTATTATTATCTGTATCTATTCTATTAAAAATGATATACTAATTAATTAATTTTGATCGATCTATTTGTGCTGAACAGACACTAATTTATGTGCGATCCATGCGAAAAGAGTCACAATCATGCCAAAGGATATGCAATTGGCAAGAAGAATCAGAGGTGAAAGAGCATAACCTGTTTATTTGAATATTAATGTTAAAATAATATTAATTGTGTACAACAATAACTATATATGATTGAAATCAATCATGTTTTGTTTTTTTTTTTTTTTTTAATCTAAAAATAAATAAATAAATAAATAAAATTAATTTAAATTTCCAAAAAAAAAAAAAAGGGGGTGAACCTCAATTCAATTATTTTGCGATAAAACATAAAAAATCACCATTTCTCATAAAAATGACTTCAACTTTACTTAAAACTATACAAAGAGAATACAATATTATTCAACAAGAGTTTGTCTGGGCTGTCCAATAGGGAGAGGGTGAATTTCGCATTGGAAGATTGTTTTAAAAGATAAAGGGGTTGCTAATATCTATGGGCTAGATTATAAGTACATTAGCAAGCATAAAAGTAGATCAATACAAAGGGTATTGTTTAAACAATGGATCACAAAAAGAGAGAAGATCGCTCTAAGAGGTATTGTGAGCTTTCAGGAAAGACTATCCCAAGTCAAACAAAGAAAGGTAAAGATCATCGATAAGAATCTGATCAAATCAAAACAAGAAAATGAGCAACCACTGGTGGATAGCTAAGCTAGATTATATATATGAGAAAGATGTTTCATTAGACAACACACATTAAAAGGGTGAGTTGTTTGTCCATGAAATGAATATCTATCATTGATATCAAATCAGCTCGCAGTACCAACATTACTCAATGCTTGTTTGTTGAGTCAGTAGCGCATACCTTTTTTAACAGAAATGCAAGTGTTCTATCTATTTAGGGCGACAACAGTCCAACATTGGATATTTTATTCCTAATCCAAGTGGTACAGCATTTTGTACCAGATAGTATCACAAAAAATTAAAAATTTATTTTTATTTTTTTATATTATTAAAGATATATTAGATTAACCTAAATGGTAATAACTAAATAAATAAAATAATTGTTTATAATATATTATTAAAGGGTAACCAAAAAATTCTTTGAAAATAATAATTGTTTATTTTTCTGTAATGAGCACACATCCACATTTATATAATTAAAAATAACCTATTGATTTTGCTGAATGCTTTCATTAGGAAAGATAATAATATGTCACAGTCTTTTCAATCACCATCACAAAAGACAGACTCGATCAATAACAACAACAACAACAACAGCATCAACAATAGTAACAATAACAACAGTAGCTTAAGTTTTTGGAGTAGAGCATCTTCAACATCATCTTCCTCCTCTTCCTCGTATACATTATCATCTTCAAACTCAAAGTGGCAATTCAATAAAAGAAAGATCACAACTGATACAACTACCTCTACCACCACCTCTACTACAACTACTACCACTACAACTGTAGAACATAATAATAGTAATAGTCTTAGTGATAACAATAGCAACAGTAGGTATTATAATATTTTAATAATCAATCTTACACTCTATTAATGATTGAATATTTTAGGTAGTACACCAAAGTCAACACTTACACTTCTACAAAGATTAAGTAATCTTAGAAATCTGACAAACAACAACAATAATAGTAGTAGTTTGACGAGTAACAAGAAAATTGAAACATCAAATGTTTTAGAGAGTACTAAAGATGAAGTGGTTCAACCAATAGCAAAGATTTCGAATGAAATTAGTAGTAGTAGTAATAATCATGATAGAAACAATAGGAGTGATAATACTATCATTTGTAATGATGATAGTCTGACACAACCAGATGAATATTCAAGTACATCTTTAGATAATAATAGCAATAATAATAATAATAATGGTGGTGGCGAAGAGAGTAGTATAGTAAAAAAGGAAACTAAACAATCATCATTCGATGATTTCGATTTATATGAGGTGGAAGAAGAAGAATCTAGACCGAAACCACCACCAAAGAAATCGAAATCAGAGATCATTTTACCGGATAAACCGTCTATCGTTAAAACAGTAAAGAGTTCACCTTTACCCAAAAGTAGATCGAAATCAACAATATCCTCAAGTCAATCTCCTTCAACATCCTCTTCATTATCTTCAACTACAATAAGCAATACACCAACCAGATCTAGATCTAAATCAAAACTAAACAAATCAATCGATCAAATTGAAATTGATAAACCAGATAAGAAACCAACAACCACAACAACAACAACAAAGAGGAAAAAGACAACATCCGCAAAAAGTAAAAAGAAGGCAAACAGCAATAAGGAGGATGAAGATCCATCTTCAGATGGTAAAGAAAACAGTGATAGTTCATATGTATCAGTAACAGCGAGGATTTTGAAATCAAAGAAATCGAATGTAAATAAGCGATCGAAACAATCTTTAAAGATGAGTTCTGGGGAATTCGATGATAGTGATAATGATGATAAATATGATGATAACGATATTAATCATTATGATAAAGAGTGTGTTAATGCCAGCTATAGCGACGACGACGACGATGATGATCATGACAACGATAGTAATTGGTCATCTCAGCAACAGATCGAAGAAATATCATTCGATAGTGAGGAGAGCGAGTTGTGTAGATCGCTTCAATCCGATCAACCTAAAGTAGTACTCAGTAGTCTACTTGATATTGCTAGTAGACTTGTATCTGACACACACGCTACATCACTCTCACTTCGTTCACTCAATCTAATGTCAGATCTAAACGATTCACTTTTAGGATTGACCAATAGTGTAAACAACAACAACAACAATAATAATAATAACAGTAATAATAATAACAACGATAATGTTTCAAATAATAACAATAGTAATAATACCGATTCAAATAAAAATAGACCAATATTGAATAGTGAAGATCTGTATCAACAGTTTCTTTCTGTATCTACAGATACCACTTCTACTTCCACCGCTACCTCTTTATCTCAACAACAATCATCACAACAATCACCTACATTAGGTTCATCAAATAATAGTAGCAAGAGAGTAAAGAGATCTTCTTCATTGGGATCAATTAAAGATGGTGGACATGATGGATTACAAAACAATGCAATTAGTCCAATTAAGATGAGCCAGAGTCATAAATGGTGTAAGTTCTCACCACAGGAATATAGAGATGTTAATTTGTCAGCTTGTTTCATATACTATGCATTGTCCTGTCAACACTCCAACCTCGATCACTTTACACCAGAGACACTGAGGTATCTACTTGACCAAGCCACTGTAATTCCAGAGAACTACCAAGTCGAATACTTTACGACACCAACGAAACTACCGAAATCACCAAAGTCACCTGGTGGTAGAAGATTAAATTCTACACATGTATGTAATTCTAATATTTTTACATTTATATACATCTTAACACTAACATACAAACAAATGTACATTTAAACATTTAAAAATCAAGTGTACAGCAATTAATAATTTGTTTCAAAACTATGTTGGAGACACTGCTAGAGCATCGTCTTCGGTATCATCGATTGCAATTATGACACTTGCACAGCTGATATCGCACAAGCACTTTAGCAATGCTCTGAGGAATCAGTATAGAGATTACGATATATTGGAAGGTCTAATTAAACTACTATCTAAATATACATTATATTTGAATCCATTGATAGAAGTATGTATAACAATCAAAAACAACCATTGGTATATGAAACTAACTATTGTTGATTTAGACAACTTCTGTATCACCTAAATTCATTGGAAACATAGAGAGAATATTAAAGATCATGGAAGAGTGTGTAGCTGAGAACAAACTAAATAGAGCACACATAAGTTCAATAAGATCTTCACTTTCTATATTCATTACATTGATATCATATTTACAAAGTATGTTGTTCTTAATAATAATAATTACAAATACTAATTACTTATTAATAACTTATATATATATAATACAGATTTGATGGTTAAATATAAAGAAAGATTAAGTGGAATAGATATTAGAATTGGAGGTACTGAGTGTATCATGTCGATACTTAACTTTCTTTTAAATATGACTCATAATAATCGATTAAGTTCGAGTATCATCGGATCATTAGACTCTCCCTATAAATATGAATCAAAAGAAAGAATAGAAATAGTTGATAATGTTAGTGATTATATAGATAATATATCAAAGAATATTAATATTAATAATAATAATAATAATAGTAATAATAATAATAATAAATCATTAACACCAAAAAAGATATTATATCTAAGTCAAATGGCAAGTTGTAAACACTTTGGTATTCAAACGGTTATCAATTTGCTCAAGATAGAGGTACCAGAGAAGTTTGATATTGCGCAACTCTCTGTGACTCTCTTAGTCAATCTGGTGGAGAACAATCCAGAGAATCGAGAGAGATTCCGTTCGAATCAAGGTGCCATCGAATCGATTCTAAATATCTATATGTGGAGAACATCTGAGCGTACACTCACTCGATTCACCTCAAAGACCCAAGAAAAAGTGGCTTCGTCGTATCTGGTTATTCTAATTGGATTTCTGGTGAAAGACAACCCTACCAACCGGAAGATTGTCGACACCATGCTGCCTAGTGACCGGTCGTACCTGCCCATGGTTAATCTACTGAAAGATTTCATCCTATTCCAAGGTGGCAATGGAATTCTATCAAAGGAAATCTATAAGATTTGTGATAATCTAATAACAGATGTATTCTTAAAAGAGACTGCAACTACTATGTCAACAAAGCAAAAAGAGAATGAAGAGAAATCAGATACTACCATTCAACAGCAACAACAACAACAACCTACACAATCTGAAATTCAATCAGCACTTAAAGACTATATTGAATTCAAGAATAAGTTTGAAGAGAAATATCGATATGGTGCATACGATCAAGAATCAGATAGTGATGGTGATGATAAAGATAAATCAAAAGAAACAACCAAATCTACAACATCAAAAACAACAACAAAATTACAAATAAACTAATTTGGTTAATTAAATTAAAATTAAAGGTAAAGTTGTTTTAATTATTAAAGAGTTTCGATTCTAAAATGTTAAGTTTGAACAACAATTTAATTCATGGAAGGACTTTAATCAATCAATCTTATCTAATAATTTAAAATAAACACACAGTGTGTACTTTAAGACTTTAGAGTGAAATTGTATTATTAGATTCCAGTTTTGTGAATAGTTTTCTACTCCCACTCTTTGGTGAATCAATGGGAAGCCACCTGACCCACATCATATTTTTTTGGAGTGCCCACTAATTTTTTTCGATTATTTTCAAGTTTTTTTTTGGTTATTGTAATTGTGTGTGTGATTAACAAAAACATGAATCGAATCGAAGATTTGGGATAGATTGATTTCTTTGATTATTGATTTTTTATTAAATTTTTATTTAATTAAAAATAAAAAAAAGGTTATTATGTTTTATGCAAACAAACCAACACCATTGATTATCTCCCTGATTAAACATAGCAAACAAAAAAAAAAACAGCACTCGTTTACAGATTTATTTGTTAATTGACTAAAGATTTTTAGAGTAATACATAAAATAATAATAATTAAAAGTAATCTATCTATAATAGAAATAATAATATCTTAATTCGTAACGAAACACTAAACTATTTATGACATTTAAAAGAAAAGAAAAATAGTAAGTGATGTTTGAACATGATTTACTTTTTGGTTTTTTAATTTTGCTTTGGAAAATTAAAAGTGAAATTATAAGAAATGAAATGGTAGAGAATATTAAAGATAGGTTATAAAGATAACCATGTTTTATTGGTTATTTGTTTGTTGGTTTCTCCATACCATTTCAAAGATGTGTGTATGTTGTTTATTTTATTATTGTGTATTCACCACTATCTTTTACCACCATCACCAAACACAATTCCACATTCATTGTATTTTTTGTGGGTGTGGTAATAAAGGTGGGGAATGTGTTATTTTATTTTATTTTATTTTATCTGTAGATAAAAAAAAAACAATTAATAATATTGCACAAACTATTATTGGATGGACATTAAATTTGGAAAAAATAAATAAATAGATTGAGTGTTTGTTTGTTTTAAAATATTAGTGACATTATATTAATTAAAGTTTTGTGAGAATATAGTCAAACAGTCACAAAAAATGAAATTAACAACTAACAAACTATCATTAACTTCCCACACATTATCAACCCACCCAATATCACACCGAAATGAACAAGTTCATTCCTATTAGTCAAGCAAACAAACAACAATGCAAAAAAAAAAAAACCAAAAACCAATCATCCGTCATCAATCACCTATCATCTACCCAATTCCCCATTCATTCCCACCCCCAAATTACATACTGTTAGAGATATAACATTTTTCATTTCCTTTGCTTTCCTTTTATTCATTCATCAGACCAATATAATAATGTGAAATCATTTCCTCAATTCCTTTATTGTTTTCGAATGGTGTGCAATTATAATTATTAACATCCTATATAAAATATGTGTATGTATGTATCTATCGCAGCAAAGCAAAAACATCTATATTAGTGAATATAAATGTGTGCTATTAATACTTTTTGTTTAAAATTACCTTTGAAATTTTAAATAAAATTGAATCAAAAGTGTTGAAAGTGTATTGCTAGCAACCATTATCTCATCATCATCTTTATTATTATTATAATAAACAAATTTTATTTTGAATTGAAAATTAGTATTAACAGCAAATATATCATTTATAAAACAAAGAAAAGCAAAGTAGCAAAGTTTAGCAAAACAAAAACACAAACAAAATCTAGTTTACATTAATATATAATTACCATACATCATCTTCAAAAGTAGTATCATAATCGTTGCTAACAACAACAATAACAACAATAACAACAATAATAATATGTTATAATTATTGTTCATTCCCTTCCCTCTTTCCATAAATTTTTTTTTTTTGTCAGCTTACATAGCAAATTGTATCAGTTTATCAAGTTGCAACTAGTTTATTTTTAATTCACTTAGTTATATTTTATTTTATTTATTTATTTATTTGTTTGTTTGTTCAACAACATATGAGATTATAGTAATTTGTGAACAGTTCTTCTATTTTATTTATATGATCTTATACCCTACACCTCTTACTCAACAACATTGACAAATAAGAGGACACAACCAATTCAAATACAATCACATTCACATATATACACAACGATACAGTGAAAACAGCAATATATCTGATATTGTCTTTTCGTCACCAGATAATATAATATCAAACACTCACTAGCAAAAAAAAACCACTAACATCACAACAACTGAACAGGTTAACCCGTTTTTTTACACTATTTATTTTAAAACATCTATCATTCACTTGTATATCACATATATATATATATCAGTTCAATATCAATAATAGTTACTAACAATTTATAATAATTGAAACATTCAGATAAATACATTAAAACAATATCTAATAATCAATAGGTCAGGTTGAATACATACTTGTTATCTTCATTTTAATTAAAATTAAATCATATCATTTTCATACAATCAATCAATTAGCCAATTCAAACCAATCAATTAAATTAAATTCAATTCAATCAGTTAGTTATATTAGTATTCTAAATTAATAGAGTAAAAGAAAAAGAAATACAAAGTTTTATAAAGAATGAAATTTGGAAAAAAGAAAGAGAAGGAAGAAGACTCTCTAAGTCCAAGTAAGAAGGAAAAGAAGGAAAAGAAAGAAAAGGATAAAAAGGAATAAAAAGAGTAAAAAAGATGGTAGCAATGATTCATCGTCTGCAACCAGTACAGCAGCATCACCACAACCACCAACGAATGTCAGTGCACCCAGTGGAAAGGTGTTTGGATCTAGACTGATAGACAACATGGAGATACCACCAATCATTATTCAAACCATAGAGTATTTAGAAGCGAATGCACTTCAAACTCCTGGAATATTCAGAGAGAGTGGATCACAACAACAGATCATGCAATATCGTACATTGTTCGAACAGGAGAAGCCAGTGGTTTTCCAACCTCACGAATGTCATGTCGTTGCATCCATCCTTAAATTATATCTTCGTGGACTGCAAGACCCACTTTTATCTTTTGAAAATGTATGCTTAAACATTACATATACTCATCATTCACAGTTGACTAAAACTCCTGATTTAAATTTAGTATAATATGTTTGTTGCATGTGAATCTATCAATGATGAGAAGGTTAAGCTTGAAGTTGTAAAGAAAGTCTTGAAGTCTTTTGCCATTGACCAATCTAAAGGTCTTAAAGTATATATTTGAATTCTTGGTTAAAGTTGTTGCTAATTCCGAAACCAACAAGATGACTACTGATTCATGTATGTATAAACAAAGTTTAGATTATACAATTGATAATCAATGCCTGTTTTTTATTAATATAATTGTTATTTTATTATTGCTAGTGAGTGTTGTATTTTTACCAACAATTTTAAGACCAGAAGCACATACCGATCAAGAGGTACTACAATTCACAGTTGAAGACTCAAAGAGCACAAAGACATTGATGGCGACCATCATTTGCAACTATGAAAGCATCTTTGAAGACAACAGTCTGTTTGTTAGAACCAGACAGACCAGAGCAATCACAGAGTTCTGTACTACCAATCCACACGTTAAATATCCACAGCAATTAAATAAAGCACCATTACCACCTCCACCAACTCTTTCCATTTCACCGGGCAACTCATCGGCATCAACACCTTCACTCATCAGTCCAAGAACAATATCCATCCCAACACCGTCGCCATTACCAGCCATCCCAATTCCAAACAACAACAGTCTGAGTAATACATCACCCAATATAACACCAAGCTCAACACCAACATCTAGCGCACCATCTACACCATCTTCATCATCACTACTCATCGCAACAACAACAGCTACTGCCTCCACTTCACCACCACCACCACCAACATCATCGCCAGCATCGACTACATTTACTTCACCACCACCATTTTTAGAGATACCAACTTCAGTACCATTTACACTTCCACCAATACCATCAAGTCATAGCAACAGTACATTATCAATACCAACCTCATCTTTACCACCATCTACACAAACACCACTTTCACCGACACCCAACGCAACAGAAGAACCAAAAAAATCACTTCCAGCACTTCCCGACAAACGAAATAATTTAAAAACACCACCACCTTTACCCGCCAAACCACCAACTCTTTTTGTACCCAAACCTTTGCCAAGAGTAGGTGAGGCACCCGGATATAATAATAAATGGTTTGGTGAGCCGGAAACAAGACCACGATCAAGTACAACAGCTGTCTAATCGAGACAAAAAATCTTAATAAACAAACAATTTATTTATAAAATTAAGAAAATTATCAATTTTAATTGTCAACGATTGGGATTTATTAAAAATTTAATTTTATGATTTAGAATCCAATACAACAACTCCAACAAAGACAACCACCATTAAATACATTGAAATAGCTAAAGATGATATTGTTGGTTCCTCTTCTTCCAATACATCGATATTATTTTTTGGATTCATGATTGAAATACCATCATTGTCTTCAAAGTCAGCTACATCATCACCTATGAACGATACTAATTCTAATAAACTTAGTTCAAAAAAAAAAATAGATAAGTATTGATATTTGAATGTTGAACTTACATCATTTTGTTTTTTTTAATTGATACTAATTTTTGTTCATAATTTGTAGAAAGAGTGGACTATTTATAACAAAATTTTAGGTAATATAGACATTTGACACTAAACTACCTTAAAAGATGTGTCATACCTTAAATTTTAAAATTAATAATTTTTTACAAAGAAAGATTGCTAAAGTAAAGAAAAAAAAAAAGGAAATGATAAAATAATGTTTATAAAATTTTAATCTACTGCACTAGTTGATTAAATTAAGGCTTTACTATTTTCCATATAATAATAAATACTACTGCCAACACAATTAATAAAATCAGACCCATGATTAGCTTGTCTGTTGCCATTTTTCTTGCGAATGCTCTCATTTGTCTGGTTGCTAGTTTTAAATTATCTTCCACCTGATTGAGGTTCTCATCTATTTTTTTTAGTTGTTGATTTTGATGTTCCATTCCACTTAAAGTATTTATTCCAATCTCTACCATTTCAACTCCTTGAGCCTCCATTCTGGTTATTGCTTCTTTATCTTGTTGTTGCAGTCTCTTTGCTTGGGCCATATCTTGATTATATTGATTTTGTGCTTGGTCGTTTATTGGGATGGCAATTTCCCCTGTATTTGTTGGATCACCTTCATTTTGTTTCTCTGCCCATCTCAATTCATTTTCAAGCTTACGAAGAGTTTCATCGTATTGCTTTGCTTTTGTTTCATATTCAGTTTGTTCTTTTTTCTCTAATATTCTATATTCTCTTCTAAAACTCTTTAAATCTAAAATTAAAAGAAGATTAACAAATGTTTTGGCTAATTTAAATAACTATTAAATACAATACAATTTCTTGCTACTTTTAATCTTTCATCTAGATGTTCAGCATTTTGTCTTATATCTAATATATTTTTTTTTTTCTTGGCTGCAGCTGATTTAATATCTTTGATTCCTTTTTCAAGCTCTACAACTTTTAAAAAATCTTGTTCGTATTCGCCTAATAAAATCGTTGACATATATATTTATTTTATCTTATATAATTATTTTTTTTTAATTTATTTATATTAATTGTTTTTTTTATTCACCAAAGTTTTTATATATAAATAGAATGAGTTGTTATAAGAAGGAGTTTTTTAATTATACAACTTTCCCTCATTCACAGTTTTTGTTCAAAGAATTTTTTTCACCACAAAAATTTTTCAATCACCGAATTTTTTTCTCAATAGTCTAACAGCATTGCATGTTTTTTCATTATATTTGATGGAATTTATATTATTTTCTTTATTTGTTATTGTCTTTGGGTAAGATCATCTTGATTATAATATTTACACATAAAAGTTAAACCTAAAGTTTGATCACCTTTTGGAGCTAAATCAGGATATTCAAATGGAATGTCATCACCTTCTCTTTGATATCCGTAGGACTTTGAGTACCAATTGAAAATCTCTTCACGGCAACTGATTATACTGAGTATCGATTTCTTTACTTTCCAAACCTCTGACATCTGACGTTCTGCGACGTTCATCAAGATCGAACCAATTCCGTCACTCTGATATGCAGGGTCAACAGCCAGCATATGAAGCTCACCAATATCCATCGATGTAGGTTGTCTATCACATTCGATACATCCAACAATCTCGCCGGTCGGTTTCCATTTTGCTGCGTTGTCAATGCTTGCGCCATCTACGTTGTTGTTGTTGTCATTGTTGTCAGTGTTTGCAGCATCAGTGTTTTCAACTACTTTCTCTAATACAAAAAGAACATCCAAATCTCTACTCTTTGCATAGTATTTCTCTAGCTGCTCTACATTCAAACGGATACCGGTAATCAACTCTTTAGTGGTAGTCCATGATTCAACATCAGGTTTGCCCAAGAAAGCCCAACTAACGATTTGAACTAACTTTTCGAAATCTCTTGGTTCAGCGTATCTACACAACAATTTAGTGTTTGATTTTTTTGTTTTAAAATATTCATTCATTTTTAGATATATTGTAATAAAGTGTATAAAAAAAAAAAAAAAGCATTTCGTTTAAAACGTGTCTTAAAAAATAAGTTTTTTTCAAAAAATGTAAATTAAAAATTAAATTAAATTTTTTTAAAAAGATATTTAAATTTTTTGATAAATGATGGTAAAATAAGATGACCTTTCATTAAAATTTAGAGTGTTTCAGAACTTTGGATGATGAATGCAAATATTTGCATTGAAATTTCTTTTATTTATCAAATAAAACTATTTTTTTTTTAAATAAGTAAACTGGTAGAGTTACAAGATAATAAAGAGTAGTAAAATTCACTTCCTGGGTATGGTGGGTTCCAACTAGTATAGTAAGTAGCAACAAAAGCATAACTATTGCTCAAAGCTACACTTATTTTGATATAGGAGACGATTCGGTTGGTATTTGAATTATAAACAGTTCCTAATCCAGAGTATGTTCCATCTTGATTCTGAGTTGCATTGACTATAAACGTGTTGCTTGGATTCTTTGCATCAAAGGTATTGAGTACACCATTTTCCATTGAAAGTCCTGCAACAACTGGTGCTGAGCAATCCGAAGAATCTTGATGATAAATCCAAAGACCTTGAGTAATCGGAGATGCTATTTTTTTTTTTTGGTTAATAGATTATAATATATTTTTTTATTAAAAAAATACTTACATCTAACCAATAAAATTAAAAAGAATAAAAAGACAAAATACTTTAACATCCTATAATATATATATTTAAGAAAAAGTGATATTGTAAGATCTGGATGCCATTCTTTTTATAGATGTTTGACGAGAAACGAAAAGATAAGATTTTTACTTTTTTTTTGGAACCCAAGGATTTTTGTTATTCTTGATAGTTTAAAACTATTAGATTTGATTTGTAAAGAATTAGTTTAATTTTTAAATATTAAGGATATATGTTTTTGTCAAAGATAATCATCTATTTGAAAAGTTGAAGGATTTATCAATATATCGCTCGTCAAACTTACCAGGATAAATGATTTGAAGCCGATTGTTAATATATCACCAAAGTATATAGATTTTAGTTAGATGTTTAATTATATTTAGGTAAAGCGTTTTATTATATGAAAACAGTAGCAGAGTATTCATCTACTATATTTGATTCGTCGTCTGAAGAATCATTACAAGTCGATAGAGAATAGTAATAAGTATCACCAGTAAAGCCGCTGCTAGAAGAATAAACGGCTATGAAGGCAAATGGGTTGTAAATGGTACCTTTTACGTTGGTATAGGCGTAGATATGTAGATTTCTATAGAGTGCACCGTATCCTTGGAATGTTCCATCATTGTTAACCGTTACATTGGTCAAGTAGAGGAAACCCTCTGGTGAGATTGTACTAATCATACCATTTTTCTTTACCAGATTCATAGTTTGTGGTGTACTACATTTATTTGAACCATGTAAAGTCCATTGTCCTGCTGCTAACTCCTCTGTTTATGAAGAATAATAATAATAATAATTATAATAGTATTTAAGTATAAAGCAATTAAATATCAAAGTGTAGTGATGATAGTAAACATACTTGCAATTGTAAATGTATTAAACAAAGCTACTAATACAATAAAAGATATAATTAATTTATTCATTTCTATAAGTGATTTAAATGATTAACGATAACTTGATTATTTAACAATTATTATTGATTTTAATCATCACATTTTTATCTTTCAAGATATCTTTGATTTATTTTAAAATAAATATCTAGATATATTAATAAATTTCGTCATTCTTCCAGAATTCTTGAAGATATTTCATATCGGAAACTCTGCCTACCATCTTATGTTGTGATCATATTTGTTGATTATTTGGATATGTTAATGACTTGATACACACAAATTGTAATTTGAAATGATGAAATGAAAGATAAGAGTTATATATATATATATATATATATTCAATATTGGTAGTTATTTTATTTATTATTGTGGTAAAGTATCTTGAATTACACCGGTTGGATCTTCACTCAATACCAATGGCAATACCTTACATTGGCTCCATTTCATCCATTCTTCTTTTATGGATTGTGCACTCTGGTCGCTGAGTGTAATTGAAAAGAGTGCGTCGAATCCACCCGCACCAGGAACACCCGATGCAACACAACCTAGAACCTCCATGGTATGATCGGCAAGGTTTGACTGCTCGACTGGCTCCAATGGAACATCGGCTAGTTCACCCATCTTTCTAAGTAATCTTCTGATCTCTAAAAACGATGATCTAACCAATTGAATTTGCTTGATAACCTGATCGTTATTACCTTTCGATAGTAACTCTAACCATTTAGATTGCGAGGTACTAGCCAGCAATGAAAGTGTATTGAAATAACTATTACTGTCGCTACCATGCAACTGATGTAACTCATTGAATGCTTTCTTTACCAAACCATTTGAAGTATGTAAGTCATCCCAAAGTTGTTTTGCTAAAAATCAAAATAAATTAATATAAGTATTAGTTTAGCATTCATCTCTAGGCTAGACTATATTAATAACTTACATATCTCTGGATTTGATTTTCTCCATTCTAAAACTTTCTTTACCATCACAGGAGTATTGGATCCAATGCTTACGTCTGCCAACAACAATTGTAAGCCAGCTGGCAATGCCATAGAATGATGTTCATTATCCCATTTTCTATAATTATCAAGTCTATTTTTAAATTAGTTATATTGATATTGGAATAATGTTTAATTAAATGTCTGTAGATAGCTTTTAAATACATACTTGACAGAGTTATAATCTTCTTGTAAAACAGATTGAAGTAATTGCTCTGGTGTTGGTGTAATGTTCTTATCGTAGTGATCTAGAATACCTTGAATGAGATCCGGTGAGAATCTTCTATATACTTGACTACCGAATACAGCTGAACTGATATCGAATCCACTTCCGATCTTGCCTTGTGCAACACAATGACAGAGCTGAGCAAGATTATGTAAAAGTGTCTTTTCACGCAACAACTTGACTTTATCACTCTGATTCTTCAAATCGATCACCTTGAAAAACGACAATAGAGCAGCAGTCAACGAGCTAACCAAAGCTGCAGAACTTCCCAAACCAGTCTTTTGTAGCTCATCCAATGTAGTAGTCAAAGGCAGGAATTGTGGTAAAGTCTTTAATGATTCATATGATATTGGTAAACCTCTTTGTTTTAACTTTAGTAAAATAAATAAAAAAAAAGAAGTTGTTATTACATATAAAACTACTAGTAGTTATTAAATATTAACATACTTGTGGAATTTGAGAATAGAAATCATTTGCACCCATAATAGTTATATATAAACCTTGCATAAGGATATCGATGAATTGTGATTGTTCAATGAGTGACTGAATGACAATGAGTGTATAGAACAGTGTCTTCTCAACGTATCTATTCTCTTTGTAGGTGGTTGGATTTGCTGGTTGTATTTCGATGACCGACGGTTGATTAGGACGATACACAATGTGATATTGTTGCTCCGATTTGAACTGTGGTGATGACAATGTCAATTTATAATGATGGTGATCACCATTACCTGTTGTTACTGTACTATTTTGCTGTTCGATAGGTTTGATAGTAGTATAGAACCTTGAATTGATAGTGAAAACAATACCATCAAACAATCTATCTAAAACCAAGTAACCACCTGTAACCAACACTTTTCCAGGTGCCGAACAACATACTTCTTTTTCACAACTACTCATTATTTAGATCTATATAATATATATTTCTATTAAAGTAAATAACTATATTAATATTAAAATAAGATTAACCAAAATAGAAAATAAAAAACACAATGTCAGACGAAACCTGTTGGACAAATTTGTCCAACACATTTTTTTGATATACTTTTCATTTTTTATTTTTTATTTTTTTTGAAAAGGTTATTATTTTGTTTGTTTATTTATAAATAAATTTTTCTAAGTTCATTTGGTGTTGTAATGATATTACATTGTGGACACCATTTCTTAACTTTGAGTGCATTCAACCAACATTGTTCACAGTGAACATGCCAACACTTGATACTGACCAACGGAACTTGATAGTTACTTAGACATACCAAACAATTCGGTACATTCTGTAGTAGCTTGTCTTGTTCTCTTATTCTTTCTTTTAATGATTCAATTATTATACTATTACCACCATTATTACTGTTATTATTTACATTATTATTTACATTTTTTGTTGTTGTAGTTGTTGTAGTTGTTGATGTCGTTGTTGTAGATGATGATGATGGTGCTGTTGTTATTAAATGATTTAAACTTGGTTTTTCTATTGCTGATAAACTATCTACTGTGTATTGAACTTGTCCGTATTGAACAGTATCATCTTCCTCTATGTCCAAGTCGATATCTTCGTTGGTTGCATCTTTGTGTCTCGGTACGATATCGTGATAGCCATTGGGAATCAAGCTGCATGCACGAATACGTGTTTCACCTGCAAACTCATATACCTCTACGCCTGGTGGTAAATCAGAGTAGTCTTCTTCCTCTTCATTGGCTTTTCTCTTGTTTTGTTGTGTTGTTGATTTAGGTGGTCTACCTCTTCCTCTCTTTGGTGTTGTTGTTGTTGCATTTGCATTAGCATTTGCATTTGCATTAGCATTACCATTTCCACTCTCTAAACATCTATCTAAATGTAAGTTGAAATCACTCATATCTCCACTAACTTGCTCTCCACAAACAAAACATTTCTGTATACTATTATTACTATTATTACTACTATTACTACTGATGTTGCTTGTACTATTATTATTGGTGGTAGTGGTGGTGGTAGTACCGCTGCTGACACTGCTATCAATTGAGTTTCTTGATGAATTTAGTAAAGTTGCAGATCTCTTTTCTCGTTTCGCTCTGATGTTGCCAATAGATTGGTTGATGTCGTCAAACTCTGAAACAGTACCGGTTGCTTGCATGTGTGTCTTTATCAATGCGTTGATTGTCGATGATCTTCTTGGTCTATTAGCTGACAGTGTTTGATAGGATCCGGATTCATCCTCAAAAGATGGAAGACTTTCCTCAGATGCCAACTTCTTCAACTCCATCTCATAATGCTCCTGATATTTATCTTGATCGATCTTTATCTTACAGATAGGACATATCGATTTAGATAGATAATCTCCGTCATCATCCTGTTGTTGTTGTTGTTCTTGTTGTTTTTGTTGCTCCAACAGCTTCAATTGTTTCTTTGTTAACTTTGGTGATGCTGTATTGGCAGCTTTTGGTGGCGATGCCAAAGGAAATCCATTATTATCTAATTTTACTTTTGCTTTATATTTTAATTAAGATAGAGAAGAGAAGAGAAGAGAAGAGAAGAGAGATGTTAATAAACATTTAAGTTCTAATTGTCTTGCATCTAATAATTGATATTTACGAGGTCTACCACGTCCTCTTTTCACTGGTACTAATGGTTCAACATCTAAAGAAGATGAAGGTGTTGCTATTGGGGTTGTTGAATCTATTGAATCTATTGAAGCTGTAGTTGTTGTGGTGGTTGTTGTTGTTGGTGTTGCTAGTGTTGCTATTGCTACTGGTATTGCTATAGCTGGTGCCGTAGTTGCAGAATCTGAAATCGGTGTATTTAAAATAGGCATATGCTCTTCCAAAAACGGTGTTTCAGTGATACCCTCCTCTTCATTTTCCAATAGTGAACCAATACTACTACTTGCTAACTCTTCATTCTCCTGTGTTGACAAAAGATGTTGTTGCTCTATTGTTTGTTCTTGATTCAAGTGTTGTTGTAAACTACTATTACTATTTGCTATAAATTCTTGAAATGTAGATTCTGAAAACATCATATTTTAAACTATCGATTTCTGTTTCTTACTATGAAAAAATAAAATAAATTAAAAAAAAAAAACAAGATTTAAATAAACATCCGACTACGCCGAGATATATTAGATATTTTATTAACAATGTTGGGTGTGAGTGTGTGGTGAACAACAGATGGATGATGTTGTTTGATAGATTTAGATTTCTTTCGTCTTCTCAGATCACAATCATCAATTTCACTTTTGGCGAAAGCGAACGTTTTCATCAATTCAATAATGTCATTGGCATGCCAGTGTGAGTGTCGCACCTCGCTTCACCATGGTGTTGCACCAGCGACTCGTCTGCTTGCACGTCAAAACTTTCTTTTTTTTTTAATTTTTTTATTTTTCATTAAAGAAGTTCGTTGGTGTTTTTTATTAAAAAAAGAAATTCAAAAAGATCGACCACAGCCCCATACAAACAACCACACCTTTTCACGACTTTTGATGAAAAACTAAACAACCACTTAATATAGAACAAAATCTTTTTTGTTTACATACAAAACAAAAAGCAAATAAAAAATGAATAAAACGATTTGTTTGATATTTTTTTGTTTTATTTAGTTTTTCTATTTTTAATAAATAAATAATTAATACTTAATTATTACTATTACTAAATTGTATCATCAACAAACACTTGTATGACAAACTAAACAATTTCATCCATTGATCAACCTTTTACTTTTTTTTTAACAATTATATTACACACGATTAGATTATATTTATCATTTATATAAATCTTTTTTTAAATATATATTTTCAGAAATGACAAAAACAATAGGTAAAAAAAAGAATAAAGATTTCAAATTTCTATATTTTTTTACTTATTAATTTATTTTAATAGATTATGGAGAAAGAGAATATTGGGATCAGAGATATGAAGATGATAAAAAGAAGAGACCACATTTCGATTGGTATCATGGTTATAAGACTTTGAAACCATTCCTTTCTAAATATTTTTTAAAGTTGGACAGAATTTTAATGCTTGGTTGTGGTATGTTTGGAAATTTAGTGTGAAAAACAAAACAAACAATTTTTGTTGCCGACATGTTGTTGTTTACTAATAATCGTATCTTTAAATTTAGGAAATAGTAAATTGGGTGAAGATATGAATGACGATGAATATAAGGAGATTGTAAATATTGACTTTTCAGATGTATTAATACAAGATATGAAGAACAGAACCGTCGGTAGAGAAGGATTAGAGTATCTGACAATGGATGGCAGAGATATGGACTTTGAGAGTGATTCTTTCGATTCTATTTTTGACAAGGGTACAATCGATGCTGTGATGTGCAGCGACGACGACAATTCCAATGCAAAGCGAATGATTACCGAGGTTTCGAGAGTGTTGAAGCCTGGTGGTTTCTTTGTGGTGATGACCTATGGTTCACCAGAGAACCGATTGCCAGTGCTCAATGTTGCCAACTACAACTGGACCGTCTACATGAGAATGTTAGGAACATCTCCAGATGCTCAAAGTAATCAATGTCACTATATCTACATTATGAGAAAGAACATAGCGAATTCCGATAACTCTACAGCCGATCAGGCTTCCCTACAACAACTCAAATCAATTGCAACCAATCCATTCGATCCAAGTACCGAACATTTCGAAACCTATTTATATTCTTCAGTTGGAAAGATTGCATTAGAAGTTACACCAGTAGTTAAATAATAAAGATTATCTTTTTTTTTTTCTCATTTTATTTTTCTTTTTAATTTGATAATAACACAAGTATGTCTTCAATTTGATATATGTTACAAATAAAGAAAGGTCAAATTCAATTTTATATAATTAACAATCTATTGATTTACCATTATCTTTTACTATTCTTAACTACTAAATCAAATCCAGATTATTTCTGAAAAAATTAGGTATTGTTTTTTTTTTTTTAAGCTCCCATTGAAAAACATGTTTACTTTTTGGAATCATTTTGTACTTTAGAATCTTAGTAGATAGATATGAATGATGGAATCAAATTCTTTCAAAAAAATAATAAATAATAAATATTTGTCAAGTTGTATATTTAGATTTATAAATGAGTTTGGAAGTAATCAAGTTGCTAGATACTACAAGTGGTCTCACGTGGTTGTATCTCTACCAACGTTGCTCACCTATGGTTATTTAGATCAGTTGAAACGCTCGATCGATAATAATTTGATATGTTTTGTATCACATCATCAAGCCTCAGCTGTCCATGCTATTGATCTGTTCAATCACATAAGAATCTACTTGCACTATATCATTAGGTTTGGCTATTACGATATGATAGTGTATCTCTCTAGTAAATATAGAAATAAGAATTGGTATGTCGCAGACTGTGTAATCAATTCACTGGCGTATCGTCGTTGGAATTTCGTTCGATTCTTCATGGAGAATAGATTCTCTGAGATCGATCGGGAGTTCTACCCAAAGATTATATCTTCTGCAGCCATCTCCACCGACATGGATATATTGAGATACACATGCGAGAAACTCAATTACTTTCAAATCGACAAGCTATCTTTCTATCATCTGGTGGAGTGTGGATATTCCAATATCGTTAAGTACTTTCTCGAGCCTAATCAAAGCAATAAGAGCGGTACAATGGAATGTCCTTCGGAAGCGGCAGAGAGAGCAGCTCAGAGATCTGCACCAAACCTACTAGAGTATTTCAGTGAGAATCATCCATCGACAATAACAACTAAAGTATTGGATACACTTGCCAAGCAAGGTGATTTCACACTCCTTAAGAAGCTAATTGGCCGTCACACTAAGGTTGAATGCTCTACTTTGGCAATAGATCAAGCGGCAATGAATGGAAAGCTAACAATCGTTCAATGGTTAACAGAGAATTCAAAGAGTGGATGTTCTACAGACGCGCTAGACTATGCAGCTGAACGAGGTCATCTAAATATTGTTGAATATCTGCACCATAATCGAGTGGAAGGATGTACAAAGCGAGCATTAAATTTAGCAGCAACAAACGGTCACCTGGAGGTCGTTAAGTTCTTACATTATAATCGAAGTGAAGGATGTACTACCGCTGCAGCAGATGGTGCATCACAGAATGGACATCTTGAAACACTTCGGTTCCTACTGGACAATCGTAGTGAGGGTTATTCAAACCAGATATTAGACAAGACAGCCAAGAGAGGATCGATAGAAACACTCAAATTCCTTGGAGAGCGAACTACAGATTTGAAAGTACACAGCAATACTCTTAGCAATTGTTCAAACTTTGGGTATTTAGAGGTGATCCAGCATTTGGTGGAAGTCTATCGAGTTCCAATCGATAGCAAATCGATCGAAAAAGCAATCATTTTCAACTATATCGATATAGTTAGATATCTGCTGGCTAACAGTGATGGTGTTCATAGAAGATACCAATGTAGTCCAGAACAGTTGAAAATGATCATAACAAGCGATAACCTTGATATGTTAAAGTTACTTTGGGAGTATCAGACATTTACACAGCTGAGTTTCGGTACTCTCGCATTACATGGTAGATTTGAAATGATACAGTACTCAATAGATAATAAGATTCATCTGTATGGAACAGATATTACTACACACATGTTTAAACTCAGAGGATTTCAATCTAGATTTCCATTACGACATGATTTCGAACAATGGTATTTAGATTTATTTGCAAAAATAAATATTACAAATAAGTGATTGTTTTGTAAACCAATTAGAATAACAATAAATATTAATAAATTACTGTTATAATTTAACATTTTAATTTATTAATTATTAATTAACAGTAAGGTATATTTAAATAAAGAGATTGTTTCATTTTTTCAATGGAACATTTTGGACCATAAATATGAATATTGTTGTCAAGAGCATATTTAAACATTTCATATCTGTTGTTATACGAAAGTGTCCTGATACATAGTTTTGCACATAATTTCTTCTCCCATAGAATCTTTAGTAGATCAAAGTAGTTTTTCTCGACGACTTTTATCATTCGCTGATTGTTGCATTGGATAGGCTGGAAATCAGCAAACTCTAGAAGATATTTAAGCATAGTTGTGTCGTTATTCAAGATAGCCAAATCGATAGCGGCATCATTATATTTCATACCACATTCCTGGTGAAGGTATTTGACGACTTCAAGGCGACGCGATGATACACAGTTGTTAAAGATGTTGGTATTATTGAATCGTAGTGAGGGACCTCCTTTTTTAATTGAAATAAGGTATTTCAATACTTCTAATTGACCTGCATGAGCTACTTTATCCAATATATTAACGCCATACTGTTCGGTTCGATTGTCAAGCAGGAATTTAAGTGTTTCAAGATGTCCATTGACTGCTGCGCCTTCTGCCGCCTTGGTATTACAACCTTCACTTCGATTATAATGTAAGAACTTAACGACTTGTAGGTGACCGTTTGTTGCTGCTAAATTTAACGCTCGTTTTGTACATCCTTCCACTCGATTGCTATGAAGAAACTCAACAACACTCAGATGACCTCGTTCAGCTGCATAATCTAGTGCATCGGAAGTACATCCAGTTTTGGAGTGTTCCGTTAACCACTGGACAATATTAAAGTGTCCGTTCATCGCTGCTAAATCAATCGCTGCTGTAGTACCTCCAATGCTATGCTGCTCAAGTAGTTGACGCATAATACCCAAACTACCTTGCTTGGCAAGTGTATCGATGACTTTGCGTGTTATGGTAGATGGATGATTCTCACTGAAATACATAACCATTTCATTGCTCTGATAATGTGCAGCGTCGACGGCGGAATCGATTGGACACTCCATAACACAGTTGTTATTCTTGCCATTCGGTTCCAAGAAGTATTTAACCACATCAAGCTTACCACCTATTATAACAGAGTTTAGGTTGTCTTTTGACAGATAGTATCGGTCAAACTTTTCACATACGTATCGGACTATATCGATTGAACAGCCTATTGCGCACATTGACACAGCCACCGAAATCAATGAAGAATTGAAATCTGAGAATCTATTGTCAACGAAGAACCTGATGTATCTTTCCTTTCTCATAACTAAAGATCTATATAGTGCGTTGTGCAATGACCACTTTACATTTTTAAACTTGTTGTGGAAGAACTCGAGAATCTCCATATGATCGAATCTGACAAGGTACTCGAGATGATCGTTGAACGATTGGAAACTGAGATTGTTGTTTCCACGAGTCATCTTTTCTATTATCGGTAAATAACCATAGCTCATTGCTGCCGGTATTGAACAAACAACATCATTCCATCTTAATGATTTAATTTTCGATAATCTACTTGTTATTTCTTTTACATAACTAAATATCAACTTGAATAATATTTTATTTCTAAGAATATTAAAAAATTTGATTGTTTGTAAGTTATTCATTTTCGAAGTTGAAAAAACAAAAAAGTAAAGAATTTTAAGTTTTGTTAATAAAGTATTTAATTCTTAATCTTTTACCAACATCTAATTTATTTTAAGAAACTTACAAGAATTTTTAAAGACTTATTAATAATTTTAAGTTGTACACTCAAAAGACACGTTATACTTCTAGATTCAAATAACTTTGTTATTTGAAATATAAATATATTGTAGTTAATAAGAAAAAAAAAAAAAAAAGTCAATTTTTTAATTTAAATAAATAAATAATTTTGATTTATTTTAGATTTTAGAGTTGGATCTAAATGATATTGGTTGTTGTTGTTTATTGAACCAAAGCCAAGACTAAGAAAGTAAGGGCAGCGACAATAATCTTGGAGACTTGGACTCCTGAGGCATCATTGGTTCCTCCAGCGGCAGTAGTTCCTCTTGGTGGGAAAGTTCCTCCAGCGGCAGTGGTGACTGGGGCAGAAGTTTGACCGGTGGTAGTTTGTCCTGTTGGAGAGAATGTTTGTTAGTTATATTTATCAATTTAAAACTTACATGTATCGATCGCTGTTAGTAGATAAAGAAGGATGGATTTTTATAATTTAAAGAAGGATGGATAGTTGATGAACTTTTAAATATATCTATACCATTTGGAACACAGATCCATGTGCATGGGGTACCTATTAATATTAATAATTATTTGTTAGTATTTGTTGTTAGATTTATTAGAGAATAGAGAATAGAGAAAAGAGTGATAAGAGTACCAGTAGTGGTAATAAGTTTTGTAGTATTGTGTGTAATAGTAGAAATAGATGCTGCTGTAGAGAATGAAGTAGTGGGTGTTGTGCTTTCAGCTACTGTTTGTGAAGTAGTGAATTGTGTTGTAGTTGGAATAGATGTTGTTTGTGATATAGTGATTGGTGTTGTAGTTGTTGTGGTGGTTGTTGGAATAGATGTTGTTTGTGATGTAGTGAAAGATGAGGTAGAAGAAGTAAGAGGAGGAGTAGTAGAAGTAGTAGAAGAAGGAGTAGTAGTTGTAGATATTTTACCAGTGACAACAGTTGGGGATGGAGTTCCAGTGGTTGGTGGTTGAGTTGGTGGGGTAGTTGGTGGTTGAGTTGGTGGTTGAGTGGCTCTGCAGGACATATCAACGTTGATATCGACGACTTGGGTTGAGGTGTAGAATACTTGACCGTTTCTTGAGAATGAGCATGAGAACCATCCAGAGAGACCATTGTTGACGTTCTTACCGTTGGCACCAACACCGACTTGCAATAACATACCGTCGAATGGAGTCAAGTTCATTGTGACACCGTCGACGCTACCACCGTGACCGACGAAAGATGATTGAGCTGGATCGATTGCGTAGTATTGCCATGTGTTTGGATCGACTGGACCTTGTGGAGCGTAGGCGTTTGGCTTGAGTTCTTTCTTTGGTGTTCCGGAAGCTTGCTTGTTGAAGACCATCTTGACATCCCAGGTTGGAACAGATGATCCGTCAGCTGGGGAGATAACTCCGGTGATTGTGATTTGGTTTCCGTTGTTGGCTAAGTTACCGTTGTTTCCGACAAAGTTGTAAGTAGTGAATCCACCTGGAACGTTTGGATCAGCAAAGGTAATTGCAGAACCACCTACAGCGGGACCAAATTGATCTAACTGTGCAGAAGTTAATACTATAATTAAAGATAGTATAAATATTAGTATTCGTGTATATATATATAAATATTAGAAACTATATTTATTTAAACTTACCGTAGTTGGCACAGTTTGCATCAATTTGAGCATAGATAGAGCCAATCATAAGGGCTACTAAGAATAATCCTTGTATTTTCATTGTTTGTTGGTAATATTAATTTAATAAATAAATAAATAAGTTGATACTATTAATTAAATAAATAAGATTGTTTGTATTTATATATTTAATTAGTTGTTTGAATTGAATTGAATGAATAAACAATCTCGAAAGCTGTCGCTTTTAAAGCAAAGGTTTGGCTGGTTGTCGTTCGAAATTTGGTAGGATGTTGGTGAACTAGCAAACACTTACTGAATTCAGTTCGATATACATATTCGCAATAAAGAAAAGATGCACCCCTACACTCATTGACAGAGGTATAGACTGCAACACCACATAGTATCTCTATAGTCTGAATGCAGTCAATTTGCAACTTCTAAATTTAATTCACATCTTTGCTTATTAATGATATCAACACTCATATAAAGTTTGTCTATTGCCAATTCTAGTATCTACCTTTTTACTAATCGTATATTGATAAACAAAAAAAAAAATCAAATATTGTCAATATCATTATTATGAAGATTGGTGTTGTATTAAAATAGAATATGAAAATATTAATTATTATTTTATTTTTTTTTAATTTTAATTAATACCACACAACACCCTTAACACACACTTTTTCATACGCTCACATACACACACCTCTTTCTTTGACAACCACACTTTTTTCTATAAGTAAACTATCTATTGCTTATTAAATTAAAAGAAATTGAATTATCATTACAATGAGTGCAATATTGGTTAATTTTTTTTTTGAATTTATTATTTTTTTAATGAAGGTAAAAAATTAGACTCAAAAATGTTACTAATTTTGAAAATAATAATATTAAAAGACAATTATTTGTTTGATTTTATATATGAATGAGCTGATGTTTGGAAAATTACTTTTCATTGGAATTTTTAGAGTTCACTTTAAAATTTCGGGTTCTAAACTTTTTCAAAATATTTTTCGCATTTTTTAAGAAACACTGTTCCCAAAAAAGATTTATTATTGAGCTGCCCCCTATTTTTGATCAAAAGTTTTCTTTTAGCAAAAAAAAAAAATGTAAAAAACAGATTTTGAATTTAAAAAAAAAATAAAATTTATTTATTTTAAATGCCTTTGGTTTTTTTTAGTTGCCCTTTTCTATTATTTTGATATACATATAATTATTATTTATAAAATGATATTTAACAAAGTAAAGTTGATTACACTTTGTTTGTTAGTACTTTTAACTGTTTCATATGGTATCGGTGTTTATGAGCACCAACCAAGAAATACAAAGAAACTTAAAGATATACCTGAAAATGCACCATTTTCATTGAATGTTGCTTTTGAACAATTAATGGTAAATCTAATTAATCCACAATTTTAAAAAGAATGACTATAAATATTGACTATCAATATATATTGGTTTGGATATTATTATTATGATTATTATTATTATTATTAGTATTCATATGCAGCATACTGCGATCTAGAGGAAATCAACTCATGGACATGTCCATACTGTATCACCGATTATAATCCAAATCCAGTTCAAATTGTACAAACTATGTTCCACACTTTTTCGAATACCTTTGGTTTCATTGCTATCACCGGTGAAACAAGTAAGTAGTATTGTAGCAATTATAATGAAAACGCATATCTTTATATTAATTGTTATTCAGTTGTTATGGCATTCAGAGGTACTCAAGGAATTTCAATAAAGAATTGGATCACCGATTTGAACTTCCCACCAACTTCACCATTCCCAGCTTTTCCAGCGGCCAAAGTACATCGTGGATTCTTAAACGCCTATTTGAATGTACAAAATGAAACTATTACAGGTATTAAAAATGCATTGGCGCTTTGTCCAAATTGTAACAGATTTGTTGCCACCGGTCACTCTTTGGGTGGTGCATTGGCTATTTTGGCAGTGGCCGACGTCTTCCCGACAATCATCGATCTACCAATCGACATGTATACCTACGGTTCACCAAGAGTCGGTGATGTTGCTTTCGCCGAGTATTTCGAATCAACCGTGCTCCAAAACTATTGGCGTGTCGTCAACCATCACGATATCGTACCACACTTGCCAACCAAAGACATGGGATTCTACCATTTGCCAATAGAAGTTTGGTTCGACGGTAAGAACGATACATCCTACAAGATTTGCGATGACTCTGGTGAGGATCCAACCTGTTCAGATTCAGTTCTCATCGCGTTGGATGTTGCCGAACACTTGGACTATTTAGGAATTGAAAAATCGGAATGTTAAATTATTATTACTATTTCTGAAAAGAAAAGGAAATTCCATCAAACACCAAACACACAACTCTCAACCCCAACCTCAAAAGCTATCGATATCATTATCATCTCCTTAAATTTAGAATCCGAATTCAAATTTAATTGTTAATATTACACTATATTATTATATTATATAAAAATAAATTATATTTATTCCTTGTAGGAATATTGTTTTTCATTTTACATTCCTTTTTCATTTCATTTAGTTTATTATGTATGTTTTAATAGACCATTGTTGGTTTAAAGACAAATTTGTATTTCTTATTGGGAACTACGGATGGAGGTATTTTAACATCAAATATTCTCTTTGATGGTTCGGGATTCTCTGGCAAGTCAAATAATATATCGGTATTGATGGAAGTATCTTGAAGCTCTTGGTTTCTTATTCCAGCATCCTGTAACTTCTTAATAACCACTGGATCTACTTCCTCTTGACAACCGTTAGGTGTGAACGTGATCAACAAGATTGCAAGTTGAGTTAAACCAATCGATGGACAAATATCTTTTCTAACTGATTCCTCGGTGAGAGTATTTTTATCAATCATCATTATATCCAATAATTGGAGTAAAAATGACATTTCAATCCTTAAAGTTGTTTGTTTTTAAAAGAAATGGTTAGTTTTTGTTGTTAATTTTAGATTCTAGATAGTATTCCTTCTTAACTTACTTGTAGTAATAGAAAAAGTTTAGTTGTTTGTTCTCTTGTATCCATTGCGATAGTGCAGAGAACATTAGTTTCAAATTAATGGCCGAGGTGGTATTGGAGAACTCTGTGTTCTCTAAGAACATATTACAAAAGTATCCGGATGTGTAGTAAAATACCTGTTTGAAGACATTGGGCCACAGAGAGGAGAATGGTATTCTCTTTTCCAAAAAGTCGAGTGTAGTCAACAGGTAGTCTAAATACAATAGGGTACCGGAGAACGTTGGATTGGTGATCAGCTCTGATATTCGCTTCAATACATTGTCCAATTCCACTCTCATATTCTTCCATAGTAACTTCCAGAACTGTTTTTGTTGAGTTTTCAATTTGATCAACATCAATCTGATGTTCTGTGTCTCAGAGTTACCAGATAAATCGCCATTGGGTGACTTCTCAGCAGCGTAATGTTTACTATTGATTCTCTGATTATAAGTACAGTCCAACAAATACCATAGACCATAGGAAGTGGATAGCCAATAACACGATGTTTCTTTATCCATATTATCCATCTATTGTTTATAAATAGTTATGTTAGTTTAGTTTGTTATTATTTTAGATAAAAAAAGCATTTGTTTTCTATTAAGTACTTACAGATGATAGATAATCTAATGATTCCATTACTTTTGCTAAACATATATGATTATGTGGATTGAATTCCTTCCATTCGAATAGACACTTGTAAACAATGATAGAGGATACTGGTACACCTTCACTATACTCTGGTCGTTTATACAATATCATCTCTTCGTTGAGGAACTTTAATCTCTCGTCACCACTTCTCGAGTACAAAACAGATTGAATTGGAATAAAACTGTTTGATTTATCTTCGGTTGATGACTCGCCACCAGCGAATGGCGAAGGCTGAGAGGAAGGTGAGCCTCTTGACTCTAGCTCCTTTCTGTACTGTGCAGACGACGCAGGATCAGATATTGAATGTCTTCTACGTGAGAAGAATCCAGTATGATTATCACGATGAAGCGATTGCAGTAGATTATCGTGACGCTTTCCTTTCTTTTTGCCAGCCTTTCTGTCGTCGGTCGACATTCTTCGTTCGGGCATTGGAGAGTTGGGTGGAATCGGTGATTGAACCGGTGACAGTATATAGGGATCGCCATTGGGAGCTGGATAACCACCATTGTTATCAATGTATGGTGATTTCATCGATTCTGACAGAGAGTTGTTGTTATTGTCATTTCTAATTGGTGAAGTCACTCCAGCGCCTTGTTTGGGTGGTGGCGAAGTCACACTGGCAAGATACATCTGGGGAGTGCTGACACCTCCTCCACTTGGTGCACCGTACGATGAAGAATGAGCATTGCTACTACTGCTGTAGTTATCTTGTGAGCTTGAGTGACTGAATCTTCTGGCGGTCGGTGACTTTTCAGTGAGGAAATTGGCAGCTGCAGCAGTTGGTGAGTTGAAACTAAAATCGAATGGATCTACATCATTATTATTGTTATTGTTATTGTTATTATTGCTACTATCAACACTATTTTGACTGTTGTTAATGTTATTCTTGTGATATTCTTTACTGGCTACAATTGGTGATGTTAAACTATCTGTGAATGAACAATCGGGAACTGTTGGAATAGGTGCTTCTTTGTCTCGAATATTTGAGAAACTACTATCTGACATCTGATCACTAGAGACACTAGATACTGAACTTCTTCTCTCCAGATGACCACTGCCACTCGAATTCTGACTATGGTGTAGTTGTTGATGATGTTCATGTCCTGGTTCCACTACGCTTCCACTTTAAATATTTTATGAATAAGAAAGAGTTAATTCATTTTATATATAAATAAAGATAAAAAAAACAATATAAAAAAAAAGATTCCATATTTTTTATTATCAACAATTTCATTAAAAGTGGGTGAATTTCATTTTTTTACTTACATTTCGGCTGAACCTGCTTGTGCATATGAAGTAAATTCAATCTATTTTCAACAAAAAATTAATATCTATAAATTAAAAATATAATTAAATACTTACATATGGTTTGATATCCATATCGATACCTTTCATTGTCGATGTATATTGTTTTGGTTGTGTATTTTGATCTTTATTTACAATGTTTGCTAAATCAATCTGTAATATTGCTATTTTTATTGATTTCTTCTTTCCCATCTAATATATATTTTAAATTTATTATTTTTAATAATTTGGTTTTTAAAAAACAGTTTTTTAAAATTTAAATAGTTACCTTTTTTAAATATATAGTTAATCTTTTTGAATCTAAATCTTCGGAATTTGATTCTCTTGTAAAGTGACATGGTATTTTGAAAGTTGTATATGTTCGTAGATCGCCAGAATTATCCAATGGTATCTCTTGAATTCCACCTCTATTTGTTCCTCGTCTCCACTCTACATCAAACAAACAATTCTTACCAAAGATTTCACCCAATCCAGTGATATAATCAATCTTTACAAACACGGTAAAAGGGTGAATATTCTTTGATTTTCTATTTTTTAAGATTTTAAGTGGCATCTTTAAAAAAAAAATTGAAATTTAACAAAAAAAATTGTGTCTACTATTTTAATCTAATTATTATTTTATTATTTTGTTTTGTTTATCACTTAAATATTCTAATTATTAGTATGTATTATGATATGATATTGTTTGTAGAAACTAACAAAATACAAAAAACATACCAACTACTAACTATCAATATCTTTATTAATAATTTTGATTTTTATTCTATTCTTTCAGCACTATAATAACAATATTATTTAATAAAAATAAAAAAGAAAAAATAACGGTTATTGATATTGCTAATATTACTCTTATTACCTATACCAATAGAATTAATTGCATATTAAAGTAGGATGTTGCTGTTGTTGTTGTTACATTAAAGGTTATGACCACATTTTGCACTAGAGTACTATTGAGTATTGCTCAAATTTAGAAATTTGATAACTGAACATATTCAAACACTAATATCTAATGTATCGTCGTCGAAAGTGACATTCATAGTGTGACACTCTTTTCTCAATTTTTTTTTATTTTTGAAAATCTTAAATTTCCAAATTTGGAACAAATATTTGGTTTTTAATTTATTTTTTTCAAAACCAATGACGAAATTTTACCACCACAGGTTATATTTTGTATAACTTTTATCTTATTCTTTTCAAAAAAAAAAAAAAAAAAATCTAAAACCATTTCAATATCTAAAAATATTAAATTAATAAAGAGTAAACTACTCTTTTCTTTATTTGAATATCAAATTCCAACTACAATTTCCTAAAAAGAAACTATTCCAATAATAAAAAAAAATAAGTTAAACTTTTGATTAGAATCAAAAAAAAAGAGAGTAAGTTATTTTTTAGTAAGATATTTTATTTATTAAAAAAATAAATTTTAATTTAAGGAAAATTAATTATCGATTCAATAAAGTATAATCAATCCCAGGTGTGAAAGGTATCTATTTTGCAAAAGATAATGAATATGTGAATCAAATTATTCCTATAATTTAGATTAAGTTGTTTTCTCCTTCTCCTTCAGTAGTACTTTGTATTGGTTGAGTTGCAGGTGCTGAAACTCAGCAGGCAATGGAGTTGTCATTGAATATCTGTAGTTTCCTGTCATCTCCATCTAAGAAGCAATAGCTGAAAAATCATTCTTGAAAGACCACCATCTCATCAACGGCAATTGCTGCTAAGAAACTTAGAATGATTAAAACAAAAGTAGAAAATGATTTTTTTCACTTGATCCAAATTTTTTAATTTAATAAATATTTATTGATAATTTCAATTGATTCTTTTGAATTTGAATATTTGGTTTCTAAGATTTGTTTATAACTTTCAAGTTCACTTCTTGGTATACCTCTAAATGATTCTAAAATCCATTCAATTATTTCATATTGATTGAATTTGAATAGATCAGATGAAAATGTTTCCATTTTGAAAAGATTCTTTCGATCTTCACCAATATTGCTAAATATCCATTTGGCTAATGGAAGATTTGTATTCTTGATTGCCAAATAGAATGATTCTTCTGTAATTGTACAACAAATATCAATGTTTGAATGAAGCCATTTTAAAACATCGGTATTTTCGCAAGTTGTTGAAATCACAAAGTAGTTTCTTTTGGTGATGGTATCTTGAGTGGAAAGACTGAACAGATATTTAACAACATCCAAATGGTTCGATTTGATAGCATTGCAAATGGCATTTTCCAATGATAGTCTAGTTGAATTCTGAATGATATATTTCACAATTTCAATATTACCTCTTGAACTCGCTGTAACAAGACTGGATTCTTGAAATTCTTGAATGATACCATTCTCATAGAGCCATCTAACTACTTTCTGATGATTGTTGGCGGCAGCATAATCCATTGCTAAATACTGACAAGGTATGTTCTTGGAATGAAAATATTGTAATATATCTAATCTTCCAAGAGCAGCAGCTTCTAACATGAAATCATTATCATTCAAATTTGAGTAAGATATTGGTTGATTATCGTATAAATACTCGAGAATGTCCAATCTTCCACAACCCAAAATAACTTCTGACATTATGTTATCTGTACAACCTTCAGTCCTGTTTTCGTTGATCCAGATTACTATTTCGAAATGACCTTGATGGGCAGCTAAATCCATAACCCGTCCTGAGCATTCTCCAGTGAAGTTGTTATATAACCATTTCAAGGATTCTAGATGCCCATAATAAGCCTCATTTTCCAAGGCAAGTGAACTATATTCGAGTCTTGAATGATTCTTCAACCATTGAAGAAGTTCTAAATTTCCACTTGCGACTTCATGATCCACTAGCTCCATAATGTTGATTTCAATATTATTGTTAATCAATAGTTTGATAATATCAAAATTATCTTTTTCCTTGAGTGGTCTTTTAAAAAATATAAGGTATGTTTTAATGTTTGCCAGACTACGATGTTCTCGAAGTAGATATTCAACAGCATGTAGATGTCCAGCACTGATTGCATTCTCATACATTGAACTAGATTTCAGGAATTGTGGTGTTTCCTGAACAAGAAATTCAATCATATCGATACGACCAACCCAAGCAGCTCTGTCAAACACAGTTTCTCCTTGTTTCAATTCGTTATTAAGCATTCTATTGTTCTTGTACATCTTGACCAAATACTTAAGAAGTTCAAAGTTTCCAGAGAGTGGTGACCTTTCCATAGCTAGATAGTAATTCCATTGATAAGTTTCGAATCGTACTGTTAGATACTCAATGATGTCAAATCTTCCAGACTGAGCTGCACATATGAAGATACTATTAAGGTGGTTACCTGACGAATTGTCTGATACTGACCCAGTGGTGTTCATGTCTACTTTTAATCGATTCAAAAGAAATATAAACATTTCAATAGATCCATATTTGATGGCCATCTCCATTGTCAATCTTTTACGATAGTAACGATAATCAATATCATTTCTGATTGATAAACATTGTTTCATCTCTTCAAAGTAGTTGTGAGAAGCCAAGATATGAGGATTAACAATTACTTCACTCCACTTGAAATTTCCATTTCCTCCTTTTAAACTTGAAATCAAACTGACATGATTAAAAATGATCCTAAACAACACTTTATTGTTTAATACTAATGAAAATAATCTTTTATCCATTCAATCTATGCATATGTACAATATTTATTAATTTTATATTTAACAAAATTTTAATCGATTGTTGTTAAAATAAAAACCAAATTCAAGCCTAAGTTTAAAAAAAATCTTTGAAGAATTTAAAAAGAATTCTTTTTTTCTTAATCTAATTTATTTTTTTTCTCTTATAATTGACAGATTTTAAAGTACAATCAGATATATTCTTTCAAGTAAAGAACATAGTATTGACACTACCTTCATGTGATCATGATTCACTTAGAGTAGCGATTGAAAGACTTCAGGCTATTTCTGTATGTCCAGATACATTTACAGCGTTAGCAAATTCTAACATATTATATGATCTGATATCATACCTGTGTTGCTGAATCTTTTGCATATAGGACCATCTAAAGTAGGTTATTATCTCAAAGTAAATAGTATAGATAGATTCATTTTACTTACCACACTAACCAACAACAATGACATAACATAGTTTAATATCAATATACTTTTTATATTAGGACAAGTAAATTTCGTAAGATACAGTTATTTAAAGAGTGATTTATAACTAATAATGATATGTTTAGATTAGTACTCTTGATCCTCAACATTGTATATTAATGGCATCCTATGATAGAATCAAATGTACAATGAATGAATATATATGATAAAATAAAAATTAGTTTATTTTTTTTAAAAGATTATTTATAGCTATTGAGAGAAGAATAGATATTTTCCATTTAGTTGAGAAAACTTTGTACTGTAATTGATTGGAAACATAGCTGTTAAGGAATTACGGTTAACCCATACACTAGGAGGGAGTTGAAAAGATTTGAAAGCTGAAAATGGATAGAATACAAGAAGTTCGATTTCTCTATTGAATTTGTTGAACCTGTAGAGCAATGGCATCAAATAGTCATAAATAAACTTCATACCTTGCAAAAATGGGAGATACTCGACCCATTTCTGAAAAGAATTGCTATCTAGTGCCCTGTATTGTAAACAGGATTTGAGAAACACCCACTTTGAATTAATAAGCATCTTGTGTTGATTGATAATCTCTAATGTATGTTTACCACAATCTCTGTTGTAACTCTCTTTATCTTCGTAGATTGCACGAACACAGTACATCTGAATGAATGTATCAACATGCCATATATCAGAGTTGAATGAATGGATGTTGAAGAACATCTCGATCATCAAGAAGATAATAAGCCTTTTTAAGCAGTTTACCACCAATCTTTTTAGGGGAAGGGTCATTGGACAGACTAGTCCTTTTGACAGGCTGCAGATATCCATAGACAAATGGTTTCTTCAACGCTGGTAGTTGTCGTAAACACAATTCGAACTTCCTAACCATCGTTTCAACATAGGCTGGTACTTCTTTTTTATTTATCAGAACATCGTAAACCATTAAAATATCACGATGTCTCGGTAATCTAATCTAATTATTAAATATTAATAAAATTATTTAATATTAAAAAAAGAAAAGATAATTATACAAACTGAAATACTTTGTCTATTCTTGTTCTTTGAAACACAAAGCTTCATCTGATTTTTAATACACTGATTTGTATATTTTGATTTTTCATTTGGTTTCATATGTTTTAAAGAATAAACAAATATTTAAAAGAGTAGAAGTGTATTAAAGTATAAATAATCAGAATATACTTCAACTCTGTCATTTTATATCATTTATTTATTATTAAGTAAATAGTTGATAAATGATAATAAAATTAACAATAATTGGGCATTAGATCAATAATTTTATTATCCTTTTGTTAGAAATAATAAAACAAATAAATGGTTGAAATAAAAATTAATTAAAAACATAATAAATATGTATGATCAGTTTATCAAAATGAAACCACATTAAGGTCCAAAAAAAAAAAAACAGATTTCCTTTTTAAGATTTTTTTCTTCGTTTTTTATTTTTTTTTAAAGTTAATTAACAAAAAAAAATATATCTTTTTAATTAATTCTTTAATTTAATAAATATCATTACTTTTGTATAAATAACAAAAAAATGGAGTTCGATTTCAATTCAAATTACCCAGTATTGGAAGGAGAGAGATTAGTTTTAAAGAGAATAACTAAAGATCATGCAGAATCAGTGTTTCAAATCAAATCTGATCCAAAGTCGATGAACTATGTACCCAGACCACTATCTAAAACATTGCAAGATATTTACGATTGGATAGACAATGGCGATAAGCTTATCGAGTCAAAGGATATGGTAAACTTTGGTATGTTCCTCAAAGAGGATCCCAACACCTGTATCGGTATCATAGGTTACGTCAGACTGAACAAATCATGCTATCGTGGTGAAATAGGCTACGTATTACACTCGATTCATCATAGAAAAGGTTATGCCTCTGAGGCATTGAAATTGCTAATTGACTTTGGTTTCAATGTTATGAAATTTCATACTATTGGTAAGTTCATTCGTTTACACCACTTCATTAAAATTAACAGACATTGAATTAAAACTAACTTTAAATATTTTTAAAGAGGCACATATTGAACCGTCCAATACACCATCGATTGGATTAGTGGAGAAAGCTGGTTTAAGATTAGAAGCAGAGTTTAAAGAGAATTTCTTCAATCCAATCGACAAGTGTTTCAAAGATACAAATGTCTACTGTAAAATTAATCCCAATAAATAAATAAGAATTATTAATTAAAAAGTTGCTTCATACTACAATTTTTTCCAATTTTTTTAACAAATTATGTTTTTTTTTTCCACTTTCTAGAGTGTTTGTATCAACATGAATACTTGTTTTTTGTTTTTATAAGTGTGATCGATTGGTTAACAAAAACCTCCAACAATAATTATCTTAAAAATTGTTATTTCCAAACAAATCAAATAAATAGCTCAAATGGAATTTGATTCTTCATTTGAATCATGTTGTAAATTCGGATTTTTTAAAGGTGATAGAGTAGTTACAACTGTTGGCTGGGCAACTGGTATGTTAATAAAAAAAATCGAAGAAGAAATAGTTGTTGAGTAGAAACCAATACTGATGACAAATTTAGTTCTTGGCGTTAGAGATAATCATTTATGGTATCAGGCAGATTGTGAAACAAGGTTTAGAAAATTGGAGGGTTTTGGATTAACAACTTTCAAATTGAATGACTGTGATGAAAATGACTATAACAATGACTTTGTAGATAGTATTGACTATGGTGATAATTATTATAATTCTGGGAATAACAATAGTAATATATTAGACTGTAATCAAAGTAATATCAGCATTATAAAGGAACAATATCGTAATTTTATAATTAGAAAAGTATTATGTCAGAAACAATTGTTCAGATATATCATTCGATCATATGATACCTATGCCTATAGAAAAGGTAAGTTTTCAGAGCAATCTAAACGTGGTTCGATAGTTTTCAATCTTGGAAGTTGGTGGCGATTCACCTACAATGAGGTGTTCTCTGTCGATTGGATGTTGAGGAACCACCATTTCGGACTGCTAGCAGACAAACTTAAGCGTGAACCTCACAAGCTTTTCTACCCGGATTTATTTACCATGAATTTACTCGATAGCATCGATATAATTCCATTCGATGTCTTTAAGCATCTCTTTAGAATCTATGGTGATTCGATTAAGTGCGATCACTTCTATAATCCACTGGTTCAGAATGCATTTCTTTTTGGTCGTAAAGACATTGTTGAGCATATACAGAGAAGCATACCGACCAAGTTATTTAGAAAGTCAGAGAGTGTAGCAGAGGTATCATTCGTCAATGCGCTGAATAACAATCATTTGGAGTTGGTACAGTTTTGTGTTGACAATTTCGATGGTATACTTCACAAGCAGGTGAAGTTGGAACCCGTTAAGAAAACATTGGCAATGGCTAGATATCTTTCAACTCTAAAGATGGAGCTGCTAATGAGCTATATCGGTAGTGTTCGACCCCTGCGATATTTGATCAAGTTTGGTGATGTTTCACTGTTCCAGACAATAATAGAGTCAAGCTTTGCACAAATACTTTTACAAAAAATGTATTTTTCGTCGCTTGTCGTTGCCATCGAAAAGATATTCTACAAAGATCTCAACAGTGATGATTCCTTTACACCCACTGCCAAACATTTACAGCTGTTAGAGTTGATATTATCACAACACTTTGGAATAAAATGGGAGAACAAACATTTAAACAAGATCGAGGGTGTACCAGATTCACTACAGTATCTCATAGATATCTATCATCTAAAGATAGATGTAATCGATAGTCATCCAGGAGTTACGAGAATCAAGAAAGTAACCGATAGAAACAACTGTCTATTTAGAAAATCTTTCTTTAAGTTTCTTACGATTAGCAACAATCGGTTGTTAAATAGACAACTGACAGAGTACATTATCAATAATAGTTTTGAATCAATCTATAATCATGGTAGTTCAGAGTTAATTAGATTGGCAAATAATATTAGATCGTTGGATATCAATGGAGGCACGAAGAAACCTTCTTCTATCAGTGTAACTAGTCATCATACAAAAGAGATAATAGAAATAATCAAAGAGTTTCATCATCCAAGAAGAATATCGTGGGTGCTGGCAGATACAGATGATTACGATGGTTTGGGAATTGGATACCTGTTAAAGACATTCAATATTATTCCAAGTATGAAAACCAACAGGTATGATCTTAGCAAGTCATTGTTTAGGCGTGATCTCTTTGAGTTTGGTAACTTGGTGACACCGGAAAGACATCTAAAGCTATCGAGTAACATCGAGATATTCAAGAGTTCGCTACCATCATTACAGTCACTTCAGTATATACAATCGATCAACTCTGACTTTACAAATATTGCATTTCAATCGGTAGATCAATGGACCAAACTAGAAACACTGCAATTCTACTTGGTGCACTGTTCGAAAACCATAGGTAATACCTACTATCGATTCTTGATTCGTGCGATGTTAGACGCTGTTGCGTGTGGTCGTCTGGATTTGGTGAGATGTCTCGATCATGTTCAACCGGCATTGTTATCGCTAAACACTCAGCCTCTGGAGATAGCGATTCAATACAACCGCTACGATGTAGCAGAGTTTATCATCACTCAAAAGATTGACAGTCAAACACATCTACAGCCATCGCTCTTCACTATGCTGCCATTCAATCTCGATTTGCTAAGACTGTTTGTTGGCTGTCATTACGATCGTTTGGCGAGGTTCGACTACAACGACAGTCGTTTGGAAGACATGGCCAACACCGCTATTCGACACGGTAGAATAGCAGAGTTTTCCTACATGCTAGAGGTAATACCGGGTATCAAGTATGATCTGTTCAACTGTCATCACTATGATCGTGGCGAGATGCTTGAATACATCATCAAACACCAACAACACCCAAGAATCGTGCAAGGTAATCACTCGATAGGAATGTTAGAGAGAGATGCCGTCGTCAAATTCAAATTCTCGTGTCTAACCGTGATACTACAATACAAACTTGAAACACCGTTAATCATAGAGGTCAATTCAAAAAAACTAATCAAAAATCCTAGAATAACAGATACTCTGAACTCATTAATAAATATTAAATATATTAGCTAACAAACACTGTGATTGTAATCAGTATTTTAATAATAATAATAACCAAAATAATACAAAAAAAAGAAAATTACCAAAATCAGATTTAAACCTACAATGTTTGCGATTTATTGGGCTGAAAAATGAATCACTTTCATCTCATCATAGTGGATTGTGATTACTTGTGTTGTTTTTTGCAAATCCTTGAACAAAATTTCTTTAAATATTTAAAGGATTAGTTTAATGTTTGTATTATTCCTTTTTTTTTATTTAGTTTAGATAAATACTTCAGAATAAATTTATTTATATATTCTGTTAATAATTTTATTAAATATTCAATTTATTAATAAACAAAACATAGCATATAGGTAGTAAAAAAATAATAATTTATTTTAAAAATAAAGAGTTTTTTGAAAGAAATATTAAAGACATAATCAACAAATAAAGGTAAGAGTAGTGTAATTTTTATTAATAGTCCGATCCAATAATAATAAACATTGTGAGTGTGTATGACACTAAAAAACATTTACCATTGAAGAAAGAGCTATTTTTATCTTTTTATTAATAGTGAGTGTAGTTTTAATAATTAAAATTAGTGGTATTCATTATGATGTGTTTCAATTACAATAACATGACACATCATTGCAAAAGATTTCATTCTTTCTTTCGGTATTGTTATTTATTTTCTTAATGTTATTAATAACAAATCAAATCAAAATCCAAATTGGTTTGGTTTAATTAATTAATTAAAACAAAAAAAGTAAATATTTATATAAAAAGAAATAATCCATAAACAATTTATTTTTTTAATTAATAATCGGTTAGGTTGTTTCAATCAAAACCCAGGTTGGTTGAAGTTATCGATGTAACCTATTTAAAATTAAAAAATATCATTTTTTTTTTTTGTAATGACTCAAAGTTTTTTTTCAAAATCTTTTCATTTCGCTTTTTTTTTTTTTGTTTATACAAATAATAATAAAAAACCAATCTTTCTTTCTTTTATTTCTAACTTTCTAAACAACAAAAAATAACAACTAAA